GTGTTAGAAAGTACTTTAAATCTTGCCAGACCAAGTGTTCAAATCTCCTTCCTGGCGGTTTAATTTCCTCTGACTGCTTATGCGGGAGGATTGTACATCGTTTGAATGCACATCTCATTACTCCATAATAAGTTTGCAACGAAATCGATCTTGGATTGTTTCGTCCGACTCATATGTGATGACTGAACACGGAACCCACCTCTGGGCGTGCCTCTGATCTATGACGAAGAACTTTCAACTGATTGACTTGGGTCAATTGAATACCATTTCTTTTTTTGTATGATAGGTCAATTATACTTTTTCTCTAAAGTCTTCTTGATGAAGATGTGATTATTTTGTCTAGCTTCATATATATAAACTCACATCTGCCATAGAGTCTCAAGTTCTGAATCACATATAGAATGAAATTTCATTCGTAGGGACGTCTTATTAAGGACTAGGAACAGGGTCATCCGGTCTCAAGAATGATACAAGCACAAAGAACAAGAAGAAATAGTAAGAGGATAAGGACCGGCGAGTATGAAGGTCTAAATGAAGAATTGATACCATTTCTCAAGCTTTGAAAATGATCATAGGCGCGTTCTTTTAGTTTCATGCACACGAATGTGGTGGTCAAAAAGCAGTTGAAGAGGAGCGAAGTGCCAGCTCAGCCACTGCCAAGGTATTCCACGTGATCACAATAACCGGATCAACCTCCTTGCCTTTCCTGTAATTCAACTAGAGAGATACATGATGGCATCAAATCTCCGTATGAGTTGACATGCGTCAGTCTTTCTTATTGGGGATAGGACAGCTGGTTCATAAGAGATTGTGCTTGTCATTACATAAGCTCAATAAAGCCTCCAGACAGTACTATTGTGGAACAATGTCGCCTTTTTCATACCTACTCCTTGAACCTTGCGCTTCTACACCATATTTTGGGAGCTATGCGCCTTTGTCCCCAGCCTCATATCTCTGGACTACGATATCTTGAGGCCTCCAAGCTCACCAGATGCACAGAAACCGGATATACTCAGCGCCAGAATTGTAGGAACGGTGATTTCTGTTCAAGCCCAGCGACACGGCGCCTTTTGCATCATCTGCGCCCTCGAGATCGACCAGTCACAACCATGAATTCAGGGTGCGACTCGGCACAGTATCCCAAACATAACATCCTTCAACGCCGATAGGGTACCGGCATCCAAAACCTGCTCGAGAATGTCACCAAAGCTCGTCTCGATTTGACAGCGAATGCAAAGCTCAAGGAGTAGGTCCGGCGGATAAAACCTGGCAAGCGGATTGGGTGCTCTTATTCGAATAAGCATATATTCTGGTGACCCGGAGAGAAACATATCGCATCTTTTTTGCAAGGCTGTGCAAGCTCTTACCATCAGTAATGGAGTATCCAGCCCGCATGCCTTAGGTACGGTTCCACCTTTCCAGTTGCCTCTGCAAGAACTTCCGTCTTATGTGGCTTGGACAAGCCATGAAGCGGATCAATCCGATTGGTCAGACAAATACTGCCTTACAGATGTGTTATATTTTCCATATGTGGTTCGGTTTCGGTAGAGCATGATGAATGGAAATCTGCGAAGTTCATCTTTGTTAGTCCTGGAGATCCGCGTTGAACTGCGGCCATCAGTATGGTCATTCTCGATCCTGTAAACACTAATCTTCGATGCCTTCTGCTCCAGAGCAGACAACTTCTTCTCAACATCGAGTTTGTCATTGTCTGCAGGGTCTAGACTCTGATATAGACCCTGCTTGCTGAATATACTGTTTAACCTGCGTTGTGCGATCCTTCATGGATTGATCCTCAGATCAAAGATAAAAGCTCTGGTCCTCCCCTCTACTTCTTGATTTGCTTTTCCGCCTGCTTCTTGTCAAGGCTGTTTGTTGGAGAAGGCCTGATGGAGAAGGCCTGATGTAACCGGAGTATTTCCGGAGAACAAACTGGAGCACAAAACGATGGTACTCGAATTCCTTATTTCTGCCACTTATAGGAGTAGCCATGAAGATGTAACTGAACTGCGGATGCTTCCTGCTCACCTGCGCGATGTTACTGATTACTTCCTTGCCCACCTAAACACTTAGCCAAGCCCCTGGGAGAAAGTGGCACGAAAGCAATGCTCGTACAGAAGAGATGAGAAGGTCGTGAACCAGTTCAGCTCTCTAGACCTCCCGAGTTCGGAAACCGTTGTGGGGCCTTGGCGCCAACGGAGCTCTTTCCTCCGAACTTTGATACACACCACCAAAAATAGATGCTTTGAGTCAGCTTCCACACCGTCAGCTTTTCAATGGCAGCTTTCGAACCATAAACTTGGGACCACGTAGTGGTCCAGAAACACAGCCTTATCAAGTCTCAGCTTCTCATGGAGTGCTCTAACGGGACACTGCCGAGACCCATGCGCCACATACGCAATCGTATCATATCGTTGGCGGTTCCCAATTCAAATTTCTTTCAAACCAAGTCGACTTGTTAGATGACATGTGGTATTAGTGAGAGGACTACGTGATTTGGCGTGTCTGTGCAACAGTGTGATCGAGCTTGAGTCAAAGGTTGCCCGGCTCAGGAAGTACGCAGAGCAAGGACGAGTCTGACTACCATGGCTTGGCACGGCGTCATCACAACTGCAGGCGGACCAACTCCTACTAGTTAGTAATTCATTCCAGGTTAACTTCGTGTTTGTGGCTTGGTACATCATCAAAGGACATGCCACAATGATCTTGCTTGATCTAGACATCAGCACTTGGTTCACGTAGGTGCAAACCATGATTGCAGACCTCAGATCTGATGTTTCTTGGTCCCGGGTGATACGTCATGCAAGATGGGATGTGGAAACAGGCTATTTTGCAGTCGAGCCTGCCGCAAACGGAGGGCGCATATTTGTTTAGCGAAGGCAGTTCTCGAATTCAGGGGACGCTCGGAGCTACACCGTCCAACGATCATCTCGTGTGATGGGAACGTTAATCTAGTGACAGATAAAGCTTCAGAATCAACTTATTTCATGCTACTACCTTGAGTACAGGCTCGTCTCCGCCTCGCGTCAAGCAATTATCCTCAGTTTCTTAGTCAAGATGTCTTCTCATTACCAACAAACCGACGCCCATCCACTAAGTGAAAAAGAGACCAATACCGACGATGCCAAAGCCAAAACGACTCTTGCCGCTGTATTCGACCCATCCTTCCCGCTTCCAACCCTCGAACCAAAAAAGACGCCAACCACACGATATATTCAGTCTTTCCTCGTCCTCTTCTTCCTTCTCGCTGCTGGTGTGATGGGAGCCCGGTTCTTCGAACTTAGCATCCTCCAGACCAGTTCTTCTATCTCTACCTCCCCTAATCCCAAATCGAAGCATGTCTTGTCAGTCCTCGGGTTGGTGATGCCAAAGGAGCAGCTAGCTGTCCTCATCGGAGTGATTGTCGTGCTGTTTCTGGCGATGTGGTTTACGGGAACGATCTGGATCGACTGGTGGGAGCTCGTGGTTGGATATTGGTGGCTGAGCTTGGCTATATGTGTGGCCGTGGCGTTGCTCTTCCTAATGGCGCAGGAAAGGACTGATACGATTGGACAAGTCGATTAAACCACTGCGCATAGAGGATGGGAGAGAAAGCTGCAAAGATTTGGGGAGGTGATAGGAATTAATGGTTAGCAGACCACGACTCCAGTCGTTGTTTGCACAGCTGAACATTCTCAAACATCAAGAATTACCGCCCCTTCGAACATGTTCTCTTCGCCGGTCGTCCTCCGAGTGCAATCGGCCATCAGCTTTTACAAGCATGCTATCATTCTTCCTTACTCCGTACAGTTTTATGAATAAGCAGTCCGGAACGTCACTTCCACTTATTACCCAAAATTCTAGAGGCCATATAGGAGCAACCGTGAAATTGTTATCAAATCAATCAGCATTGTGCATTTGAAACCGCATAATCGGGTATGCTAAAGGGGGTAATAACACTTACATTCTCCCAAGCATCTCGACGGTCTGGAGGTCACTAGCACAAGTGGGACAGTTATTGACATGCATGCATGACCTTTCGAACGCAAAATCGCTCTGAACGCGCGACCCTGCTAGGTGTAGATTAGAAGCAAACCTTATCGACTACGCAGAAATAATTATGCTCGGTATTGTTCAAGTAGTATCTTTGGATTCGTACAACTGCTTTTCGTAACCGCTAAGCTGTATTATCAATAGCGGTTTCATTATGATTAATCTGTATGGCAAGAGACAAAATAGGCTGTGAAAAATGGGCCTGAGATGGAGGTGTTGTGAAATGATACTAGCCTCTCGACCGTTACATCGATGTTCACACTCCTTGCATAACATAACAACAAGCTATCAATAACATCGCGAATTGGACCGGGCTCGGATGGCTTCGAAATCAAAAAGGCCAAGACGGAGGAATGTCAAGCTGAAATGAAAGCCACTGCACTGTGGACGAGAGTGACTATTGCAAAAGCAATGGCTGATGCAGGACCAAATCACTAGTTGTGATGTTGCAAGACTTCTGCATTCGAGCTGGCGGTCGCAACATCTTCCCATCCAGGCTTAGTTCTCTATCGGTGTTGGCCACAAGAAGTCCCCTGCATGGCATTCCAACACTCCGATCCATCCTCTTCCTCACCCATTCGGACGAAAGTGGTTTTGTGCCACTAATATGCATCAAGTTACCGTTGCGCGGTTGCTGCCTGTTCGACCATGTTACCATGGGGCTGTGTGTCTTTTGGTCTGCGCCTTCAGGCCCTGAGGATAGGGCATCAGTTGGCATACGGTCAATCTCCCTCTTTGTCGCAAGAAGGATCCTATTCCAGGCACCTTTCATCCTCTTCATGACGCGATGATACGTGGTAAGAAGACCTCGAATTGAGGAACCAAGAAGAATATAAGTCTATCGCATTTTCCCACTGCACTTGTTGTTTTCAGGCATTCCACCATCTCTATCTCCTCTACGTTCCCCAGAAACGTTTTCTAAGTCTTTGTGCTCTCTACCACTTGTGACATTAAGTATCTGCCACCCATCACCCCAGAGTTGACTAAGATGGACTGCACAAGGATCTCACCAGAGTGCCCTATAGAAGAGACCATCTATGGCTACTACCCAAACCTCGCAGCCAATGCCGCCTTTGCAGCCTTCTTCGGCGTCTTTATGATTGTCAACATCTTCTTCGGTGTCCGCTATCGCTCATGGACCTTCCTTATTGCTATGACAGGTGGTTGCCTTGGTGAGGCGGTGGGATACGTTGGTCGAGTGTTGCTGAATGACAACCCTTTCAGCGAGGGTGGCTTTAATATGCAAATCATTTGCCTGACGCTGGCTCCTGCATTTATCGCTGCTGGAATCTATCTCACCTTGAAACATGTCGTCATCTGCTTCGGCGAAGAGCACTCCTACCTCAAGCCCAGATACTACACCTGGTTGTTCATTTTCTGTGACTTGGTCTCCCTCACCTTGCAGGGTGCTGGTGGAGGCATTGCTGCAACCACGACCAACGGCTCGTCGGAGCAGGCCGTTGGAAACGATCTGATGATGGCTGGTATTTGCTTCCAAGTCGTCACCTTGGTGGCTTTCGCAATAATGGCTGGTCTTTACTACTTCAAATTATCATGATCTGGAGTACCTCTTTCCCCTTCGGCGCAGGCTGTGAAGAACAGCACAGGCTTCAAGCTCTTCCTCGGAGGCTTTTTGCTCGCCTTTGTCACCATGTTCATTCGTTGTGTGTATCGGATCGCCGAGATGGCTGGCGGATGGGGGAATTCAATTATGCAGAGTGAGTTGGATTTCATTGTTCTTGACAGTGTGTAAGTCACGATCCTCTCCGTCTTCTGGTTGATCGTCACTGACAACATCTACAGCATGATCACCATCTCAGTTCTAGCAATGACGATCTTCCATCCTGGCTACTGCTTTCCTCAAATGGTTTCGCAAGCAAAAAGATCAAGGCTTTCCGACATTGAAAAGAAGACGTCTAGCGAGACTTCAGTGGAGGAAAGTTCTCAGCCGGCCAAGCGGTCTCGATTTGGAAGATGGCGTTCATGATCATTGGCGCAGCTATTGCATATGCTTTTGCCTTGCAGGAGCTTGTAGACATCTGTGAAGGGGGGTTGTGATTTAGCCTGTCGTCCTTGATAGAGATACTAACGTTTATGGTTGTCGTCGATGACAGTCCAGGATTCTGCTTAGCCTTTGAAGAATAATGAATAGAAAACGGGCGTCTGGCGTACAATACTCCATTGAACCGTTCTGTCCATACTAACTAACTAGTATCATGGGATATCCGTGGTACTGGTTGTTCTAGCGTAAGCACTGATATGCTGACATGGCTAACCTATCCAGAATAAGTATTTCTCGGGCGAGGGCAACTGCCAGCCAAGTGAAATCTTATAATAGATTCAGGGACCTCCTCTCGACTTTTGTTGCCTAAGACCCAATCCCTGCATACGTCACAGCATCTGTAGCAAACTGTCCTCACAACAAAGGCTTCTGCAAAGGCTTCTGCGAATGCTGCGAACACTGGATCATCTTGCAGCGCTGGCCCATACTATTCATTTCTGATGCTATGGGTGCGTCTGAGTCGAAGTTGGTATTCAAGCAGGGAATTTTCCGCCTGTCTGAAGATCAAGCCATCCCTGCAACAGACCCCTATTGGACTGGAGTGAGCGAGATCGCTATCCTTGATCAAGTCCAGCCGCTGACTGATACGTAGTTTTGGCGATTGCCCGAGTCGGTTGAAGATGTATTCAGCCTGTTCTCGCCAGTCGATATCAGACGAGCCCGTGATTCTTCTCTAGCCAACCTCGAAACCCTTATCCTTGCAGTCACGGCAAGGCTAGACGCTCTTCGCAACCATCCATCTTTCCCTGATCTCGAACTTGCTCCCGAACGTGATGCTCTCAATTGCATTCGAATCTTGACCCGCGTACTTCCCTACGTCTATGAAGCGGATCAACTCGCGGACTGGGAGGAAAAGTTCTTTTGGGGCATCAGACGGAGAAAGAAGAGAAGAGCACAAGTTGCTGCAGAGGTCTTGTTTGATGAAGCAAACGATGGTGACATGCAGAAACAGGAAGCGGAGGAGCAGGAGTATGAAGAATCAAAGCCACTCGGAGAAGAGCTCCTCGACACCTTGACGGACCTCCTGTTCTACACTGGTTTTACGATACCCAGACTACCCACCGCCAAGGACAAGGTCACCTATGCGATATGGCAGAGCGGAGTTGGCTGCAAGACTTCTATCGGCACAAGCAAGGAGCTGGAAAGCAACAGATGTGAGGTTCTGCGCTTGTTGCTCACGATGACCAGCAAATCCCTGTATCTCTCATCAAGCATGTTACCAGTACACGGTGTCAAAGCAATCACCTATCTGGTCACTTGTCCGGACAAGCAGATTGTCTTGTCAGTTCTGTGCTCCCTGCTCAACACTGTCATCAAGTACAATGCCGCAACCTGGAGGGTCCCGTACGATCACGTTGTGTGGAAGGATCCAAAACAAGCGCTTGTCATCTACAGCTTGCAATTCCTGCTTGTCCTCCTTCTGTATCCTGTTCCAGAAGAAGGACATGGCCCGCCGCCGAAGAACTACTATCGGTCCTGGTTAGGAAAGCTACATCGACCAGAAGATTTCCAATTCATTGCCGAAGGCATGGCGCGAATCTTGAGTCAACCCATGCAAGCCACCTCGTCCTATCTTCCTGGAAGTCAAAAATCCGTGAGATGGGCACCTGAGATGATCATGCTGTTCTGGGAGACTCTGCAGTGCAACCGACGGTTTCGCACCTTCATAATCGACTCGAATCGAGCACATGATTTCATGATTCTCTGTCTCTTCCACGCCATTGAATCCAAAACAGACCTGTCCAAGCAGGGTGTCGTAAGGATGTGCGTCTTTGTTCTACAGACCCTGAGCGTAGAGCCGAAATTCGGAAAGAGTTTGAATAAGAAGTTCGATGCTCAGGAGACATTACCGCAGATTATTCGTCTTCCTAACTTCCGTGGATCGTATGCCGACTTTCTCATCATTTCCATCCACGCTTTGATCACAGGAAGTAAAGGCAAACTGGATGCAATATATCCGGCATTACTTGCAATCATCAACAACATCGCTGCATATGCGCAACATCTCTCAGCCGCTACCAGTTCCAAACTCTTGCAACTTTTCGCATCGATGTCTTCACCTAGCTTTCTTCTCGCCAACGAGACCAATCACGTCTTACTACAGTCTCTACTCGAATCCATCAATGCAGTCATCGAGCACCAGTATGCCGACAACCCTCACCTCGTTTACGCCGTTCTCAAATCCAAAAAACGTATCGAAGCTTTGCGCGCGTTTACCTTGGAAAATGGCCAAAATGAAATAGAAAAGATTGCCCGTCGACGAAAAGAAATACTTAACGGCGCAGATGGCGTGACTAGTCCCACGAGATCTGGCTCAGTTGACCATCTCCCTTATCGTACACCTCCAATCCGACAAGGGTCGCTAAATCATGTCCCTGAAGACGGCACATTTGCCATCGGCGACTCAGAAGATGAATCTGAAAATGATATGATTCAACACACGCCAGCACAGTCTCCACCATCTATTCGCCACTCACGCGCCTCATCTCTCTCTTCAGCAGATGATAATCTCCCCGTCCAGCTTCGGGGCATGTCTGAAAAAGCTCGAGGTAAAATGCCTGCCAATGCCACATCCTTTTCTCGTCACGGCAGCACCACCAGTCTCGGTAGCCACACAACAAGGCAAATCCTCAGCCCTACCATTAACAGCTTTGGTGGATTTACACCCACACCTCAGTGGATAGAATCTTGGCTTCCAGAGCTTCCGCTTCACACAATGCTGACCCTCATCAAAGCCCTGGGTCCACACCTCCCTCCCTCATCATCATCATCATCTTCTTCTTCCGCACCAAGAGCAACGCCAGGAGCAACAAACACACTCACCAACACAACAACCCCAACCCGTCCCTCTACCTCCTCCATTCCTGACCCCCAAACCTCAACACATGCTCACCACGCATTCCTCACTTCCCTCCCCCAAACCACAAGCCATCCCCTCATCGCCCCTCTCCTCTCCTCTCCCACCCCGCCAAAAATCCAGACCTTCGAATGGTCCTCCCTCTCCCTAGGCTGGTACGAATCGCTGCTCTGGTCCTTCATCTTCGCCTCGGAAATGCTCGTCGGCAACAATGCTTCCACCTCTTCCACTGCCTCCTCCGCAACCGCGGGACTCGTTGGTGTCACTGGCGGAGGAGGAAGTGTAGGCGTGTGGAACGGCACGGCAATCAAGCTGTTCCATGTCAAGGAGGGGGTCAGGGAGGGCCCGACGTTGATGCGGCCCAAGGGCGCGGTGGATGCGGTGGGCAATCGAATCGTGAAGGGAATCGGCGGGTTGGGGATTGGATTCGGGCTTGGTGGCGGTGGGCAGCAGCAGACGCAGACGCAGGTGCAGACACATGGTGCTGTAGGTGGTGGTAGTGGTGGAGGTGGAGTAATAGGGGGACGGAGCGTGAGGGAAGTGTGAATGATACAGTAGGTTGAAAGGCCTTCAAGCAGGCATTGACAATCAGCCTTTATTCCAAAATCCTCTCTTTTCTTTTTCCGTTCTCCTTCTTCGGTGCCAAAGGCACACATAGCGTTGGCGTCGAGATCTCATATCATATCATATCATATCATATCATATCACACCACCTCACCTCCGACACCCATATCATGCCTGCCCCATCCCACCCAGCATACGGAGTAGTTTTATCCACAATAATCAGTCGCATCGCATCGCATCGCATTGCATTACATCACATCACATCGCCTTCAGCGAAAACACTGCTATTGCTATTGCTATTGCTATTGCCATTGCCATTGCAATTACAAAAAACGTAAACGTTTTCCTACATATTTCCTGATCCCGCCTTCGCCAAATCCCTGAGCCGGTTGAAAACACAAAACACAAAAGAGCGAAAACGAAAAATAAAATAAAATGAAGGCACACACGCGGTTTCGAACCATCGCCCCATAGGATTTTCTGCATGCGGTAATTCGCCTAATAATTTTTTGCTGCTTTGGGTAGGTGAAGTGTTTTTGGGGATGGGGCTGGGGCTGGGGCTTGCGGCGGAGTGGACTGCTGTGCTTCCCGTTGCTGGTGGGACGTGTTTTTGCTGCTGGTTGGTTGGTTGGTAGGTATGGAGGGGAAGGAGGAAGGGATGCATTACTCACTCACTCACTTACTCACTCACTCACTCGGTTTGCTGGATCCTACTCCTCGGCTTGCGCTTGTGTAGCCGGTCTCAGTCCCCCGGGCACGGAGGATGGGAAGGAAGAGAGGTGAATGGAAGGATGTCGAGGTGGTGGTGTCCTTTCTGGCTGGGATGATTGCGGAGTTTTAGTTGGGGAGGAAAGAGGATCATGCTGTCAGCGAGCGGGTGGGCGTATGGTATGATGTGTTGTCGCGCCAGGCAGGGACAAGAGGGCCGGGCCCTGTTGGCGCCTGACCTATTTGTTTTTCCCTTCTTGAGCATCCTTTCATCATCCTCGTTCCGTGGAGAGTTGGGTAGGCCCTGGATGGAATGGGAATGGAGATTGGCAGGTTGGAGTCGGGTGGAGCGGAGCAGAGTGGAGCTGATTGGAGGGAAGGTGTAGATGGGAAAAGTCAATTTAGTTCAGCAACTGGCTTTTGCGGAGATGGCATTGCGTTTCTCGGCTCTGGTCGTCAGTGGGCTATGCCTGAATAGAATAGTATAGAGCAGGGTAGAGTGGAGCGGAGAGGAGAGGAGAAGAGAGGAGAGGGGCGGACATCAAGGAGATGTACATGTGCACCCACCCGATTCAGTAGATTGGCAATGGATGAACGAATAACAAGCATAGAGGCGCAGCTTTCGTCTGGTGACTTGGTCTTCTGAGGACTCTGTCTATCTGTTCGGATGAAAAGTCGTTCTGGACAGCTGATGCTGAAATGAAAAGCCAAGCCTTCTTCTCTATCCAGATCACGCGATATGCAGATTAGTTGTTGCAACATCAATTGAAATGAGCATAGAACAGAAGCATCGCGTGCATTGAGGGAAACCTTGAATATCTTCGCTTGCAATGCATAACAAGTGACTCCATGACAATCACCATCCTCTACTGCCCAGATGGTTATGATATGCCACAGGTAAGAAATGTGCTCAAAATTGTATACTCTCACTTCTGCTCAACAGCCCTGTTGCCCCACCTCGGACATGGATCCTCTTCTCCTTCTCGTACAACCACTTGTAATTGACCGCTGGGCTCCTGCTGCCACTCCCACCGCCAGAACCAGAATTCCGAACACCAGTAGCCTCTTTTACACTTTGCGACCGTCTTAGACCTGAGCTTGGGGTTGAGGGGCTGAAACTGGATCGGAATGCTGCGTCGCTGTCTCGGTTGTTGCCATTGGGAGCTAAAGCTTTTTGCAGGAGGGGACTGCCAGAGGAGGAACGTGGAGTGGGTGAGAAGGGCGAATTCGAACGATTTCTCGGCTGCTTCATGCTACTACTTGGGCTGCGGAAAGTTGAATCAGGTGAGAACGCGGCGTCTCGGCCGGACAAGGGAGAAGATGGGGAGTAATTTGCTGATATACTGCGGCCCGAGGCTGGTGTGGAGGGGCCAAGGGCATTGTTGTTGCTGCTGCTGCTACCCGCGCCTGAGGGAGATGGCGAAGTTGAGAAAGATGTGCGCTTGTACCGGGGTGGAGTTATGTATGTTGGTGAAGAAGTGACAGGGCTATTGCTGCTACTGCTGCCAATTGTTAACAGCGCTGCTGCTACTCCTGCGACTGGTGTGCGTTTAGTTGGTGACGGAGAGGGCGGGAGGCCCATGAGAACCCGCTGAGAGGGTGTGAGGGGGATATCAGAGATGGTGTCGTTTGTGCGTGAGCGAAGGAGAGGTAGGAGGGCGAGAAAGAGATTTAGGAGGAAATAGAGGCGGAGAGTGAGGAGGACGTAGGTGGTGTATGTTGTTGTCGGCTGGATTTGGTGTGAGAGGTTGGGAATGGTCTGGATAATTGTTCTGAAGCTGCGGCTGCTTGTCAGACACGCTTTCAGATAATTTAGAGGCGCCAGTACTCACGTAGCATGTACTTGAGTGTTGAAAGTGAAAGAGAGCAGGAGAGCGACCAGGTTGAAGGCTGCTCGTTTGAAGTCTTGGTCGGAGAATGTAGAGGCATTGCGGCGAGAAACAATCTCAGTAAATTGCGGGTGTCGCCATGTTCCTGGCGAAGGTGGAGGAGCAGGTAAAGATGTCGGTGTCGGTGTAGGTGTAGCTCGAGGTGTTGATGGAAGAGGTATCAATGTATTCATCTCGAAGCATATCACCAGCCAATGATTCCAGCAGTAATCTAATGACAGAGAATTTAGAAACAGGCTGAAATCCAGGTAAGAGTTGACCAGACTAACATCAAGGTAACCTATCGTGGGTGATTGTTCTCGCTTGCTGCTATGATTTTGAACCTGGTTTCTCTGATGCTGCTTGCAATCAATTCGCGACGTGTCTGACTAGTACCAAACCAGCCAAGGAAAGCTGACTATTTCTTGGCATAGGATGATACTGTCAACCGTCCCCTTTTCTTTCTTCTTTCTTCTATAATGTTACTATCTAGAAACCACATGATACATCAGGAAAAATTCACAAAAAAAGATGGTGTAGTATGAAATGTTAGCAGAAGACAGTTTGAACGGGGGCCTCACCTTATATTACCCACTTTTCCTCTCATAACAAAATCCGCTCAGGCTGAATGCTTCGGCTGTCACTACCTTTAAAGCAATACGTTATCGCTACCCAACCTGAAGCGAACGAAACAATTGCATTCACTCTATGAGCAATTTCATACAAAGTGATTCACAATTGATTTCGTTGCACTAGCCGAAGCTTGGTGTGCAGTCGTGATATACAACTCTGGGTTATCTTACGCTTCCCCAGGTCTTAAACCACCGCATGTGAGACTTCATCAACTAGCTAATTGACCAGAACGCAAGGAACTGACCACTAGGACAAAGTCTCGGTTTTCAATTTTGTGCTTTATTAGCAATTTATTCATTATGGAACACAGCCACATGTGGTATCTGCCGAAAACACTGTCACTAAGTGTTTCGGCCTAGATTATGAGGTCAATGTATATTCTCTCATGAATGATTGGTACAGGAGGGTTACTGTCTATCGGAAGAAGCAGGAGGAGAAGGAGAAGGCAGCTGAGAAGCAGAAGGCAGCTGAGGAGGAGAAGATGAGGAAGCTGAAGGCCAAAAAAATATGCTCGCAAGGCTATCCAGCACAACGAGGAGCGCTCCAGTGGCGTGCAAGCGGAGAAGAGAAAGGGGCCTGGGTTTACCGGCCATGGGGAGACGAAGAAGACGAAGAAGTCTGCCTAATAACTCGAGAAGGTCACCAGCGCTGCAGAAGCTGGGAGATGAGTTTCTCAAATTCGGCGAGCAGTTGAAGTGACAAGGACCAAAGATTGTTTAGAGTGATTGATAAAGCATGTCCTAAGACCTCGAAGGCTTCCAACATGCACTGCATGTATCTGTCTTGACCCATATTCCTCAATGACAGTCCTATAGAGAAGAGTGAGGGTGATCAACCCCTCCTCCTCCTCCTCCTCCTCCTCCTCCTCCTCCTCCTCAACGCCAATTAGCACCAGTATATTGCTTTTTCTCCGATTCCTGTCAAAGACACGACCAAGACCGATTCATCCAACCCATGAATCTAGACGTGCGGGATAAAGGTTATCCACTCCACCTCATGGTACGCGGAAACAGGTAAAGACACCCAGAAACATGCGATACTTATTCCTAAGGGAACAGCACGAGGTGAGTACCACAAAATCAGCATAATGTACCAATCACGATCCACGTACCATTTCGGAGTGAACTTCTACAGTGAGATCAATATGATTGAGACAAGGAGGCCCGACGGAGACTGCGCAAGAGCTGTCCCATACGGGCCGCATCTGTGGGGTGAGTAGCTTACCATGGACCAAGAAGCACGACCTATATAAGGTAGTGTGTGTGCAAGGCCTGGTGCACCCCGTGATACATACCGCTGGTGGGCAGACGCTTTCCATTTGTCGAATCCGTATAATCGTCCCTGTAGATTTGTTTGTAGTTTTCTAAGAGTTTGTCGATACAGCTGTCCTCTAATACCATGCAGAATCATATTACAGTTGGCGCATTGACGTCCTTTCGTTTCTGCCACTGACAAATGTAGGTGAAGAAGCCGATATTTAGCGATGAATGGGGGGAGGGGCTCTATCGGCGTAACGGCCAGCATAGCAGAAAGTCGTGCGATGCACTGGACTAACATCTAAGACACCTGGATCATCGCAAGGATTGCGCAGATCCGTCGGCCTTGCTATGGTCCTCAATCTCGTCATTTGTGATGTCTGGCATGTTGATTAGGTGCTTGTTGACTAGGATCCCTAATACATCACCCTAGAGAGGAAAAGGATCTTGTTGTTAGGGCTCAACTGGTTAAGACAAGTCTCAACTAGAAGCTGGGTCCAAAGGCTTGGTTGGATAGAACAGGAAGTGCAGTGAACAATACTAAGATGTCTTCAACTTAGGTATGAGCTGATAACATGAGTTGACTACGGAGTAAGAAGAACTATCTGACTATCTGCGAAAGGAGTGTGCTTATATAGATAAGAGATTCGTATGCTCAGTGGTGCTCAGTAGTGAGCAGAGGTGAGCAACCTTAAGTGTGCTCAGTCTTGGCTGTCCACGAGCAACCATCCGGGTAGTCTTGTCCTAGTGTCCAAGCCTAGTGCCTAGCTCTGGGCTGTGTGGCTCGGGCAACCTTCCCCTACTGGGAGGCGCTGTAACACTTGTCCGGGCAGCTTAAGCTTAATCCTGTCCACGTTAGTAAAGTGTCTATGTGCTATGATCCATTGGCCACCAAGCTTCTTTATAGCATTATATATCACCCATGCTATCACAAAGTCTGCGAGCGCGTTTAACGTAATCTGTTCAAGAAGTAAGGATGCATCTAACATTCGTCTAAACTATCGCTAGAATTACTAGTTGATTAATTTATTATATCTAAATAAGTATATTCTGCTATGAAATAGATTAGGTGTCACGGCTGCCATGCTTGTCGGCCGCTAGCGCTAGGGCCGCCGGGTATTGATTGGCACTACGCATTAGTAAGGGGCATGCTCGCTATATAGGAGCGACCCCAGTGCCATCCTCGTCGGCTCTGCAGTCTTAGGATAGCACTCAACATGGGCTGAAGATCTCGCGCACTCGTCGCCTGCTTCCAACGTGACACGTGACATTAGGACTATATAAAGATGTATTAAGATAGTTGTACAAAGCAAGAAATAAATTACGCTAGTAAGATTATATATCTAGTTAGTATAGTGATTTTCTAATAATGCGTAATTTAAAAAAGAAGCTTTAGAAAAAGAAGCTAAAAAAATTATGTGTGATACTAATGTGTTAGCTACAGACGTTAGGAAGGGAAACTTACCTTTTCAATCCTCTTTTCCTCATAACAAAATCCCTGATAGTTGAGCTGAATTCGCATTCTCCCGTATGGTTCTTATGGTTCGTTAAGAGGTGCCTACTAACAGCTCAATCTGAGAGGAACGAAACAACTGCATTCACTTTATGGCCTTGCCATACAAAGTGATTCACAATTGATTTCATTACACACAGATGTATGCAGTCGTGGCACCAGCCCGGACATCCCTCGGGGGAAGCCTGCCTTATCCACCAAGGAGAACACTTTGTCACTAGCTACCAGAACTGACGTACTAACCGCTAGGACAAAGTGTCGGTTTTGCTATATTATGCTTTATTCACAATATAGGGGTTCCCTTGAAAAACACTTTTAGGCAGTTCTATCATCACAGCACAAAGCTTGGTCTTGGCCACCCTGCAAATGTTTCTCAGATGTCTCAATTATTACAACTCTCCTTGAGTGTCATACACATCTTTGCCGATTGCTAGCTCTCATAACTGTCATTGCTAGCATCTCAGTCAGGGCGGACATTGACCAATCAACAGCACCAGATCAAGCTTGGTGTTACAGAGGATAGCAGTCTATATTCATTAGGATTCAATCCTTTCCATTCTCTTCTGAGAAATGTGAGTCTTCGGTATAGGAGAATTCTACACATTATTGTTTGCTTAGCCTACATCAGCAGTGCTCTCACCCCAACGCGGCTTGAAATACTCGCATTACAGCTTGTAACCAGCAATCATGTCTCCACCAAGATCGATTAGTTCGCGCTGGGAATATTGGTCTTCACCCTGCTTCGCCATATTTGTTGGCAGGAAAGGGTCTCGAAGGATTTCATTTTCAGATAACAGACCAGCTACTTCGCCGGTTTTTGAGATGTACAATAGGTTCTAATATTGGGTTTGGACAAGAGAGGGCTTATGCTGAAGTTCTGTAAAATTTTCTTTCTTTGCCGCAGCAGACTCTCGGCCGCTGAGAGTACGTTAGAATATCAGCCAGCTTGGGGATGGGTGGGAACACTTTGACGAATACTTTGACGAACACTTTGACGAACACTGCGGTGTTGTGCGGGCTGGCTGCAAAACACTTCAAGCTGCACAAATCGAAATATCAACCCACTCAACTGTATTTGTGGATCAAAACTATTTGACCACAGATTTCTCGATCTTCAACTTCTTCACCTTAACCCTCGATCGATATTGCTGAATCAACTTCATCCACCACCAAGATGGATCTTCCCAGGAGCGAACGACTTAGAATGTTTGATGCCGAAAAGGCGAGAGCATTCAACGAGATTCAAGACTACAAAAAGCTAGCCAGCGCAGGTCAAACCTTGGTGGCTGGATTACGCCCAGGGCAGTTGGAAATCTGTGATGGCAAGCCAAAGGTGCCGAGTCGGTAAGCTGCAACCACATTCAGGATCGTGGGTTCTACTGACAATCATATCTAGAGAAAACCTTGGAAAGCGCATCATGCTCAAGACGACAGGCCCAGCTGGAGAGTATGAACGTGCTGCGAACGCCCATGAACTAACAGCGACCGCCTCCGTATTTGCAACAGCGTTGAGTAACAACGCATCAACCAAAGAGCTACAAACCATGGCAGATAACTTAAGCAAACAAGGCTGTCTGGCCACGAACCCTCACGCTGCCACCGCTCTGAAGACTCTTGTCCATTACATGCGAACTCTACAGCTGTGCACTGCCCGATTCCTGCCCAACATCGAACGTCTTCGCCGAGGCTACTACGATTTCGACGTCCAACTTTGCTGCATCGAGCTAGCCATCCAACTGAAGGCCGAACAGTTTGGGCAGTGTGTCGTGCGGGAAGTTGTTCGCGAGTCTTTCTTTCTTCGCTTGAATCTCCGTCAGTGGCGTGCGGTGGCAGACAAGCTTCATGGCATGCTCGACCCTTCTTGGTGGTATGGGCCGCAGGCCTCGACGATACGTACATCACACACCGCGAAAGCAAAATCGCCTGCCTCAAACCAGCTCTCGAGGTCCTTCCCGCCATTCGATCCGTCTACGCCAAAGCCTTTCGTGAAGATCAAGGCTATCTGCGTTCAAACCGCACCCGTGGGTCCCCCAGCCCAGCAAATCTCTATTTTCAATACTGATGAGGCCTAGTTGCCACAGTTGTCGCTGATGCCATTCGTGAAGCTCGTGCGATCAAAGCGAGGAAGGCGGAAAAGGCGGCAAGGAAGGCCGCTGAACAGGCAGCCAAGAAAGCTGTGAAGGAGGAGGAGGAGGTTCAACAACACACTGGAGAGGGTGCCGGTGTTGAGAAGGCGATCAAGCGAGAAGCTGTGGAGGAGGAGGAGGAGGAGGAGGAGGAGGGAGTTCATCAAGACACTGGAGAGGGTGCCACTGTTGAGAAGGCGATCAAGAGAGAAGCTGTGGAGGAAGCGGAGAAGGAGGAGACAAAGAAGGTGAAGAAGTCTCCTTGAGAGTTGGGAGAGGCCACCTGCGCCATAGCGGGAAATGAGTCTTTGTACAGAAGTTCGGATGAGAAGAATCAAAGATTCTAAAGCAGTATTTTACGATGCGAGTATCAATACCACGACGGCCTCCAATGGCTTCCAACGTGCACAGTGACATGATTGCACTCTGTTCATCATAACTTACTCGCCCTCGCTATACTCTTACTAGGGTTGTCTTCACGCCACAGACTCCGCATATTCTGTAATGCCTCTAAGGCCTCTCTCTCAATCCTTCCCACCAGCTCCTCACAGGTCGGCACGTCATGGATCAGCCCAATGACCTGTCCCGCCGTCCAGACTCCAAAGTCCTTATCCCCGTTCACATAAACCTCCCTACCTCTTTTCCCACTGACCAATGGAGCCACCTCCTCAAATTTCCCCTCCTGGCTCCCCTTCTCCACTTCCCGAATCTCATCGGTGACCTTGTTCTTGAACAATCTCGTCGTATTCCTCCAGCGTCTCAATACCAGCTCTGTATCCGTCTCCTGAGCCTTCACAATCGCCTGCTTGATATTATGATGAATCGGTGCTTCAATCGTACACATAAACCTCGTGCCCATATTTATGCCCTCCGCCCCAAGTGCCAACGCAGCAGCCAGACCCTGCCCATCCGCAAACCCGCCCGAGGCGATAAATGGAACCTTCAAACTCTGCCGCGCCCGTGACAAGAGGATGAAATTCGTGATGTCGCTCTCCCCTACGTGTCCCGCACACTCAAACCCGTCGATACTCAGGAAATCCACCCCCAGCTTGACCGCTGACTGGGCATGTCGTATCGTCGTACACTTGTGCAAGATGGTCACACCATTGTCCTTCAGCAGCTTGATCACCGGGCCGGGTGAATTCCCTGCCGTCTCCACGATCTTGATGCCTTCCTCGATGCAGATGTTGGCGTAAGCGGTGTAATTTGGTGGGTTCAGTGAGGGAAGCAGGGTGATGTTCACACCGAATGGGTTGTCGGTGAGGGAGCGGCATTTGCGGATCTCGGAGCGTAGGTCTTCGGGCGTGGGTTGGGTGAGGGCGGTTAGGATTCCGAGGCCGCCGGCGTTGGAGACGGCGCTGGCGAGCACGGCGTAGCCAACCCATTGCATGCCGCCCTGCACGACGGGGACTGGAAATAGAGATTAGTGGTTGATTGTCTGTAGAAGGTGCGAATAAAAGGGTACCTCGGATGCCTAGTCGGCGGGTGAGTTCTGTATTGAAGGGCATATTACTGGGACTGCTGTGTATGTAGAGGCTGCAAGAGAAAGACGAAGAAAAAGGTGGACAGGCGAGTCAATCGTATATCATAGGCAGGGGAAAGGGTTAGAGGAACAGCATTATAGAAGAGCTGAAGATGTCTCCCCATCGGAACGCGCTTTCGGATGTTGGAGAGACACATGGATTATCGTGAGCCGAGGTAACTTTATTGGGGACCCTGGATGAGTCAGCAGCCAGGTTCTTTCTGCGGCACGGTTGCCTTGGTCCCCCAGACAGGCTTAGTGGGCATAGCCACATACTCCATACCTGAAATAGACTAACGTACACTACCACTTGGCGAGACACCCCACTTGGCGAGACAGTTTGCACACACTTTACGCAGTAATTCTATCACTCAAATGGCCCAACATCCACGTCCAATTAAGGAAATAATGAAGCTGACGATACTTCCTATTTAAGCCTATCTGAGAGAATTCTTATGCGTAACGAATCCTCTCCACGGTGCGTTATTTGCACCCTAGAGGGCGCCCTGCCCTCTTTGGCAGCCCTGACCTCCTCAAGATTCCACGAACGCTGCACCCTCTCTTTTAGCATGCGTTTTGAGCGCTTTTTGACCTCTTGCTGATGAGATTGCTTGCGTAAATTGTTGAGCTCATTTGAAGCAATTGCGCGCCAGCATGCTCTTGAATAGCTGCGTGGCTGAGCTTGCGTACAGAGCGTCGAGTTCGAGGACTAACTTTGGCCTCAATTTGCGCTTGAAGCTCTCGAATTTCATCTAGCTGAGGAGTTGGCGCTAGGGTTGCGGAGGGGTTCGGAGGGCAAGTTGGAGCTGGCTAGATCGGGTCGGCGGTGGGAGAGGTGGTTTGTGAAGAGGTTTCGACGGACGGAGGAGGTGGAGGCTGTGCTGGATGCCTCTTAACGCGCTTGTACGTAAAGTACAGTAAAAATACTCTGATTGAGTGCTGCTATGCCGGTTGGAGCGTATTCTTCGACTACACGGCTGTACGCGCTTGAAAGTGGCGAAAATGGACCTACATCAAGAGGTTAAAGTTTGTGGGTAGCGTGCGCTGGCAAATAGAGAGGGTGGATGTTGTTTTCGAGGCAGTAATACTGAAATTCGCCAGTAATATGACTCTTTTGGCTATCAAGTATCAGAATGATATGCTTGCTATTTGACGCAATTGGAACGAATATTCGACGCAGCCAATCAATGGCTAGCTCTTCGTCGGTCCATCCCTTAGGAGAAAAGGCCCATATAACGTCAGGGAGGTCCTCATGCTCTGGAAACATATGATGCTCAGGATTCTTGCCAGTAAAGATAAGATAGGGCTTAATAGCCTTTTCTGTATTTATATACTCGATAATAGAGACCCATTGAGTATTGTCTGATGCTGGAGCCACTGGGCGACCTATAGCAGGGTCAAAAACAACGTATTTCGACGCTATTTGCCCTATCTGAAACCCTGTTTCGTCTATATTGTAGATATCTTGCAGCTCAACTGCGTTTTAGCTGCAGAGCTGTTTAAATTCGGCAAAAAAGCATTTAATAACGCTAGAATCAAGGGCCATGAGTCGTTTGATATCCATTAGTCGATTTCGCCGCGTTTTAAGCTCTGGATGGCGAGCTATTAAACGCTCCACGTAGTGTTTGCCCAATTGAATCTTATCCCCCTTGCTAAGTAGCAATTTTGTAATCATTCGACAGATTTGAGCGTAATTCAGGCATAAATGCTGCCTTTGTAGGTCTCGGAAGTATTGAATCAGCACTTTTTCTTCTTGTTTTGATAGCTGTTGTGAAATGCGATCAGTTTCTGCTATAGAGGGTCGCCCTGCGCGTCGATGGGCCAGGGTCGAATTTGGAACGTCGTAATAGCTCGCAGCTTTACGAACTGAGTCAAATAGGCCTAGATCAACGTCATTTGAGGCCTGCTGAATAGAATGCTCCTTGTTTGAGTCCATTTCGAGCTATTTTGGTAGAGCTATAGCTGTTCGAAATTTGAGTGTTGCCGAACGCCCTGCGCGAAAAACTGTCTCGCCAAGTGGGGTGTCTCGCCAAGTGGTAGTGTACGTTAGTGCTTGACTAAGCAGACATTTGGCGCACATTGACTTAGTCATCGTCCAACCCACAGAGCACGGCTGAGAACTGAGGCAAAGGCACGGGTTGACTGGGCAAATCACAGCTCACAGCACACTCATTGAAGGATACGGTAGATAATGTTGCATTTTGGAGATACCTGTTAGAAGTAGTAGCAAACAGCGTACGGAGGTGCCAATTCACTTGATTGAGTTACTCCTATCAAGAGGAGCATTTGCTCATACTAATAGCTATAGAAGCGCATTACTGTAACAGCTCAGAAACAGCATTTGGCGTTCAATTCGTATAGCAATGCTCACTGCCATAAATAACAGGGCGTAACAGTTACAAGAGCGTTTCGTGCGTTTTGCATGCGGGGACCCTTGTACCATCATGCTAATACGTAACAGATACGTATCATATACGCAGGGATTCTGACAATACCATCCTTTGGAATTATAATTAAGACGTTCTTCTATTTGATGTTTCTCCCTGCGCCATGGCTTTGGTAATGGTGACAGTCCCCTCTTCTCTCCATGACCCTCCTGCCGTCCTGATGGCATGCCCGTGTATCGACTTCAACTTCCTCACGGTGCTTGTATGAGACCCTCGAGCAGAGTGCCTCTTCGCCTCCGTCCTCCACTGATCACCACCGAGCATCGCTATCTTGAAACTGCCGACCGTAATCATTCGCCAGCGCATGAAAAACCACCAACAATTCTCGACAGCAAAATGAGCTCCACCAGCCACCAAAAGACGTCGTCCGTCGTCCACTTAGCGCTCCCTGCACATCGCCTTCGAATCTTCGCTACAAGGTCTCCAGGCTGGAAGACTACTGCATTGCAACGTTGTTTCGTTGCAAAGGTGCCATGATAATCTTCCAGCAGTCCACGCTATTCCTTCTGTAAAGAGGCACCAGGAATCGTTCGTAAGATCAGCAACCGACCATGTGATCATCGTCAAGATAGCCAGAATAATCGAGACAATGACATCGCCGAAGTTCGGCATAAACATCTTCAGATTCTAGAAAAAAAAATCTTAGCTTTCAAAATTGATCCCCATAGACTTGACCAACTTTGCGAAACTTTCATGATCGACGGCCCCAGAGTCAGTTTGATCGAATATGCTCACATGGGATCTTTCGCATGATATTTGCTTGAGAACTTTCGAGCAATAGATGATATGGTCGCTGCTCTTTCAATGTCTTGAAGGTTTCTTCCAACACCAGGAATGTTATTCGATGTTTCCAATCTTCCGACTTTGCATTGTCGTCGGACTCCAAGTCGAGTCCTTCATCCGAAGTCTCAACCATGATCTCCCTCTTTTCATTCGATTCTGAGGATGAGCCTCCCTGGAGATGGCGCGAGGCTTCTGTTCAACCTGCCATCGCTTTCTTCCGAATCAGCGCGCTCAACTCACAGGGTTTTGTAGCTCTGGCGTCTTCTCTCGCAAGACTTGGGTTCTCTCGACAAACCATCAGCTGAGATTGTTGCCAGACGACTGGACGGATCTGAAGAGATTTTTACCCATTCCTGATCTCCGATATGGCTCTTTTCCATACACAACCCAAGGAATTGATCCCGTCCCTTCTCAATAGCAGCGGTGGATTTGAAGTCTGGTTCGATGCTGCAACAACAAATTGACGTGGTCGACAACGCTGATTGAGCCATTGGACCCCTCTTGGAGCATCGAGTGGATAGCCCTACCCGATCGTGCTGCACGTAACATTGACCATCTTTCTTCCCATATTCAACGTGAGCCCGCTCATAGCGTGGATGTTTATCGCACTATCAGACAGCTGCTTAAGAGCGTTTCAGGTTAAAGAGTTGACGCTCTTCCCAGGGTACAAGATGTGGTGCTGGACGTTGTTGATGTTGGCCAAACCTGAACTCCGTTCGAAGTGGATTTTCGGGCTAAACAAGCATCCCGTCAATGGGCATCCTCGAGGAACCAATATTGCCCTCATGCAGGCCCGCACCCCCACCATGTTTTTGTATAATTGCACGGCTTCCGCTGTGTGGCGCAATATTTAAATCGGTCAACCTTCCATCTTACCATTCCTGATGCGAGGAATTGCCGTCGCCCCGGTGCCACAAATACAGTGTATCGTCCCTTTTGAACCTTCCTCCTCCTCCTCCTCCTCCTCCTCGTCGTCGTCGTCGTCGTCGTCGTCAGCATGTCAGAGGTCAGCCAGATTCTCCTCTGTCTGAGCAAAACTGTTCCGGGAAGCAAGTTTTTTTCACCCATATGCTCCGCTATCTCATCTTCGAGTGCTCGAGCATGATCAAAGAGACCAAGCAATAATATGGCGACTGGGCTTTGATCGGATCTTTGTTGCTGCTAGTGGATAACCGATCTCTAAGCCTCGGTACTCCTTCCATTCGAATGGCATGATTGATCCCAAGCAGGGTATTCTTGATATTCCACGCAATCCAGCTGGGTGTTGGATGACAAAGTCTCCGCCATGTCTCTGATGGTGGACTCCGTATTGATCTTCGTCCTAGGAGTGAGGTTCGGGAACTTTGATCTCCTATATCAGCATATATCTGTTACCGCCCATAATCGTCATCTGTCCACGCGGAGGATGGGCGTCTGATCTTCATAGAGATACGTGAATAGACTGAAGACACCATCATCGTGGTGATTGGAGAATCGAAGAAAGCGACCATTTTGCAGAACCACATCAATTGACAGCCAGAAATCCACATCGCGTCAATGCCGCAAGGGAATGCGATTCACCCCAGGTGAGCACTGCTTGGTGCTACACTTGCCGCCGTACGAGGCATCTGCCACTCTGAGTAGTCGCCACTGAACGACAGACTCCATGAAGCTGAAGATCTTGTTTGAATTGCGTTATGATGAAGAGATCTGCCACATCACCGGACGATCTCTTTCGCATTGCATTTCCCGAAAGATCTATTCGATCAAACAACATGAAGCTGCGGCGTCGAATCTTCAACTTCAACGGCCCATTAGGAAAGCGTTGTGATAAGGTTTTCCTTATGGAATGCAGAATGTATTATCTTCAAGTATGACTCGAGGACGACGATTCCCACGGCGTGAAATGTTTCGGGAGTTTGCTTGCCATGTGACATTTCCAGGCGTGAGATAGGTCTGGCGCTCTTCATCGTCGTTACCGATTTCATCTTCGTAATCGGTCATATCGAAGGACTCATTCCATCGGTGTTCTTCGATCCCGCCGCATGCAGGTTCCATCCCGCCGCGTTGTGGAGATATATACTATTCCGTCGGCGTTCTTTGATCCCTGCGGCCTGCAGGTTCCATCCCGCCGCGCTGTATATATAGATATATATACTTCGGGGTATTGACTTCAAGTTCACTTCGCAGCAAACAAATAGCAGACGTCCATGTTCCAAGTTTGTGTGTGGTGAGGAGAGCCTCAATAGACTGTCTCCTCAGAGCCGCCTCAGTTCGAAATGGGTTTAGCGCCAAGCCGGATTTGGAAACGTGATCGCAAAGCGGAATTCGTCACACAACACACCCCTTCTCCCTATGAGAAATGAAATAAGAATGATAGCATACAAAGCTGCTCCTACTCTCGGTGATATCACTCGTTCCAGCTTCATGGTGCACACCCGTTCGCTCACGGTCTGAGAAATTTCATCCTTTCATTCTTCTCTTTGTTGATCGCATTGTTGTGGAATCTGAAGTCCTGATGAACCACAGCAGCCGCCAGTACTGCACGTGAGAATATAGTAGCGAGCAAGATGGAATCTGAGCTTCAGCAAAGGCGTACACCTTGGTATTGCGTGATGAAAGACATGAAGAGTGGCTGGACGTCGTTCACTTTTCAGTTAGGTTGATCAAGAGTCGATGAAGAGTGAGTTGAAGTACGGACGGCCGCCACCGCCATGGAACTTGAAGATGTGCAGGATCCATAGTCGTGATCGTATGCATGCCTGGTAGCCTCCAGGTAGAGAGGTAAGAATGGGGAATGTGAAGTCCATATCTATATAAAGAGAGATAGAATGATGAGGGTATGAGAAAGAGAAAGAAATTTTTCAGAAAGAGGGGATTTGGGCCTTCTAATATACCAGGCACAGCCAGGCTCGGCGCATTCACAGACCCTGCCGATTCAATACTTGAGGAAGCCGATCACTATTTCTGAAAGTCCTTCATCAGCCTGCAGGCTACGATTGCATCATCATTGCATCGCCTGTCACAATCTTCATTGAAGGTGCAGACGGGGGCTGATCGGTACTAGCACTCGTCGGGGAGAGAGCGAATGACTGGAATAGGCTGTGCCGATTCAATACACGGATCCGCCGAAGAAGTTTTATGGCAGCTCTTGTATGTGTTGGGATCTGGCATACTCCTTCCTAATACAGCTTGTGAGGTTCTGGCTATTCACCACTATCAGACAAAGACTGACAGACAGGAAACAGTGGGAAGGTTAGCCACTGGTTGGACCAGTCCTCTGCCTCCATCGTGAAGGATCGTGATCCTACAACACGATACTACACCGCCTTCCAGCCTCCCTTGCACGCCCTCCACCAAGCCACCCAACCCACAACTCACCAATCACACCCTCAATCAAAACTCTTGAGACACCCCAGGCTATGTAATCCTACCCAACAACAAGAAAAGCAGTCCTACCATATAAAGAGCCCCCCCCCCCTTCCGCACACCAAAAACAGTAACCACTTCTCCTAGCAGTGCACTGACTCACCTCTGCAGCCAGTCCGGTTACCAGAAACAGTCCAAAACCATAGTCCGATCACGGATCCAAGGATAGAGGTTGATAGAATAGAGGACCATACTTTTCGCTTCGTATTTGTAGTTACATAACCGGCTAGCTCTCCCTTACTGCCTGCCTCTCAGCTCTAACTACCTCAGGCTGCCAGAAAATTGGGTAACGCCCCGTTTTCTACAGATTGAGAGGGTTGCCTTGGGAGGGACCCTCCCCTCTCTCTCTCAAGAAGAGGAGGAAGAAGCGACTCGTAAAAGTGATACCGACTACTAGACGACTCAGTGAGAGGGAGGGATCATGCAGTTACTTGGTTACATGTCCGGCCCTGCCCTGCTGCCTGTCCTGTCCCATCCCAGCCCATCCCATATCCAACATCCAACATCCAACATCCGATTGACGTAATTGGGCTGCCTGTCTGTCTGTCTGCCTGCCTGCCTGCCTGCCTGCCTGCCTGTAGGGCTGTAAATAACCAACTAGCACCAGAGCCAGAGCCAGAGCAAACACGACCAAGAAAGTACAGATAAGTACTGCCAAAGTAGGCAGATAGGGAACAAAACGACAACCTTTCGTACCTAACCCCGTGATGTATTGCGCACACCCGCACACCCGCAGCACGCGCGTAGGTGCATACATACAATCTCTTTTTTTTGCCAATTCAGCTGCACAGGCTACCTACCTACCTAAGCACCTACTCTCGCACGGAGGCGGAGGTGTGCATTCAAAGGTCTTCGATATACACTAAGTTAGTCACTTAGGGTGAAGGCATGCTAGCTCACCTCGTACTAGTTAGTGGAATGCTACTAGAAAGGTGATAGGAGCGCCTGAAGCTTGGCGGGCATTAGCCTGTGAGCCTGGGTGAACGACTCTGGAAACTAAGTTAGAGATATTCCAAACTAAAGGTGTGGGGGAAATAATTACTACTAGTAGTTAGTAGCAGTGGCGCTCCAATATCAGCATATTTGATATACTGCAATGTCTGATGCATGACTCCGTACCTACCACTTATGACGTAGGTAGTACTGTAAAGTTCATGCTGACATATCTATCCGTATTGGTGTTGCCCATCCCAGCGATGAGCGATGAGAGAACGACATGTGCTAGATCCAGATGCATAGAAATAACGCATGGGATAGGCATCGTGAGCATGAAAAGGATAAGATGATGGTATCCATTATAGACTGCCAATGCTCTTAAGGCGGTGAGGCAGTGTATGTATGTCGATGTATGTTCGTGTCGCGCTTAGCGCGCAGCTTTGATGACAGAAAAGTTGGTATGCGACTGCCGATTTTGATTAGCATTATTTTTGTACGAGTTATTACTATGAGCCTCGAACTATCGATACACAGCGGGACGTCGGAACGCTTCGCTCAAGTAGTACAAAATATCACCCGACATACTCATCGCTTCCTTCATCGCTTTCTACCGAAGACTGGCTCGCCTCACTCTCAGCCACACTGTCCGTATCAGCACCATCAGCTGAATCACCATCCTCAGACCCACTCTTGCCGTCGTCGCTATCCTCCCTGACGCCCTCAACGTTCCCAAGTAGAGCACTGCAACCACTTTCAGCTGTGGCAGGGATCGACGTTTCTGGCCTTGAAGAATCACCACCTAAATCTTCGCCGTCACCGTTGTCTGCGAGCTTTTCACCTGCTCTACCCTCTTCGTTAGCGTCTTCCTTTTCGATCTTAACAAGTTCATTCGTACTCGAAGTTTCGCTTGCATCTCCCTTGTCTTGCTTCGTCTCAGCCTTTTGCGCCTCCCTCTGCGCCTCCTTTGCATTCTTCTTTGCTAGCTCCGCATCTCGCCATGCAGCAACTTCAGCCACCGCGCTCCAAGGATCCTTTTTGCGTGTGATCAGATAGCCTTGTACCTCGGCGGGTGAGAAGGTCGCCTCGGGAAGGCTGTCAGCAAACTTATCGGCCCATTCCTTGAGATCCGGCGATGGTTCGCTTTGTAATAAGAAGGTAGGCTCGAGCTGTGACGACGCTTTGCTAGCTGAATGGAGTCGAGAGGGTGTTGCGGTTGTCGGGCTCCGAGGTGGCGTGGGAAGTAAAGGTCCTGTCGAGGGTAGCAACGTGCTGTGCTTTTCGTTGTTGCTTTTCTCCGAAATTTTCGGTCGATCTGCAAAGGCACCGGCTTCCAAAATATTAGGCATAATCTGCTTCAGATTTGTTGGTGTGCGAGCAGCTTCCCTCGAATCGACGCAGTACATTCGAAGGAAGAGTTCACGCATCTGGATTCTGCTTGCAAGTGTGAATTCGATCTTCATGTCAACACGTCCAGGCCGCATGAGCGCGTCGTCCAGTTTTTCCGGATAGTTTGTTGTCATGATCAGAACACGTCCTTCTTGAGAGGCAACACCATCAATGGCGTTAAGAAGGCCGGACATAGTGATTCCCATATCATTCGAAGAGCCAGGACGTCCGCCTGCAGAACGGTCATTGCTCTCGTTGGCAGATTTGACCGCTTTGGCGACCTCCTTGGCGATCATTGCTGCAGTTGTTTCCGCGCTTTCGTCTTTCTTCTCATTCTTGGCGTCTTCCTTCTTATCCTCTGCTTCTCCTTTAGACCTCTTCTCTTCTTCCTTTGTAGTGTCTGATTTCTTCCTTACAATGCCAGCACTGTCGATGTCCTCCAACAAGACTATGCAGCGTTTGGGTAGGCTGTTGAAGAGAAGGATGAGGTCTTCCTCCGAAAGTGTCTTTTCCGAAAGCGACATGCAATAAATATCGAGACCGAAAACACCAGCCAGGGCAAAGCTCAAGCTGGTCTTCCCGGTTCCAGGAGGACCATACAACAGGATCCCTCGCCGATATGGAATGCCTCGATTACTATACCATCTAGTCGTAGCAGGATCCAAGAAGTCGTTGATGTCACGTAAAATGGCAGCCTTCTGTTTGCTGTCTAGAACCACGGTTCCCATTGGACGACTAGGACGTACGGCGACCTTGTTCCAAGCCTGACGTCCTCGACCTCGCTGTTCCTTTGGACTAGGCCGTCTGACTGTAGTTTTGGCAATCTGCTTCGATAGATTCCGGTCTCTGGTGTCGAGAATGAGGTCTTTGATGGGTTTGGTCGAACGCCCGAGCACGGTCAGCCGGACGGTTTCTTGGTCTTGAATCATCATGCCCATCCAGCCGCCTTGAACCTTGTTTAATTCACGAGAGAACTTAAACCAATGTCCCTTATGGCGGAACCAGTGGTAGCCAGTATCGGGCTCATACCGAGGTGGGACCTTTGCTGCCCAGCTGTTGAAGTTGAAGATGGCGCCCGCTGCCGCATTGTCGTCGCCCTTCAAATCATCCACATCGTCTGTGTAGTCTGCGCTCTGGACCTTCAGAGACCGTACTCGCTTCAAGTCCTCTTGTTCCGCAGCCCAGGACAGAAGGTTGTCGTAGATGATGTCGTAAGCATCGATAACCACGCTGGCGGTAAAGTATGTCAGGAAGCTGGCCCATAAGTGCCGGTAAATGTAATGAACGCCTGTAGTACAGGCGAAGCCGAGAACCAGGACAGATACGATGATGGAGATATCGAACCCGAACACATCGAGGAGGTATTTAGAGATGAATGAGTAGCCCGGAATGAATGCGTCTAGGATGCTAGTGGGAAGATGACCAATACCCGGAATGGTGGTGTCGTTGCTTGAAACGTGTTGCAAATGATGGAGGCCTGGAAAAGCCATACCTGTCGTGGGAGACAGCCGCCCTACGAGATGATGATGGCTAAAGACGGAAGGATCGTTTGGAAGAGTGGAGAATTGTAGTTGTTTCTTCCTAATCTCGGATTGTCGCTATGTCTTGGAACATCTATCGCACCAAATATCGGAAACGGGGATCTGCGAAGGGATTGACGAATAGGTTCCTTTTTAACGTTAAAATGATCACGAGGCGGCTTAAAATGAAGCCAAACTTATCCACCAAGGATCTATTTTACAAACTTTGATCAGAAGTCGATACGGAAGTATTACGACGAAGCCCGTGGGCAACAGCTGGTATTCAACACAGCTGGCGTTGATTCTGTGAATGGGAGAAGGAGAGAAAACAGGATGATTTATGTAGTTAAATAATAGACAAGCAAACATGTCGCACCGTACGTTTGTCTTTGTGGCTCAAGTGTCGCAGCAAGGCTTCAGGCACCAGCCTTGTACGTACTAAGAATATGTAGTGAGAATATCAGACACGGTACATGGCAGCTCCAAGGTTGTTTTGGCAAAGCAGTGGCAATCGGCGGAGCCGCACCAACTTAGATAGTAACACTGATTAGCTTCCATCCAGCTGGCTCATGGTGATAGATCCTACCGATATATTACTCAGAAGTGGTCTAGCCAATAGGCTATGATCTTGGAGGTTGGCCCAGCCGATATTGTAGCCTGTAAGATTCATGAACTTGCTTCTGTGCGCCAGCTGTTGACTTGCATACAGTACCGCTAATGTGATTACACATGGTTAAAGTGAGTTACTACGTAATTACAACACTGCGCCACTGCGCCACTGCGCCACAAACCGCAGCCTTGGGCCGCTTGCTCCTTTACCCACTTATCAGAGTCAGCATGAAATCCTGACCATGAGGCTGAACCCTGACCAGCTGGAACACCTGGTGCATCGCTCAGCTATGATGTTATCCAGGTCAGGGCTCGTAATCAACGAATGAGCCAGTTGGGACTCTGTTAAACTCAAAAATACAGTTTGCGCTATTCTGCTACGCGTTTCACATGCGTTTTGTTACAGATCTAATACGCGTTTTGCATGAGCTCCGCATGTATTTTTGGTATCTGCGTGTCGCGCTATTTCGCTTGGTATCGCCGAATTGAACGTATAAATGCACGCTCTGCGCAGTGATTTAGATAGAACAACTTGCTATTTTGCACTGATCCATGGATTAGTCAGCACAGTTCATCTGACTCCTAGGCACCTGTGCCACACTGGACTAATAACGCCGAAGTCAAATATGAATGCCACATAGGCAGGATTCGTCTGGCATGTTCACGACTTGGGTTCTTTTCGAATACCACAGCACCCGTTATCCGAGTCCAGACTGTTGATTCTAAGAACGCCACTCTCGTTGCTGATCGTCAAGGGAAAGCCCAAGGCTGCGAATCTTTCCTCCACTGTCGGTGCGAAGAAGAGATCCAGGTCTTTGCCAAAGAGGTCCTCCATGGCATCTGCCGTGACGAAGAAGGCATATTCCCTAGGCGCGCATTGCAGCGCCTTCATAATCTCCTCAAAGCGGAGTGCTATCACCTTCAGCTGCTTTTGAGCGCTAGCCCAGTACTTGCTCAGCTTCTGCACAACCTCATAACTGCTTTGCACGAGTTGGAGGTCAGATTTTAGATCGGCCAGCGTGCCGATACTGGTTAAAATGTCCACTGCAGATAGCATGGAGTAGGCTTGAAACGGCACCGAGAATGTTCGGGCTGGTTTCGAGGAGCGCTGCTCTTCATAAACCTTCGACAGCAACAGAGTAAACTTCAGGAGCTCTCGAGCGTGAAACTGGGCAGCTCTTATATTTCGACTTAAGCTACTCTCATCCATCTCCCTGTGCGGTGCGTGCCGATTCAATTTCATAAGAACAGTGTGATAGCGTGCATGAAGTAATATGAAAGTCTCGGCGTAGCCTTCCTGCAATGCTTGCTGGATATTCTGTGTGTTGCAGGCGAACAAATGCGGCGGTAAGCGATCGATGAACCTTCGCAATTGCCGCTGCTTACCGCTGTAAAACTTTTCGTACTTGTCATCATCTGATTCGAAGGTTCGGTGCTTCTCCCTATAAAGGTATTGCAAGACTTGTCCCCAGATAGAAGATATCACGATCAGGTATGACATTGTGCCCAGGCTAGCTGGCTTCGGCCAGCTTACATTCTGGTCAATCGTCCCAAATAATGGAGTTACTGGAATGTCTTGGTTTTCGTACAACTCTTCGCTGCAAGGAACGCGGATAAAACAATCTTCGTTCTGCAGCATGGGCGGAAGGCCAGAGCATAGGCCATTGCATCGCTATTAAAGAGTTAGCTGAGAATAAAACATCAAGTTCGCAAGAGAGGGCACCTACCTCCAAGAGGTATACCGACCAGAAAGTCCTCCTTTGACACTCCGCCATTGTCCTCCTATCAAGGCCATATTCGCATCCATGTGTGTTAAGTCGTTCGACAACACCATACTCAGTGTTGAACTTCAACTCGCATACCCCTCTCGCCGCAGCGCCGCAGTAGTCCGACGCCTCGCTAAAGTCTCCCAGCGAAAACTTCAACAAGCTTAGTATCCACCTGGTTTGGACCAGTTGCAACGTGAACCTTCCAACGCTGTTTTGCTCCGCATAACGAGCAAGTTGCAGCATTCTCTTACCATGCACAACGCTCTCCTTGTGGGTTGAAAAGCTACATCCCATTGAAATCATAGCATACAGGAGCATCTTATCATCAAGCGTCTTTTCGCGACGATCGCCAACCCATGTAAGGAATGGGCCCTTTGGGAATATATAATATATACCTTGATTGACGTGGGCAAAGTAGAGATCCAGGTATCCCTTCGTCACTGGCGATATTGGATAAGGATCTAAGTTCCAGTCCGCCGCTTGAAGACCTAATTTTTCCATCATGTCGAATACTGGTGGCGAGTCCAATATCGGTGATGAGGCGTCTGACGACCGCAGCCTTCCTGGTGGTGATTTCATTGTTTCCCGCCAATCTTGTCTTGAATCCACCCTTTGCTCTGGCCGCTTCATAACCTTTTCGCCGTAGTCAGGAGCTGCACTTGATGCAGGGTAAGTGATTGTTTGATGCTTCTCTGCTGTCATACGACGTGACGTTGGTTGATGTTTGGGTTCGTTCTGATCGCTACCGTCGGCAGAGTTTGCGCCGGTACTTATTAAGTCCGGTGATATTACGCAAAGTGCCGAATTGGGTTGAGGGCCACGCTCTCTGTTACGGTTTGAGAGGGCATCCCGCGACCTGGATTCGGATCAGCCTCTTGTTCTTAGATCCACATGCAGAGCACACACCCACTTTCAAACCTGCAGTCAGTCTGTGTTTTCTCGCATTGAGCACATTTCATTAGATCCGGATTTGGGTGACAGCGGATCTTCTTTTGCCGGCAATTGATGCAGGCTTGGGCTAAACGCTTCCTGGGTTTTCCTGCTTTGGTTAATCCTGGGTCTGGATGCGCAACCGCTTCATGCCACGGTTCTCCAGAGATTCTACCCGGTGCATGGGAGGGAGAATTCTGTCCTCTAATAGCTCTATAATCCAATGTACCTGTTGCAGGACTGTTTCCTGGAGAATGACGTCCATAAGGATTGGCTCGAGCTATGTTGGATTGGTGGAACCGAGGGCTAAGGAGGTTTGCTTCAAGAGGAGAAATCTGTGCATACTGCTGTGGGGGGGCTTGCATGAAAGTGGGTGTTTGGTGATGTATGGGAATCAAGGCGTCAGAGCTCGAAGTCCGCATAGAGGGAGGACTCGACGTCATCGACTCAAACGGATCCGACTGTAAACCCTTGATGCTACTTTCTGAGGCGCGTTTCGACAGTGACAGAAAATCATGTGCGGAGCTCAACGTTGTGGTCGGTAAAATTGAACGAGGTTGCTCTGGATGATGCTGTGGAGTCAGAGTGGAAGGGTCGGGACCGACGAACACATCAGGTTGTAGCAATTGCCGGACGCCAGGTAATCTCATACTTGGTCCGTGTTCTGAATGCGGTCGTGATAGCCTCTCGTGGGCTGCGGTTTGCGGCCACCCATTATTGCTCATATTGGGGGGAAATGGTTATGTCGCCAAACTGGTACACAGTCGGCAGAGAACTCGTGCTTCGAGAACAGGTAATTTTGCGAAGGACAGCTTATCGTTCCTTGAAGAGCGTGCGGTTATCATCTATGTAGTCAACCTAGGTCAATGTATATTTTCGACACAGTATCGAAGCGCAGATTTGATGGTTCATAAGGATTGGACTTCTAGAGGTTCAATATCAATACCAGGCTTCCCGAGCGATCCCGTAACTTTCAGACGACAATCAAATGGTCTGCGCCTCCTCACATCTCTTAGCCCATGAGGAAATATCCCATTGGTGAATGGCACCAAATGCCAGGTGTGCAGCCTCTAAAGTTTATCCACCCAAAGACTACAGCGTGGATCTTCCATATCCTCTCAAGGGAACAATCAGCATGCAGGGAAAGCATAGACAAGACCATGCCTCCAGAAACCATTTTCGCCGTGGCAAGTACTGAATGCAGGTTTCCTGTTCGCCGAAACGAAGATTGTTGTTGTGTTCACTAGTTCTTAGCAAACCACGCCGTGTTAACAACGGCGACTGCTCACGAAGCTAGGAACGCAGATATCATCGAATAAGGTTAAGACATTTGTACCTACCCTGTCGGTATTCCCCTAGTCTTGGTTGAGTTGTCGACATGCAACCACAGTCCTGAATGCTGATCATTCAACCCGGTGGATGGTGGGTGACGACTACAGAACTGGGGTCTAGCAGATCTGCCTGGTTCCTTGAGGCCAAACCTGATACAAACTGCGGCAAGGTCTTCCTGGGCTACGGAGTACATTCGGGGCTGACAGAAGATTGACAAAACCATAAGAGTCTGATGCTGAGCTAACTGGTTTGGCACCCAATGAGTGGTTGGAAGAAATTATGACAAGATGGGAACAGGCTAAAGCCCAAGCTACTTGAGGGGACATTTTGCGGTCCATCCGAGTGCTCACTTGGGACTCGATCGCATCTGGATGGAGCAGAGGATCGACGACTATTTGGGGGGTCACTTGTAATTTAGTCTGTCCAATAAACCTGCATACATCAAATATAACTGTTTTTGTGAAACAGTTGGTGCTATGATGTTGCCCGTCATGCTGCATCGGCCAGGAGATCCGGCTTTAGTGTCCCGTGTGGCTGGGTAGGTCCTTGTTTGCCGCTTTTTCTGACGCTGTGACAGGTGAAGGAACCTGATGTAGCTCAGCCCTGACAAGTCCATCCTTCTCGGTTCGATGTTCGGTGTCTTCCCATCCCGTCACTCCGCAAGAAGCGAAGCTATCGTGCCGTTTCAGAACTGGGGTACGAGAGGCGCGGAGAAATGGTGTGACCGACTCTGGGCAAGGCGATTGAACACCTATCACTCGATTGCCTGTGCGAGGCCCTGCAGTAGCGAGGTGACAGGAGATCGGGAGCTGCACGTATGCATCTGACAGAATTTTCTTTACAATGATATCCCCACACATGGGACTGTTGATATTGATGGTCTACCTGAGCACGATTTATGCATTAGTTACGGCCAAACCTCTGAGCAACATGATTCACTACTCGGTGGCATTAACTGTCTTCCAATTCTGTTCGAGGCCTCGTCATTGACCAAAGTTTATAGAATTGAATTGTTCGCCGATGGTCGAGTTGATTGGTTTGCAAAGCGGATCTTTAGTGCTGAGTATCTCCTCCCAATCCAGGACAAAGCGTAGTGCAGATAGTACTTAGATCTTCTACAGCCAAGAATGTGACGCGGCTGATCCTACTAGTACTGCATGTGGAGATCCCCATAGTTCTTCCAGGGCAGATGTCATATCAAACTCACTCGAAAGTGGTTAGCTATAGCAATTTTATCCATATTTACCTAGTACCCAATAGCAGCAAGCGGCTGTGAGACCGAGGTTGGCTTACGTGTGATATGTGGGGCTTAGAAAGTCAAACATGCACACTCCGATACCTGATGGACAGACACTTCAAGCGGGGAAGGCAGAGCTCTTCTCGATCAGCACGGTACAAGGCGCTCTTAGTCTACAGCTGTGTAATTAATGTCACTCCCGGCCATACGAGGGGCTTGAACTTCTCATGCTTGATGCAGGGTGAAGAATGGAAGGCAAGCCGGTGACGTAGAGGGCGTGCTTTGATGAAAGTGCAGTTACCTGATTACGAAGTAAACTGGTCCACAAAATGAACAGGATACTGTGTACTTGCATTGTCGCAAGCCAAGGCTGAGCCTCATCAATCAATCAATTGCAGCGGGAAAGCCCTGTACAGGATCTGCCTTGCAATTTCTCAAAAAGGCAATGTCTGATGTCAAGCTTCTCCTAAGTCAAAGACCCACACCCAGAGAGTTTGGCTGACTGAATATCGCGTAAGGACTTGAGCTAATTCTCCGCACCTCTAGTTCTCATGCAGGATCTTGGTGAACTCCTCCCCAGCGCCCTTGGGATTTTCCTGTTCGATGCTCTTCTGACCAAGTTTTTCTTTTGAGAAAGCAGACGCATATGGGTTCAGTCTCAGTAACACCTGTCTGTTGCGCAGAGGATTCTTCTTCTGTACTCCAGAACGCTTTGTTGTAGGATAGCCCCTCGGCTCTCTCAAAACAGACTGGACCTCGGATGAGTTGATGAGGCGTGTGATGTCGGCATTTGATACCACGTTGGAAGGTAACAGGAAGTCTTTCTTGAGGGCCGAAGGAGCAGTGGTAGATCCGTAGATGTCATCGAGAGCAGCAAAGGCACTGGAGGTCCAGATGACGAATCGGCCTAGATGACCACCCGGCGCCAGCTGAAGAAGGTTGAGTGCGTAGACAGACGAAGTCTCGACACCTGGGATATTTCGGAAAGCCCGCACCAGTTCCTTGCCATCTGTGTCCGGGTTGTAAACAACTAGTGGACCACGTCTTTGACGATAACGACGTCCTCGCATCTTTCCTTTACCAGCCCGTAGCTTGCGAGACTTTTGCACCTTAACGACGTCCGGACCCGCACCAACGGCCTTTAGTAGAGACACAGCAGCAGAAGTCTTGACAATCGCTGCGCCTTCAAATGTTTTCGAATCGATTACAAGGGGAACTTCGGGTACAGTAGAAATGCGGTGGCCGCGAGCGAGGAGAAGAGCTGGAACTGATGAGGCGGCAATAGCTGAAGCAGTGGCGAAGCGTCTAGGGCTCGTTAGTATATCTTAACTTCTTTGCAATACTTGCTTCTCACTTTTGACCCAAGTTGACCTTCTGATGCCATTTCCGCCAGACCTTAGTGGGTGCGAACATTCGACCAGAGCGACATTGGTTACCAAAGGCGGCTTGTCCAGCACGATGCGTACCGCCACCAGAGACTCGCGGGATACGTGCAACAGCGCGACCTGTAGCAGAATTAGATTTCTCGGCGCTCTTCTTTTGAACTTCGGTTGCAGCTCACCGGTTCCCCAAGATTCTGCCGAAGTCTGCTCTCCGGCTTTCTCGCTAACTGCGTATGGTTGTCGCTTGTTCTTTGCCATGCCAGTATGGACAGTCCTTTGATCCGTCAGTAACGTGTCAACTCTGACGCAATCATATCATTCATACTGTACAATGTCTGGTCGAATCGGCGAGGAGAAGACTGCTGGCAGGGGGTGAGTCGAGCCACTGTCAGTACCATCCGCCGAAGTGATGGTCACAGTAGGGCGAGTCGTCATCTTGAGAGTTTGTGTAATACCCGAAGCCGCAGGTTATGGTGATAGATGTTGTGGAGTTGAGGTGATATCTCCAAATTGGCCTTCTTGGCACTAAGCATCTGTGTGCAGTATTAGCCCTAAGCCCCAGAGCCGATTAACTTAATACGGCATCTTGACCAATCCCCATCGGGAGCCCGAGGTGCCGCCGGAAAGCAGCTTATGGTTTTTGCTCAATGAGTTATACACAGAGACAAAGTTGCTGGAAACTAAGCCCGAGTATCACACGGTCCTGCACACATCTATGTCTGCCTGTGCATTACACTCTCTCAATTGCCTGACCATGACCAGATACTCCTCAGCATTACCTTGTCGTTGGGCCAAACTTGTTTCGGGAATTCGCATTGCTACCATTGAATGGTTACCAGAAGTGAGACTGAGTGCCATTAGTCTCTAGCACTATCAGCATTAGCGATCTGACAGGGGATAGCTGTAACAGAGAAGTCCTAGAACCCGTCTCAATTTGAATATCTTCTCCCGATCAAGCTTGCCTTCATTCCCGCTCTCTAATCTGAACGGAGACACGCTAGCAAATGTAAGTCCCATGTCTGTTCATAGGCGCAATCTATTTCTCCTTACTGAGTGTCATTTATATCCAATTCATTTGTCAGCCAGGATCTATCTCATCTTCAAGAGACCAAAGAAAGGTACCTAGTCATTGAATCAAGTAAACTTTGTCAAATCCTGCGCTAACTGGATCGGAAAAGAGGCAGAGGTTAGCCACAGAGGTCATTCTCACTTGCCAAAGCCTTTTAGTGGCCACTGGCCGCTCTCAGATGGTTTCCAGCGTGCTGCCAACTTGTGGGTTTAACCTTGGAGGCTGGGACTCCTGCTAAGACAACCTGCGACTGTTGTTCTCCTACCAGGAGTGCATCTTATGCGAGACCTATCTATGTTTTGCGCGCTTACAATTTACCGCAACCATGCAATATTTAGCACCCCTGGGTACCCGCTTCTAGGTTTCATTCATATTTGTGTACGGAACATGGTCCGAACGATGTCTACGTGGGCTCCACCGACCCTGGCGATCCTTTAGTTTTTTCAGCTTCACCAACCTCACCTTCACTTAGATGTCGATTTCCTTAGGATGTCTCATGCTGCCGAAAAGACGATCATGTCTTAGTTTCACTTATTGCAACTGCCAATCCGGTACGAGGCAAATCTGGCAGCTTCAAGAAACATGCTGGAACAGCATCACAACGGTTCTGATGAGTCTGGTCTTTCACGCGTTGCAGCGGTATAAATACCTAGTGCGTTGTCCATAAAAACTTCTCATCTCCATTTCTACAGACACCTTCCTCTTTTTTTGGTTTGGCTTCGGTCCTTGCTTTGATCGCCTAACATGAGCTTTCCAGTTGAACATCTCACGACCTCCTCAACTTCTCAATTGAGCCGGAGGTATTTCTCCGAGCGATCATTGCAGACCAATAGAGCAAGAGCAAGAGCACAGTCCTCGTCCAGCCAGGTTACCTTCGCGAAATGGAGGCCGTGGACTCTACATCCCGCCGTTCTTCTGTCGACAATGTTGTTCACTCTAGGAATCATTGGCCTCTTGGAGTACCTTCAGCGACTCAGTAACGCCAATCATGGGGTTGCGTTTGCCACCAGCCGAGATACGTTCTCCGAGGCATCAACGTTTCTCCATTTCTTTTTCCCAACTTTGATCGCTGTTACTTACTCGATATGGTGGAGCTGGGTGGACCTGGATGTCAAAAGACTGGAGCCATGGTACCAACTAATCAATGCTAGGAAACAACATGTTCGAAGCCCGCTCTTGCTACAATATCCTACCGAGTTTCTAGCTTGGATACCTTTCAGGGCTGCTAGAAGAAGGTAAGTGAATAACGTCCTGCAGAATGGAGGTGGGATACTGGTACGAGATATAGGCATTGGGCAGTCTTGTCTGCATCCCTAACAATGGCCCTAATCCTCTGGATTGTGACGCCCTTGCAGAGTGGTATCTTCAGAGTAGCTTCGGCTACAATAGCGCATAACGTGTCAGTCTCGCCGCCCGCGCGATTGTTAGCCCCACCTCTGCAAGCAAACCTTCTCAATGCGAAACTGCATAGCACGGCATACGGTGTGACATGGCTAGGACAGACCCTACCGCCCTTTACTACGCGGCAGTTTGCTCTTGCTCCTTTCTCCTGGCGCGGTCTGGAATTAGCCGCCAAAAATGCTACTCTAATGGGGAACACGACCCTCTACGGTACGGATCTAAACTGTTCAACCCCAGCTTCTGTCGATGCTGTACAGGGCGAGGGTGGTGATGTCTTCGTGGTTGATGATGGCCAAGGCTGCAGGCAAAAGGCTGACATCAGCTCTACACTCGGAAATGGCAGCCAAAATGGCCATCAGAAAATGGTCTGCAACAAATACTTCATCGTGTGGAAAGAGAACGAGTCACCTAAAGACCCTTCTGCCCTAGTTACCAGGCTTTGCAAGATCAAATACTATTCGCAGCCAGTACAGGCAAACGTGTCTATCCCCGAGGGAAGAGTCTTACAGACTTCGGTCCTTGGACCACAGACTGCTCTACCCACGGATGTATTTGATGCCACGTTTCTAGAATCTATTATCTCGCGGGGTATCGCACCAGGTACCGGAAAAAATTATACATCTCTACAACAAAAACCACCTCGTCCATTTGATGTCGCGGAAGATACACTATTGGCACAAGGATTTCGACTATCACAAAGAGGATACCCGCCATTAGCTTCACCTCTCGCCGGCATTGCGATAGGCGGGCAGGATCTTCCCTTTGAGGCTTTCATTAACAATACAGAGGCCATCGATGCTGCCTTTCGCAGTGCCCATCAACTGTTTTTCGCCTTAGCGGTGAGCACCGTAATCACACCGTCTATATCGTCTGAGACATCTTCGTCCGCCATCCACACCTTTTCCATTCGAAGTGTGCAACTTGTCCCTACTGTCACGCGCACAGTCCAAGCATTTATGGGGTTGGTCGCTTTACTGATTGCCGCTCTTGCTGGCATCTACTACAACATGTTCCTACCGTTCGAATCTGATCCTACTTCGATCGCATTTCTAGCAGCCCTAGCATCAAATCGCAATGTCCTCAATTACTTCAAGTCTTTAGATATGGAGAAGCATTATGTCTCTAGCTTAGAGCACCGGCAAGCTATATTACGAAACCGCGATGGGGCGCTCTCCTTGTCACTGGACTCGATCGGCGATGAGCAACACATTGACAATGTGACGGAGGGCAGCAAGCTCAATGCAATTGGGCTGGGAGGAGGCAAGTATCTGAAGAGCCACACCCTATGGCCCAGCGAACTCAAGCTCCCTACGGGCATTGTGATTGCGCTGGGTCTCTTCCTTGCATTGGCCGCACTTGTATTTTTGGAGACATGGACACGTATTTACCAAGGATTACCGCTCCCTTTTAAGAGAACAGTCGCTCAGCAAATTATTCTGTATTACATACCAACAGTAAGCTTCCCTCCGTTGCTCCCCAATGTGATTGCGTGCTGGTACAGCTGATGCATGTATTAGGTCTTTGGCACCTTCCTGGAGTCTTTTCTCGTTGTGGTGTGCCGCTATCTCTGCTTTCTTCAGCCATTTGAAGACCTAAGGAGAGGATCTGCAGAAGCGTCCAGAACACTTCTACAGAAATATACATCTCTGCCGCCACAGCTGAACCTCATCGTGGCTATTCGGAATCGACACTTTCGGCTTGCGAGTCTAAGTTCTGTGGCCATTCTAGCGAATATACTCACCATAGCCTTGAGCGGTGTATTCATCGTTCGGGAGACCATGATACCTACAGATTTCGATACCACTCAATCTTGCTTGCCCGCCTTAAATATGTCGGTAATCAAGGCCTCACAGAGCTTCGAGACAAGCACGGCGTCAGTTGCAGGGATTAGTGGTGAGCCATTTCAGGTCTTGCTGTCAAGCATTACGGCAGGCACTCCATTGCCACCCTGGACTACGAATGAGCGCTTCTATCTTCCAGTCAATCTCCCATTTACCCAGAATGAAACGTTGAGTTACCGCTTGACCACGTTAGGGTTCGAAGGTTTCACTGATTGTAGTGTCCTTACGGAATTTCAGGGTAATCATACCTACAACTTTTTTTTGAATTCAGATGCTACACAAATTGGGTTTCACACAACGGAGTTTTTCTCCAATGGTACAAAGGCAGAGTGCTTCGCTCCTATGGCGATGACAGATGACACCGTGATCTTCTCCGACGGGAATCACCCCACTACTCAAATATTTGTGTCTGGGAACCCTGTAGGGCAGAACGCGCTTGAGACTTTCTTGCATCCCATACCGGGCTTCAGCAGGGAATATAAGAACAAGTTTGCTTGTGCACATCAGTTTCTTGGACTATGGGCTAGGGCAAATATCTCTCTTAGTGACAGGCTTGCTATTGTTAATACGCCAGCGACAACCGAAAACCTTGGTTTGACGACAAGTCCCACAGCGAACACGACCTCAGTATCACTCGAAAAATTGGTTTTGGTCTGCAAACCACGCGGTTATGCCGCCAGTTACAATCTTACAGTCAGTCCACAGGGCCACGTGCTGAGTGCCATCGAGTTGCCCAATTCCAGCTTTGTCATGAGCAGTACAATCTCGGACGGAGTCTTCGAGCAATTGGAATATCTCTTTTCATACCCTGACGACTTGCTAACATGGCACAAAGACGTTCGAGCAAGATACTGGATGTCCTTCTTTGTCACAAAATTCACCGAATCTGACGCGTTGATCGATCCTACTAAGCCCCTACCGGATGGTATCGAGCTAGGATATCATGTGAGCGCTGTGTTTAGGCGTCTTTTTGCTGTGGTTCTAGCTATCAACAAGGATGCCTTTGTGAGATCCCAAGAGCCTATCAAGATTATAGGCCAGAAAGTCACTGTCGTCAATCGCATATTTCTCTCTGGTGTCATGTACAAAATTGCTGTTGTGATTCTTTGTGTGGACATTTTGGTTATCTTGAACGTCTACTTGAGGATGCCGAAGCCATTTCTGCCGCGAATGCCTACAAGCATTGCGAGCAACATTGCCTTGTTCGCCGCTAGCCACTTTGCTCAAGAGCTTGCTGAAGAGGCTGAACTGGGCACTGCGCCGGAAGAACTTGTCGAGCATCTGAAGAATAGTGACAGGAGGTTCGGCTTTGGCAAGTTTGTTGGCACTGATGGTCATGTCCACCTTGGCATTGAAAGAGAACCATTCGTGCACTCACTGGTGAATAGCGAGGGTATAAGACGAAGATCGAAGTGGAAGGTCTGGCAGCTCTGAGCAAGGAGATTGGCCCTAAAAGAGTCAAGGGTCTTGTTGCTTTCCAACGCGGTTTGTGGCGCTTCTCTTGTCTTTAGCAAGTCCGATCACCTACTTTGCCTCATGTGCTATCGCTTTGGGACATCGACGCTTTGAGGCATGGAAGTTGACCTCGATACTACAGATAGTATGGACTACCTTTGGGCACAACTCGCATGGGAAGCTGGTTGCATGATGGAAGGCGGTTAAGAGGACGAAACGGACTGGCTTGGCTGTGTCTTGGTAGTAATGGAACATCAAGGCAGACTGCAATACCAGGTTGCTTGTGCAGCTTCGATCTCCCACCCATCTGGCTACCATGACTGACGAGGTGCTATGAGGATATTATGCCGTCCGAACAATATACTGGGCATAAGGCACGGGTCTAGGGATGTACTCAAATCTGGAAGTTGTAATAACACCGGATCAAGGAATCTTGGTGTCAGTAGCGCGGAGTATCAGCTGGACATTACACGCATATTTGCCCATATCCAGAGCATTGTGTACTCAGGACCAAACGGATAAGATTCTGTTATTATTGTTTGGGGTATTATTCATTGAGCTTGTGGGGGATGTCTTACAATAGTTCCGATGAGACTATACAGGGTACCAGTGAACCCTCAAGCACATGGGACCCTCCAGGAGCGGAATAAGTGCTCGTTCGACCAGCAGGAAAGAGTCGTCCTGAATTGTCCATGAGCCCGGTGCAAGGAAATGTCGCTTGAAGAGGTACGAGTAGCGAGGAGAGGCACCCGAATCAGCTAATCACTGTCCTATCACCAATCCCGTGGAGAAACATGTACTGTGCAGGTATCTTCCGATCAACCAGCTTGAAACGCAGAATCCGAGGAAGTCACTCGTTGCCATAGAATACGAAGCAAGCCAGCTAGACCCATACCTGGCAGAACCAACTTTCAGGAGAGTCTCGACTGCTGGACCCACCGACCTTTTCTCTCGGAAATATGTTTGATGAAACGTTTTGCACCACTGGGACGCGGGATGATGCTAAGACTTTTAGATCCATAAGTCTCATCCCGTGGTGACTACGAATCACCTTTGTCAACGGCCCTGGCAGCGGAGCCGAAGGACTGATGAGGTACAGAGCGCCGTGAGAGGTCGAGGCCTTATATGTGTGCCACAATTTGATTCAAGAGTCTGTTTCCGGGTGGCCTCCGACGAGAGGTGTTAGGGATGGCCAGTCTGGAGACTGTATTGCTGCACTACGGCAGCTTCAGTCACTGCGGAACGAGTGTGAAACGGCGAGATGATGGCACTTCACAAGGCCAGCAGTATGGATTTTTGTTCGTAATCTTACCTTCGTTTAAAAGTCTCTACTAGGATGGGATTTGTACATCCAGCTGAGGTCCCAGCGCACACCGATAAACCGAGTCGTTGGTAACCGCTCAATCGATGAGCGGAGATGTGCCTTGCGGCGAGTAGAATTTGCAAGGGGTGGATGGCCAGTAGATGCGCTGAGTTTTGAGGCTGATGTTGGCGTTGGCGTTTCAGAGATGCGCAGTGACCACTCATCTTGTAGCATTGATGAGGCCGGGATGTTTGACCAGACCGAACTAGGGCCGGCAGCCAGTAATAACTGGGACTAGGCTCATCCACTGGCTTCCGTCCAGCCCCCATTGTCTTCCCTATCCCCACAGTGGGTCCCCTTTCTCCCCCTGAATCGCCGTTCTATCGATAGGGAGAAACGATATTTTCTTCACACTATTATCTACTACGCAGTAAGTGGCAGTTAGTGCTCATTCTCCCACTGGAGCGGTCTGTCCAATTCGTAGTAATTATTCACTCTCTCGCCTCTCAGGGGCAATTCCTGCTGTCATCGCGAACAACCATTACATAGTAGTAAATCTGCCCCCTGACAGTAGCACCGCATACCATAGCCAATTATCATGATGATCAATGCAGGTACCACACGCGAAGCTGTCACACCCTTGCTGCCGTCGCTCCAGAATCACACTGAAAGCCCCTGCTTTGCTTCAGAAGCGAGATCGATGACCACACTCTACCCGCTCAGTGGCTCCCTGCAGTGGCATCGGAACGAGACCGACTCTTGGGTTGGCAAGGGTTGCGCTTCGGCAAGATGATGTAGCCCATCTGCATAATGCTCCTGTCCAATCAGTCTTGTCTCTCGTGCGCTGTCAGGCAAACGCCAGTTCCGCGCACCACTTAAGGGGAATGGTCTTTTCTGCCTGTATAAGAATTGGCTCCTCTCCGTCTCGAGATGTGTTTTGCTCTCCTTCATCAGCTCACTCTTGCACATTCCTCGTTGCTCGTACATTTCTTGCGCCGGCCAGGCCCGTGTTTGCATTGCCTTCTTTCTTGACTTCCTGCATTTACAGTCTCGCTTCCCGCAGACTCCACGATCCTTCCACTCTACCAGAAGTCAAATTCCACTCCTTGATAGGTCAAAAAGAAAGACTCGATTATTGTCCAGGTACGCTGCCATTGTTTCGTTTGTTAAGGCAGCCTGCCTCCGCTACAATTCCCCCCTATTCTCCATGCTATCAACGTCGCAATCTCTTGTGCAAGACACCGCAAGGTCCGATTCACGTTAGATTTGTTTGTCACAGCATCCTCTTGAGAAACGAGCAAATGAATCAACTCTTGGCCCAGGAGGAGGGATACTTCCTATATAATCTCCGTTACCAGCGCCTCTGTCGATGTTCCCACAGTTCAGACTCTTTAAATTCCAGTCACTAATCCATTGTTCTAGCGCAATCTGGTATTGCAAAGCAATCTTCAGTCTTATCTAACAAAGCATTGTTCGGCTTTCAATCAATAGAGCAGCATTCATTCCTTACACAACAAAAGATCACTCTGGTCCTGTTTTTCACAAAGGCAGTTTCACTCATTGTCCAACAAAGAAGCCTTCAGCCTTCACCCAAGCTATCAATACCTTCGTCAGGCACGGAGCTCCATTCCTTTGCTACACCCTCTCATCAAACACATTCACCAACCCCTCAATCTTAACCACTAAGATCAATTTTCCAAATACACAAACAACCAATCATCACGCCCACATCCACTACAATCCTGATATCGAAGATGCTTTCTACGATCTCCGCCAAACAGGCTGTTGCCATCCTTGCTTTCCTGGCTGCCAGTGTTCATGGGCACGTTGTCATGACTGAGCCGGTGCCGTTTACATACCCAGACCCAAACAACCAGCAAGCCCCTCTTTCTGATAGTGGATCTGATTTCCCATGCAAATTTCAAGCAGGCATTACGCCTCAGACCGTCAAAGTGACTGCGTTGCAGCCGACCGGCAACAAACTGAAATTGAAAGGTGGCGCAACCCACGGAGGTGGGTCCTGCCAAATCTCCCTCACCCAGGATAAACTCCCCACCAAGGATTCTCAGTGGGAAGTCATTAAGTCCATTGAAGGAGGTTGCCCTTCGGACGCCCCTGGCAACCTCTCAGACAACGCAGAGGAACCGCTTCCAGAAATTGAATATTCGATCCCTGAGGGTACTGCTGCAGGTGAATACACTCTGGCTTGGACATGGTTCAACAAGATCGGTAATCGCGAGATGTACATGAACTGTGCGCCAGTTAGCGTCGGAGGAGGTGCGGCCAAGCGAGAAGTGGCCAAGATCAGCAAGAAGCGACAATCCGGTCTCCCAGTCATGTTCACCGCCAACATTGGAAATGGTTGTTCGACCAACGAAGGCGACGACGTCACTTTCCCCGACCCCGGTGCCGACGTTGTGAAAGGCTCTCAGGCCACACCAGGAGAGCCGGTCGGTTCTTGCGGTGCAGCAGGTGCTCCATCAGCTGACACTGCATCAACCTCTACTCCAGCCTCTGGGTCCGATTCCGGTGCCGATCAAGCCCCGGCTCCTGCCACCACCTCCGCCGCTACTCCCGCTCCTCAAGCCCCAGCGCCTCAAGCCCCAGCTCCTCAAGCTCCTGCTCCTGCCGCCGTCGCTGGGGGTGCCGCCTGCTCTCCCGAGGGCATGTACGTCTGCGCCGCCGACGGAGCCTCCTTCACCCGCTGCGCCTCGGGCGTCATGTCCGCCCCCATACCAATCGCAGCCGGCATGAAATGCACACCTGGCTCCGACGCGTCCAACCTTCAGATGGCGGCCGTCAAGCGAGCTGCTTCATTCGGCGCTTAAGCGCGCTCTCTCTTCGCTGCCGTCGCTTTGGGAAGGCAAAACTGTCATTTCTGCATTGTCTGCGCGCGCGCGGGTCATCCTGCCTCGAACCACTTGGTGTCTTGGTTTGGTATTTGGCCATCCCCTCCTGGATAGAGCAGGATAGGATAGGATAGGCAGATGGAAACTGTTTTGTTCCGTCAAAGACAGATAGATCCTGTACAGTAGTGAGAATTGGAACGATTTGAAAACATTCATCCACCCACCCACTTGGTCACGCCCCTTTTTCTTTTTTTTCTACACTTCGATAAGGTTCCCCCCCACCCCCCAGCCTGGGGTTATAGATAGATAGATTTCCTCTCTCCCCTTCCCTCCATCACCCCAGCTTCCGCATCACGTCTTCACTGTCCTCTTTGAATGAGCTGAAGAATGCACCAAGCTGGAGACTTGGCCAAGCAGTGTTCGAGTTTGTAGGTTTGTTTCAGGCTTCTGGATAGCAGACTCTCAGCCCATACCCATTCCATACCCGGCTATCATCCAGGGCGGTCTCTACACAGGCCATATGGGGATGAAGATGAAGATGAAGCTCAAGCTCGCTGCAGACTCATTTCGGACTTCTTGGCAGACATTGTAGCAGTGCTTGGCGGAATTTGCTTACATGCAGTGATCCAAGATACCATGAGATACCTACCACGACATTGGTTTGAACAGGTACAACAGGTACCAACTGGTACCAACTGACAGGCAGCTTGAACGGCTTATCAGTGATGCCCGAAGCCGAGGTCCAGAGCTCCCGAGCTCCTGAGCTCCCTCTCCATCTCCAACCCCCACACGCCGCACTCCGCCGCCTACCATCTCGCTCCACCCTCTCAATGGCATGGACAATGTTGCGCTTCTACCCTACCTGCGAGGAGCGTTACTGGCTGTCGTCCTTGCTTTTGTGTTAGGGGCGTTGTCTGAACTTCCTGCTATGCTGATGGTCTTGATATCTGAAATACGAGAGTGGTTCTGACAAGAATATAACTACTTGGGCTATGAATTGAAATATCAAAGACCAGGAGGAGCCAGAGAGGCCCCAATCGACACTGTTCTGGCCTACCAAGAGAGGGTACAAGGCCTACGAGTAACTATCTGGATACGCGGAGAGCAAATGGGCTAGCCATTTGATTACACCACCCCGTTCACTCACTCGCCGGGTCGTTCACTTCCAATCCACCATCAGCATGGCAACACAATCAACTCCTCGCAAGCTCTGGGAGCACCCCAACCCGGGGACGACACAGATGCACCAGTTCAAAAACTACCTATCCAGCAAAACCAACACCCGCTTCCCAGACTTCCAGGCTCTCTACACCTACTCCGTCACCCACCCCACCACCTTCTACCACCACCTCTTCAACTACTTCCCTCTAATCTACACCGATACCCTCCCGAACGCCACTTCAGACCGGCCAAACCACATCTTCGATCCCACCGCGCGCATGGATTCCATCCCCGCCTGGTTCCCGGGCATGCAGCTCAACTTCGCTGAAAACATCCTCTCCAGTGGCCCCCGCCACGGCCAACCCTGCAAGACCAACAAAGAAGACGACAAAACCGCGTGCGTGTCCGTGCGCGAAGGCTCCTTCACCGAACCCATCCAGCACCTGACCTGGTCCTCGCTCCGCCACCGCGTCGCCCTCCTCGCCAACGCCATGCGCGCCCACGGCTTCGGAAAGGGCGATCGGGTAGCCGTGGTGGCAAGCAACAGCATCGACACGCTGACCGTCTTCCTCGCCACCACGAGCCGAGGCGGCCTCTTCAGCAGCAGCAGCACCGATATGGGCGTCAAGGGCATCCTCGACCGCCTGACCCAGATCCGACCGCGATGGGTCTTTGTCGATGACTTCTCCGTCTACAACGGACGCACCGTCGACCTGCGGCCCAAGATGGCCGAGATCGTTACGGGTATGGAAGGGGTGCCGGAATTTGAGGGCTTGGTCGCCCAGCCCCGGTTCAGTGATCGGCCGGCTGAGGTCTCGGATGTGCCGAGGACGGTATCCTGGGAGGAGTTTTTGCGGAAGGGGAGTGGAGATGGGGAGTTGAGGTTTGAGCGGATGGACTTCTCGGATCCGTTTCTCATTGTATACTCGAGTGGGACGACGGGCAGTCCCAAGTGTATTGTTCATTGTGTGGGTGGGGTGGTGTTGAATGGGTTCAAAGAGGGGATGCTGCATAGATGCTTGGGAGCCAGGAGTGTGGCATTGCAGGTATGGTTTGCTGGCCTGCGGTATTATCTGGCTTGGTTGTAGTCGTGATGTTCTGACCGTAGTGTGTACAGTACACGACAACAGGGTGGATCATGTATCTTGCCGCCGGTGAGTCTTCATCATGTTGACCCCTTCCAGCGTCTCCTGAGACCTCCACATGAACTCGCTAACATATCCATATCTGATGAGCAGTACAAGCCCTCCTCTTCGGCAGCACCATGGTCCTCTACGACGGGAACCCCTTCCTCCCCAATCTCGAAACCTTCATCCACCTCACCTCCCGCCTCCGCGTCAGCCACCTCGGCATCTCGCCCCGCTACCTCCAGGAGCTGCAAAAAAACAGCATCATCCCTCGCCAAGTAGCCGACCTCAGTGCCCTGCAAGTCGTCACCAGCACCGGCATGGTCTTGTCAGACCAGCTCTTCGAATGGTTCTACGACGTAGCCTTCCCGAAACACGTCCAGCTGGATAACGTCTCCGGCGGGACGGATATCGCCGGTGCGTTCGCGACAGCGAATCCGCTCCTCCCAGTCTACACAGGTGGATGCCAAGGTCCCTCCTTGGGGACTCCGATCGCGGTCTTTGACTCAACCCTCAAAGGTGGCAGGGGCGTCAAGGGTAGACGTGTAGAAGACGGAGTACCTGGCGAGCTGGTCGCAACAGGCCCCTTTCCGAATATGCCGCGTTTCTTCTGGGGCGATGAGGACGGGAAGAGGTACCGTGAGAGCTATTTTGCCAAATTCGACGATTGCTGGGTTCATGGTGATTTCGTCATGATCCATCCGACGACGAAGCAGATTATCTTTTTGGGCAGGAGTGATGGCGTGTTGAATCCGAGCGGGGTGAGATTTGGGTCCGGGGAGATATATGCAGTGGTGGATGCGAGGTTTGGTGAGCTGGTGGCGGATTCGATCTGTGTGGGTCAGGTAGGTTTATTACGTGACCCTTTGTATGGAGGGTTCGTTGACGGGCGCTGATTGATGTCGTGCAGAGAAGGCCATCGGACACGGATGAGAGCGTGATGCTTTTCGTTCTGATGAAGCCGGGAAGGAAATTCTCCCCGGGTCTGGTCAACGATATCAAGGCCGCGATTCGGAAGGAGCTCAGTCCCCGACATGTCCCACGCTATGTCTTTGAGACGCCGGAGATACCGGTACGTGTTGCCATGCATGCACAGCGTCGTGAGGAGACCCATTGTAGCTCTGCTGACTTTCTCTCTCTTACCAGACCACCGTCAATCTAAAAAAAGTCGAGTTGCCTGTCAAGCAGATCGTCTCTGGAAAGATCGTCAAGCCGAGTGGCACGCTGCTGAACCGGGGGAGTCTGGATTATTACTACCAGTTTGCGAAGGTGGAAGAGCTGGCGGGTCCGCTGAAGGCGAAGCTGTAGACAAGGCAATTTAGAGGATTCGTATAGAAAACCCAAGCGCATAGTTGTCCCTTTTTCTTCCATTCCTTCGTCTCAGACCTTCTCGGTAGGTCTTGACAGACCCATCTTCCTTACCCAGCACTCCCCTGACAACCCTGGAGCTGAGTCCGAAAGCTGTAGAAAACCCTCATGTATTCCCACCAGATGGGGGGACAAGCCTCTTCTACTTCTTGCCCCGTTTCTTCCCACCCTTCTTCTCCTCCTCCTCCTCCTCCTTTTCCACCTTGACAAACCCACCCCGAAGCAGCGCCTCCCTGGCCGCCTGATTGATCAGTCGAAACCGATCCGCACCCAGCTTGACACCTCCATACCACACCTCGTCACCACCACGACCGCATTCCACACATCCATCCGCTGCATCAGACGCAGCAACCGCCCCCCAGCGGCCGTCTCACCATCATCATCGCAGTCTTGAACCGTGACCCCCGTCTCTCCGTCCCGCACCCTCCACGCCGAGATATTGTGCGTCGCGGCCGCGACCTTCTTGTTCGTCGCGAGCAGCTCAGCCAGCGCCGACGCCGCTGCGCCTTTCCCCGCCACGCTGGCGCATCGCGCGACGAAGACGCTTTTCTTCTCCGTGATCGGGTCCGAGACGCTCCACTCGGAACCGGGGATCCGCGCCGCATCGCTCGTCAACCCCGTTCTCGCCGCCTGTTCTTCCGCTGCTGGGAGACGGGCCACAGACTCTTCCGCGGGCTTAGCAACCCGTCCGCCCGACCCGCNGCCCGCGCCATCCTGTAGCCGGCCAAAGGCCTAGTAGATAAACTCGATCAGATCGAACAGACAGACCGAGCCGCGCGTCCAGACGCTCGAGAGCGTCTGCTGCACGAGCGTAACGGCGTGCTGGCCCGAGCCCTTCTTGCCCAGCTTGCCCGTCGAGTGCGTGCCATCGGCCCGCGGACACGTGTCTGGGTAGTCCGCGCGGAAGGAGAGGAGGAACGACACGGATTGGCCGGGGATCTGCAGGACGAGGTGGTGGTCGGGGTTGTCGTTGGAGCGGTTGTTGTTGCTGCTGCTGCTGCTGCTGCTGCCGCCGCCGACCGGGGCGGCGACGTTGCTGCCGTAGATGGCGTTGATGGCGTCAATTTCTTCGCTGAGAGCGGCGTTCGCGACGATGCGGGCGCCGTGCTGCTGCGACATCATGGACAGAGGGGAAGTTTGTGGAGAGCATGTCCACACGCGGGACTATACTACTAGTACTGGGGGCTCGTCGTTATTTCTTGGCGTGGTTTCTCTAAGTTACTAGTTAGTACATGAGAATCAAGATTTCATCATCCCTCGCCGGAAGGACACATGCCCAAGAACAACACATTTTTGCATGTTTGCGTGTTTGCACAGCCTCACATGAAAGACACTCATGAAATTAAGGCTCAATCAATCCTCGATGAATATGGACGGTGGTTCTCATCAAGAAGCCGGGGGGTAGAGAAAAGGGATACATCAACCACTCCGCCAAAAGGACAGCGCTTGTGGGTTTCGAACCACACTAAATTGATATACCCCTCATTGACTGGTAGGGCAAAAGTATTTGCTGATAGAAATTCGATATTGAAACCCTTGTACTAGGTAAGACGATAAATATCCCCCTAACTCCTAATCAGCTATAAACTGCTCCCACCCCGTGTGATTGTGTCCCTGTCCCGTGTAGTAGACAAGGCTTTAGAATATCTGACATACTGATGTACTAAACAGCTCAACGGCCAGGACAGAATTGTGCGCCAAGAAAAACATCATCATATCATGGACAGCCATTCTAGGATTTAGTCGGCTGCCATGCATGGGCATCACCCACACGATCTGCAGTCAGCCCAGCGCTGCCTGGCTGCTTGAGTCCGGCCTCAAGCTGCTTCTCATAGGAAACGTGGCGTAGGCGTTGAGATTCGCGGGGGGTAAGTTGCAGGTAGGTCTCGACGCCAATGGCGTGAATCAACAGGGCCAGCCACAATGCCATTCCAAAGGTCATGTTCAAGCCGGCAGCGACCTGAGCGATAGAGCCATTAACGTCGGCTTGGACCAGAGCCCGTTTGCTAGGATCAGTATTGTTGTAGTATGACATGCAGTCCGGGTATGCTGCCAGAACTGAATTGCGATCTTCCATCATGTAATCCAGCTTGCCACATTCCATCGGGACATAATAGCCACCCAGGGCAGAGATGATCGCAGTACCACTGAACATAATGAGACGTAGAGTGATGATTGTCCCAAAGTAGAACCATGTCCTCAGCATCCAAGCTCTGTGCTGGTCGATCTGGAGCCGTTTGACGTTGTAGATAGCCAGGGCAAGACCTATGGTGGTCATGAGAACAAGAGTACCAATTCCCGTCTGAGCTGACAGGTCACCACCGAAGGTATGGGGCGCGATCACAATGGCTCCAGCATTGGAAATCAGAACAAGTACGACAATGGTCCAACCATTGATGCGATGGAAAAGAAGGAATTTGTGCCGAATGACAGGAATGAATTGATATATTGCCAAAAATGCCGCGGCTAGACAATGGGTCAGATTTCTTGTCTCCCAAGAATGACGAGAACTTGACCTACGGAGGATGGTGCTCAGATGAAGCAAGATGCCAACCTTGTACTTCGGAAACTGTGTGTACCAGTAGCATTCGCCAGGCGCTGTACCGCCCTGCGTGCAGAAGACCCCATTGAAATTCAAGTACTGCAACCGAGCGAGAGTGAAGCCTAGGAGTGCTCCTCCGAATATAGTGACTGCAAACGCCGATCAGCATGTAACGAAACCTCAGAAGCGGGTAGGCACTTACACAGAACGAAGTTGTAGCCTTGGGAGAACCCAACGCCATGGTAGACCTTGCGAGCATACCGAACAAAGACATTCGGCGAAGATTGTGACGACACGACCATGATGAATTCACGTCAAAAGAAGAGTAAGGTCTAGAACAATATCGCAACGACTTCTGGACAATGGGAGAAATATCTCGAACACCTCCGTAGTGGGATGTCCATTGTTTAAGTAGACCATGTCAGGAGGTTCAAAAGGACGGGGCAAGGACAGTGACCGTTACGGCCACATACCGTGTGCATTGCTAGTTCGCAGACCAAATGCGCAAGTCTACCTTGCCGGGGTATGATAGCAAGCAATAGAAGCCTTCACGGATCCGGTGCTGCATACAGTACTTCGATGGCGTGGCGGTGGCAGCGCCCATAGCTTCCTGACGCGGCAACTCAGTGCGCCGCATGCAGAGTATGCAGAATCACCAAGTAGGAGAAGGTTGTTGCCTGTAGGGTCTGTACTCATCATCAATCATCAGCCAATATCAGCCAATATCAGTTCGGCATCATGCACTTATTTATTTAGCGCGGGGAAACTAGCATGGTCCATTTCTGGTAATAAGATGCGCTGACCACTCTCGTCCCAACTTATTACTGCTCTCATTCTGTAAAGATTGCCGAAAGATGGTCGGAGTGGCAGGGAAGTCGAAGGGCTGCAACACGTGTCGCAAGAGGAAGAAGGGCTGCGACCTCGCGCGTCCTTCCTGTGGACAATGTCTCAAGAGCGGGAATGTGTGTGGAGGATACCAAAAAGATCTCACCTTCATCCACCATAAGATACCTGACAAGGATCGACAGCCGTCTACTGTACCCAAGGCTTCTCTGCGGAAGGGTTCGGTTGCATCCTCTGATAGAAGCTATTCCCCATCTTGCTCTGACCTTGTCTCGTGGCCGCCTGTTTCTCCCAATCACGACTGGGAGGTCTCATCTGAACCCGGACAGCAACAGAGTTGGCCATCACCATCTCTACAATTGCTATCCTCCAGTCTTACTCTGACCGCTCTCACGACGCTTCATACTTCGCTATTCAATTCGGTATTTATGCCTCGTATTTCTTTCGCTACTCAACCATCGTTAATGTCATTCCGACATTCCACGAATTGGACCCATTTCATCCCAGAACTCGTGAACAATGACTTGAGCTTGCAATTGGCGTTTCTGGCCCTGAGCTCGTCTCGCATCGGCCATGACAGCCACGATGAGAATCTAATTACCTCGAGTCAAAGCCTTTACGGCAAGGCGCTTCGCGAGATGCAGCGCGCGCTCTTGGACCCCAAGAGAAGGCACGCGGATGAAGTCATCTTGGCTTGCTCAACGTTGAGTTTGTATGAGATATTCGAAACCCAAGCATTGGCAGCAGTGCAACTTGGTGCCACGCCCCATGGCTGGCTCTCGCATGCGGCGGGTGTGGGTCGCTTGCTGGAAGCTCGGGGACCCGAGGGCTTCGCTACAGGTAAAGGACATGCTATTTTCCTGCATGTACGAATTCTCATTGCCATTCGCTATTCTACTGCTAGGAAGGCGTGCTTCTTAGCCAAGCCTGAATGGCTCACATCGCCATGGAAGAACCATCCCAAGAATATGCTACATAAAATGATTGATGTGATGGTCTTCCTTCCTGTGGTAGTGGAGACCTATGACCGCCTACAAGCAGACACCAGCTTTGATTTTGGAGAGACACGTCGCGAAAGACAATCCTTGCTGGCCAAATGTGTTGCATTAGACAAGCAACTACAAAACTGGTACACGGCGCTATGTGCCGAAGTGAATGGGCGACCGTTATGGCACACGTTTCCATCAGATGATGCATCATATCCTTTCTCGCATCTGTTTCGCTTTGATGAGTCCATCATCGCATACACAATCTTGCTCTACTGGACCTGTGCTATGATGATCCAATCAACCATGTGCCAATTGCAGCGTCAGCTAGGGCAAGGAGCCGCACAGTTGCCTGACATGGACAATTTACCAGACCACATCAATCCTCGCATTTATGCTGTCAACATTGCGCAGTCACTGCCGTATATGCTCCATCCGGACATGGGCAGCCTAGGTCCAAATCTCGCACTATTCCCGCTAGGCATGGCCTTCGCCTTTTTCGCAGCTACAACTCGAACCCCTCGGAACCCAGACATGGATGCTATGGAATCAAGTGGTTCAACGATTGATGGCCTCGACGAAGTAAATGACCCGCTCGCTGATGACTCAGCAATAGATGTCGATTACTGCCAATGGTTCGCTAAAGTTTTCACCGATTTGGACTCTCGAAACATGCCTGGCGAAGCTTTTCTTTTCCGTCTAATGAAGGCTGTAGGAATTGCAAGCGCCTTCACAGGCGTCCATCCTGTCATAGCAAGTGCAGCTTCTACCAATGATTAAGCACAGTTTGGGTCCGTCCGATGCGATATCTCACCGGTACTCTTCAGACCATACCAGGACGCTCTACATATCAGGCCTTCAGGTGAGGTACTGGATTCGACAGCGCGGGAAGCTCGGGGCGCTGAATTCTCCTGAATTCCCCACGGCCACCCAAGAAATAACTGGCTTTCAGAAGCAACCATCCACCAGTCATAGCCTTCTGTCTGTCCGTTCCTATTCTTTTGGTGCTCACTACTAAGGTTCTGTCCATCTAGCCAGGCCAACCTTGTCTCCTGAGCTACAATGCAGTACCAAAACTTTCACCACATCTAATACTGAGGGTGTCTTTCACACCACATTTCCATTTCTGCCTTGCGCGACATTTGTTCATCTCCCTGGTACGGATAATTGGGGGCTTCCCATGCTTTCTGGAATATGTGCCATTGCTCAAGCCGAGCGCGGTCCCACATGCAGTATCCTCGCGCACGCAGTGCGATTTGGGAGTCGGAATACACAAAATCTGACCGAGACTGATGCTGATGAGCCCAAGCCCAGGCGTCCAGAGGCCCGCGGTCAGGGTCTTGGATGAGTGGTGAGTTATCCCGGGCTAGTCTATCTTGCTCTTCTTGGGTGTATTCTGAAAGGTATACCCCGTCGTCAGCTCCGTTCGCATCCTTGAGGGCGGCATACAGAGTGTTTTATTTGCGGGTCTCCGGAAACTGTCTAGAGCTCGGTGCCGTGCTTCACCAAAACCTAGGTCAACAATCCGTCGCAGATGTTTTAGGCCTCTTGAAAGCAATCTTTGTACTGGGCCAGCATCAAAGTCGTCACCATATTCTACTAGGTCGACGGCCGTGAATACATTCCCTGTCTGCTCACAAACGTCATTGTAAGCTATTGTTGTCAGCGCTAAATCTCAAGCTGAATCAGGAACATCTGTACCAGGACATACGGCGCGGAAGAGGTAGTCATGGACACATGCAAGCTGTTCATTTTCACAGTCGGAAAATTTGCAGATGAGCAAGCCTCTATTTTCGCGAACATCAGAGTCTCGACAAAGGTTTTGATAGACCTCGAAACGGTACAACGCACGCTGTATCCGATTCTTTTCGTTCTGGGACAAGGGCCCCGCTGGCGGCGCATCAATATAGGCGAATGTGGAAGCTGTATTGAACATCTCTGTGACGAACTTCTCACCCCAATACTCAACGCAAGAATGGAGATTGCTGACAGCGAAGGCATCGACCATGGTCCACGAAGCTGGTGGAGACGCTCGAGAATGGAGATGCTTACTTGCAAAATCGCATATCTCTCTCCACGTCCGCGGCTTCAACTGAGAAGATCGCAAAGCAACAATAGCATCCGGTAGAACATCGGCAACTACGTGGTTTTTCAGGACCCGGGTGGTGATTAACCTTTCCGCATTGATGAAGGCACTGTAGAAGGAGGAGCAAGCGAGGGCCCATTGATCTTAGGCTCCAGACGTCTGGGAGAGCAGAGAGTATTTCCTGCTTCAGTTCCGGAGGGAGTCTCGCCAAAGGGGAAGCAGTAGCCATTTTTCTTCTTCCTCTACTGTGTTACTGCTGGGTCGTCAAGAAGAGGGCAAAATATTGCTTAGAGTGTTTGAAGGAGCAGAGATGTTCTTAAGGGCGCCAGCTCTTGCTTTTTCAACTGTAGGCCTATGTACAGTCATTAATGGCCTGACTCATGACTCACCCTGCAGCGTAGTCTAATATTTACCAGTTGGACAAGATATACTTGGTCAATGTGGAAGAACAAGCTGCGGCTCCAGTACGTTCGAGCATCCTGCTGCCACGTACACTCTAAATCTGTTACAGAGTATTTCACTTGGGGTAATGCGAATATAATATCCGACAGCCAGTGCCTTAAGAAGCTGATTAGTAATTGGGGATTGTTTACGCGACAAATAACTTTTTGTTTGCGTTTCGTACCCATCTGTCTTTGATTATACACGATGGCTTAGAAGATGCCTGAGAATGAGTAGCGCGACATATCCAATTCGTTCGATATTAGTGGTTTTGGCTCCGTGTTGAAGCATGGCATGGAAAAGCGTCTCTAATGGTCTCCGAGATGCCCTATTTCAACCAATCAACAAGCAATAAATGACGGCGTCAACCCCTAGCCAGGCTACCCTTCGCCACGGTAAATGGCCCCGGCTCCTGCATTTTAGATCTGACAACATTTCTCTGATACGATTACAAACCCTTCATTGAAGACCAATCTACAAACGCGGCAGCATCTAATCATACAACAATGCGACAAGAACCACATCTCAGTGACACCTTGACGCGTCTGTTGCACAATGCTCTGTGCTTCAGACCGCAAATTTGCAAAGACCTTCATCGGTGATATTACCTTCGATATCCAGAGACATCAGAAACGCTTTCCTCTTTTTCTCCACCGCAACATTATGCGCGTTCTGAATCACCATGCGAAGAGGCGTAGACTTGGCTCTCGCTCCTCGGCGGTCAACTTGCAGACCAGCCCATCCAGGCGGAAATCCCAGACTGATCTGGTTACTCCTCCGCCCCGGAGTACGCGGTTACGCGATCAGCTTATTGAGAAATTCCACCAAGAGGATGCGGAATTGATCCTCGATGTCAGAAGCATTCGGAGGAAACTCAACTACCGAGAAAACCTGGACCAGCGACCGCTGAAACGGGTCAAACGGGAAGCGGTTGAATGTAGATGCTATCTCGCTGTCTGGGATAATCGACAGGGCCATAGACAGCTGGAGCCAATCTTGAAGAGATCTGGGGACTGTGTGGTCACCCCTGCAGACATAGCCTCGGATGCTCATACTGTAGAGATTGAACTTAAAAGCCCATTTCGAGTTCCTGCCAAGGAGTTCTTTGTGCCTACCGTCAACCGAGACGGAGAAGTCACGAAATGGGCGGTTGGGGATAAATATCTGCTGGAGATCAAGATCATCCCTTGCAATACATCCGACTTGTGGCCTCCAATCCCTATTTTGAGCAAAAGTGAGGAGTCTTTGACGCGCGATCTGGTGAAGAGAAAGGACCTTTCTTTTACAGAAGGAATGCTTATCTCGAACTACACAAACTTGCCTCATGCGCCGTCCGTGACTGTACCTCTTAACGTCGCGTTTGATCAGGGCGGCAGGACGTTCAAGACCAAGTATGGTTTGGAAGTCAACTCCGAATGGACATATCCACATTATTATGATGCGAAAATCAAGAGGGAAGATAGCATCCTGGCTAAGAAGATAGAGGAAGAGGGGAAAATAGACCCTCTGTGCCGATCGGTTGACAGCTATCGCACTGTGCAGACTTGCACATCGCGTATAAGCAAGCTTGACGAGTCGCCACCAGTTGTGCCCGCTGTTAAAGTCTCTTACATCTGGGACATCGAAACCCGGACACCTGTGCCGAGAGAGTCTCGTATAGCTTCTCTCGAGGGCCTGTACTGCCCAATCTGCCAGAATCAAGAATTTACGGATTTGAAACATCTCCAGTTCCACTTCGTCAATAATCACGATAAATACACATTCAGCATTGAAGATCAGCAGGACGATGTACATACCAAAGGTCTGAAGTGCGTCACGTTCAGAGTCGAAGTCGCAGAAGTCGTCCGGCCAAGCGCAGCGAATCAGGTCAAAGATGGACAAGAAATCAGCTGGCAAAGACCTGAACAGCCGTTTGATATTGATGCTTACATTTCTGGGGATCAGTCGTGGGTTGGAGCTCTGCCTCGCCGACGTACAGCTGCGGCCCCAGCCCAATCTCGACCATTCCAACACACGACCCCAAACACAGTAGCACAGGTAGAAGGGGTAGCTAAACCAAGGAGCACATTTCGGTCTGCAACAGAAGTGTCCGAATTACCTCTTCCAGCCCGTAAGAGGTTTTACGTTCCAGTTGCGAGGACAATGAGGAGAACCTCCTTCTATCGCTCCATCAACCATCGTGCTATGGAGACCGGGGAATTGCTGTCTGAGACAGACGACGATATAGATGACGATTGGTGGATCAAGAGACATCGCGACACCATTGCCGAGACAGAGGATTTGACAGCAGAAGAGAAGGAGTTCAGACAACGATGGGATGCGCATGTCATGTCTGAAGGGTGTCCAAGTGCCAGATATGTTTCTGATATGCTCGTTCGGTTTGTGCGAGGCAACGCTGCTTGGCTGAACGGTGTGAATGGTAACGGGGACATGTTAATTCAATTTCAGCACCTCATTTCGTTGCTGATAGAGAGGGGCCTGATTGATGCAAGAGTGGTCAAGGACTGCCAACGAATCATTCACGATGGAGAAGGCCTTGGAAAGAAGCAGGTTCTTCGTCTCACGGCAGATGTTTCTGACCGGTCATTCCCAACTGAAGTACTAGCGGCAGGAGAATCTGGCGAGGTCCAGGACTCCAACCGGAGCCCAGAGCCCTTTCGACAACCAGGAGCGCAGATTGAGGCGGAAAAGCACAACGCGACCAACGTCAAGATTACACCTGATCAATTCCCTAGCGGAAGGGGGCATTCGGAAGCCTTAGCGGGAGGACACAGCACAGATATCTCTACTCCTGGATCTGGCCTTACCGGGCTAGATGAAATATCACAGCACTCGCCACCACCTTTAGAAGCCAAGCGAATTCAGCATACCATTGCCAACGGATGCTGCGCTACCTGCCATGACTATATCTATCGCCCCAAGAGAAATGCCATCACATGCTCGAATTTGGTAAGTCCATTTGCATCCATCACCCTCCCTTATTTTCCCCATGCTTTTCCCTCTTAGAGGGACTCATCCGTCTTCCGACCCTCGCATTAACAACCGCTTCTATTAAAACAGACATGCCGTAACGGAGGCATATTTCACCACCTCTCCTGCCTCGGTCTGAGCCTCAAGATCAGCCAAGGCGAACGGCAGACATTCAAATGCAAAGACTGCGCCGCAGCTCTGGTGATCACGTGAATCGCTCGCTCGACGGTGGTCATAGTCCCGATCAAAACCTTGGTCTGTCTCTGTAACTGGGCGCGCACTTCCAGAGCGCCTTTAGATTCAATGAAAACGTCCGGAAAACGGCTCCTTGATGGCTAGTCCTAGGAAGGGGATGATATCGGCTGTTTATGTTGCGTAGGGAAGGTGGAGAAGCCAAGGTAAATATCGAAAAGCGCAGCTCATGTAGTCGCCTGACATGCGCGAGCTGCTCAAGGCGACTGGTACAAATTGGCTTACGGCTTTCTGGCTTACAAATTGGCACCAGTGTTTCTGGAACCGAGGCCTCTCGCCGCCCGAGGCTGACATCACATCATGAAGGGCAGCAGCAAAGGCCGATTCAGACTTCCGGGACGCTCGTGTGCGAACCAGCTCAGTCCAGCCCAGCCCAATTCGGTAGCCGCCGCAGGCTTATATCAAATTCAACAAGGGCAGCGATAGCGGCAGCGGGCGAAGGCCTAACCCATCCATCACAGAAACGCCCCTTTCACGACACGTCACGGAATCGAGCAGCTCAGTGTCAACCCGGCACAAGGGGAAAATCAACAGCCACTCTCCAGCATGTCGGTTTCCAAACTCATTTCAAGCATATAACCACGTCAGCAAGAGGCTTTCCAGACGATTGCCCCCACCCCCCGGCTCGCACAAGTTTCGACCCTCTACATAGGATTACAAACCACAGGCTGATTTTGATTAAAACATTTTCCAGAGGGAAAAGGAACCTCTCACGGCCTGAGTTCAGAATAGCGATTGGGTGTTTGCGCCTCCTCCTCTGCTCGTGCAAGCAGCTCGGCTATCTGATCTGATCTCAACTGGCTGAGAAGAGATGTCTAGGATAAGGACAGGGACAGGGACAGGGACAGGGACAGGAAGCAGTCGAGCTACTAGACATCAGAGCCCCCCCCTTTATTTTATTTTCAGCGCAGATGAGAGGCTGGGTTTCTCGGCTAGCCTACGATGATGGAGAGTGGAGTAGAAGGGGTGGATGGGCGGGAAGAATATTGAAAAAAATGTCCAGGGAGGAGGGATAGCAATAGGCATAGGCATAGGGGATAGGAGGAAGAAGGGAGAAGGGGGGTGGGGAGATGGCAAATAGTGGGCGGGCAGAAAAAACGAAAGGACGACATTGTAGGTGGGGAAGTGAGACACGTAAGTAAGCGAGAGGTAGGGGCGGGAGAGAGAACTTTCGTTTTTTTTTGGTGTATGTGTATATGCGTGGGTGAGAGAGGTTCAAGAATAGCGAAAATTCGTGATCGATGCTTTGCAATAGAGCCCGGAATCTGAATTTTTATCCTTTCCTTTTCATGAATGATTGCTGATTTCTTGATTCTTGATTCGTGCTTTATGCGTGGTGCTTTGGAGCGCGATCACAATGGGAAAATCCCAGAGGATAAGTAACTAACATAACTTAGAGAAGAGGATCAATCACGTCCAGACGAACGAACGCGCAGACTCCAGACCCCTCTTTTCTCTTTTTTCTTTTTTGAGAGCTTGAGCTTGGGCTTGAGCTTGAGATTGCGAGGACGTTCTATGACGGGGTCCTTCGATGCGGAGCGAAAGGGAAAGTGAGTGGGAGAGGGAGAGGGAGAGGGAGAGCGAAGGTAGGATATAACTAGTAGGTACATGGAGGGGAGGATGGGAATATACATCTCAAATGACAATATGGAATGCATGTTTGCATCTGATACCATGACCAGAGATGTGGAAATAGGGGCCCCGCCGGATACTTACCTACTTACGCAACCGCCCGACCTCGCCTTGCCATCCATCCATCCATCATCAGTACATCAGGACTCGCGGCTCGCGGGCTATCCATGCATGCATGTATGCTGAGTATCGAGATCCTCAGACGACTATGAGCTTCCTGCCCGATGAATTGGAGCGTCATGGTCCTTCCGCTCGGGGATCGAGGTTCATGGAACGAAATCGCAGTCGCAGTCGCAGTCGCAGTCGCGTTTTGGTTTCGATATAGCTACTAGTAGTTGTGTATGTATCACGATTCACTGGCTTTGACTCAACTTGGGGGTGGTTGAGGCTGATACGTTCCTTCCGTCCGCCCGTCCGTCTGAGCGGGCTCTCGCTTGGGCTTTGATGTGGTTACTAGTCGGTGGTGTGGAATTGGAATTGGAATTGGAATTGGGATACCGTGACTCTGTCTTTAGCCGGGGGCTTGGAGGAGCGGGGAAGGGAGGGGCGGGTGAAAGCGGATTGTCTGTGTGTGAGTTTGTAAACATGAGTAGGCACTCCCCCGTTGGATATGTGTTTAGTAGGCCGTGGGGGACGATGGGGTGGGAAGGGATGTGGGAATGAGGAAGCAGGGATGGAGATCTTGAGCTGGGGGAGGAAGAAAGGGATTCTGGGCATGGATGGGTGTGTGGATATGGCTTCGTTCAATGGTTCAATACATGTGGTGGTGCGAAGAAGTCGAAGACAGAGGCTTGATGACAATCCAGAAAGTGGTTTGAATCTTGGAGCTTGCTTCGGTTCTCATCCTTGAATCCGTAGCTGGATATCACCCCTGTAGTCTGCTGTTGTTTGTGGCCTTGGTAGCAGTACACTTTCCAGAGTTGGCTCACGCTCATGCTGTCCCCTCCCGATCTGTCCTTGGAACCCAACGTGTCATACCAGCAGTGCTGCCTCGTTCCATTCATGGTGGCTCGTCCATTTTGTGTTGATGTGCATCATACCGACTTCGTCTGGCCCGAAGGCACAAGCAAAACTCGAAGAGCACAAGGACTTAAAATTCCTCAACACAGAACTTGTTGTGGTCTGTTCATTTCTTCGCCTTCTTTTTCGTCTTGTCGTTCACCTCAATCCATCTCCTGTCGACCCCTCTCTTCCCAACCTCCTTCTCAACCACCTCTCTCTGATCCCCTTGAACCAGCACCTCCATTTGCCCCGGTTTTCCGCCAACCAGCTGTCCCACACTTGTACTGCTGGCACATTTCTTCTGCAACTCTCCCGCCAGAATCTCCGGGTTGATTCCGAATACCTCTAGGTTCCCAATCTTTGTGACCGTCTTCGTTCCTGTCCGTTTCTCGATGATAACGGATAGTTTGGGTGGGGTCCCAGACTTTGGTTTGGGTAAAGATGGGTCCGCAGAAGACCACTTCTGATCACCCCGGAGCAATACCCAGTATGGCTGGCAGAGGTGCGTGTCTTCTAGGAGACGCTTTTGGAGGACATCACGAGCGATCTCCCCGGCGGCCAAGGCTTTCGTGTCGGCTGCTTGGGTTGTAGGATTTGATGCGCCACTGCCGCCGAGGATATTGTTTGCCAGGAATGGATTCAGTTTGATGAAGCGAGGTGATGACGACTGGGTTGTCAGTTCGGGGTCTTGATCGATATATGTACGAAGAAAAGAAGATATTTGGTTTGGGGTGTAGAAGTCGGTTTTGGACGGGAGAAGATCTGGCACAAGTTTGGATGACGGACGTAGCAAGGTTTGGAGGGAGAGGTTTTGGTTGACCGATGGATCGGAAGCTGTGTTGACGGCTTTAGAAGGTGTCTGAGAACTTCCGCCGCCTCCAGCATCTTCTCTTGGTTTTGGTAGACGATACGGAATGAAATCGAGGATGTGCTGGTCGTCAAAGTCGATATCGAAGATGACAGTCTCACCTCCGCTGCGATCCTTGGATTTGACCAAAGCTTGTTTGTCCAGGTATTTGATGAACTTTTTCGCGTTCTTCCAACTGGTCTTTTTCATAGTGTAGTATTGTGCTTGGGAGGTGGAGTGAATGGGAAGGTATGGTTGAATGAAGTGGGATATCAACATCGAAGGGTTCACTGGCAGATCGATACCGTAGTGAGGTGGAGAGCCATTCTTCCTGGCGTTGTGGAGAGCGAACAGGAAGGCGTTGTAGAATGCTTGGTCGATTTCCTGCGTGGAAGGTTCTGCTTCTTGTTCGTCAGCGTCACTCCTCTCTGAAGACGCTCGATGGGTGCCCCCGTTGTCGTTCTTTGTTTCTTCTAATGAAACTCCTCCCTCTTGACCATCTGCATCGTCTTCTTCAAGTGCCATGCTCTCCACACCTTTGCTGAGACCGACGACATTTGCCGAATCGTCCCATCCGTCTATTTTCTCGGCCGCCTGCTTTCCTCCTATCCCGCCATGGCTCCAAGCCCAAAGTTCGTCTCCTTCCCAGTGCACGCCTTTCACTGCATGACCCTTCGCACCCTGCACCTGCTCGAGTGCACTAACGTCAATCTCGCATACACCAACAAAGGCTGGGACGCTGGGTTTCTCGATACTGGCCACAGCAACGATAGCGTTCTTCTTTGCTTTTTCTGGAAATGGCGGGCCTCTTGTCAGACCTGGTGTCATCAGATCGGCGCCACTTCGTAGCTTCTCAACCACAAATTCCTGAGTATGCAACAACGGAACCAATCCTGGGTTCTGCCATAGCGTGTAGACTGTCGGGTACAGCCTTTGATCCGATTGTCCTATCTGAAACCACAAAATCCGTTCTTCTTGCCCAGGCTGTGAGCCGACGTAGATCGTCCCGGAGACGAGCTTAGAATGTGGCCCTGCATGGGTGTTGAATCGTGCCGAAAGGCAGTTTTCAGGTAGCAAGGAGGAGCGGATTGCGGTCAGAGATGTAGGATTTGGGTCGAGAGTGGTGGCACCGTTCTCATCGAGGGTTTGTGGAGGAGCAGGGACCTGGATCTGATATTCGGCTATGATCTGGTCGGCGAGCTTGCGACGATCCGAGGATCGTAAAGGAGACAAGTTTTTGATCTACATCCTGTAAGATGGTATTCCAGTACCGCGAGTGCAGTGCTTACCTGTGGCTTCTTCTTGAACATGGCGTAGAAGGGAAGTAACTTATCGCGTGGTCAGGGTGTCATGCTACACGTATCAGCTCTTACAAACCTTTCGTGGCTCAGCATATGTCGAGAGACTTTGCGTCAGCGTTGAATGTGAAAGGATGAACCTACAACAAACACTTGTAGGATACACAAAGATTTGCAAAGAATTGGGAGAATGACTCAAAAGAGCATGACACAAGCCATGTTGGTGCGGAGTCCCAGGTCATCTACAAGCATCCACGAACAAAGCTTCTCTTATCCTACAGCGATAGCTACATGAAGAGATGCTGTCAGTCAGACCAACAAACACATGCCGCTCCGAACGACATGTCCAGAGAGTCGACCAAAGGACAGCCAATCAACACAGATGTGGCCAGCCTAAGGCTGAGGATGGAGTCATGACCTTTTGATTTCCCTAACACTAAATATGGAAATCATTCTGTCGCAGCCAATGTCGCCCGTGACAGGCTTCCTTGCTGGTACAAATGTCGTCTCCGAAGATGGCTGCAGCCATTAGCAGCTTGTGAACCACAAACCGACGGGTATTGAACTTGCACACCAAAGAACCTATCCATTATCTAGAAACAAGAAAGTCAAGGGAATATCAATCTCCCCAACACCATGGCTCTGGATACCAAAATAGCGTCTCCAGTCGCCGGCCTGTACAAGCGGCACGAAAGGCAATCTAGCGCAATTACGCAATACATGTGCATTGAAGTGAGGAAGAAATCCAAGACTCCAAGTCGTGGGGCGATTTGTGGTATCATAACGGAAAATCAAGCTTCGTGAGCGGTCTTGCTCCATCCAATACTGATTAAGGGCTGACTGGTCCAGCAACAGCGCTGAACGTTGGCTCCAACCGGGGATGATATAAAACTTTTTAAACTGCCAAATTTGGTACACGCTTCCTGTTGGATTTGCCACAAGCACGCCGGTATTCCATGAAACCTTGCGAATGAATGCCGTATTGATCGTCCTCGTCGGTGTTGTTGTTGTAGGGATCGCTATCAGCCTCAATATTACCAGAAATGTAGTTGGTCACTGGTGCAAGATTGTCCGGGCGCATTCCTTGCTTCAGCGGCAGTTGTGCATTATCCGAGCGTGGGCTGTAGCTGCGCTTGGAGGACGGCGCCGGCAGGGGAAGATTCCACTGTCTGCGAGTTGGATCGAAGACGGTGCCCGATGATGGTCTAGATTGCTGGTTGTCCGTGAGCAGTGCAGGGAGCTGCATGCCTGAGCTCGGCTGGGGCTGGGGCTGGGTCACTTCCGTGGCCATATGAGGCATTGCTGCAGGATTAGGCAACTGTGGATAGCCGGACTTGGGTTGATCCACGGACGGACGGTCCATTAAACGCGCAGGTGGTAATGGAACGGCAAACTCTCGGGAAGAAGTAGAAGAAGAGGCTGGTGGCTGCAATGGAGCAGGCTGAGTATACGCCGGATGTTGTGGAGCAGGCATCCCAGCGGAAGCGCCGTTCATAGGCGGTGGTGGAACAGAAAAGGAGCTCCCACAATTGCTCATCGAAGGGGTAACAGAGTGAAATCCATGGGACGTGTAAGCAGAATCCTGGAGGGATCCACGGTGGTACGAGTCCACGCCAAATTGGCTACCATCCATGCTACAGCGGCTGGCAGACCGTTGCCGCTCGGTGGGCGTCTGAGGCGGATAGGCCGAATCTGGTGTGGCATACCGATCACCAGAGCGCATACCGTCTTCATAGGCCTCGTATTCATCCTTGCCTGTGTTTCGCTTCCTCATGCGGATATCCCGGCGTATGCGAACGCGGCAACCCTGATCGGCTACGATTCGGCTCATTTCAGTGCTTTCTGACAGCCCTGGGAATTTCTTTGCTGAATAGACCTGAAACGGGGTTGATTTGACCTCCAGGCGCCAGGCCATGCTTTCTTGCGTTTTGGGTCCTGGGCATGGAGTGAGCACTTCCAGATCCGCGTTTCGTGCAGGACGATCAACGTCGAAATCTTCTGCGTCCTTGGTGGCCTCATACAGGTTGAAGCTCAAGCGATACCAGCCTTCGTGACGGACAGACAAGTCAGGGAACAGGAAGTAAGCAGCAGGGGATGGACGGTCTAGGTAATTGGCACCAGCAACAGGACAACCGGTCAGCACCGGAATGGCAGGCGAGGGATGCATGCGGCCATTAGCGATAGGACGAGCCACCTCCAGGGTAGCGAAAAGAAAGAAATTAGCATTGTAGGACAATGTGATATCAGTCTTGGTGTTCTCGCCCTCAAAGACGCGAAGCTCAACCACTGGAGGAGGGTCAACAGGACGACGATCAGCGCACGCTACCTGAACTTTAGTAAATGATCACAACCTACGCCTGGCAGTGGGAACTCACCTCGAGCCCCAGCTCCACATGCTCTAGCTCTCTCGGGCTGCTGCTTGACGTTTAAGGTGTAGGTCAAGGTCTTGCCGTGCACGGTTTTGCGAGTCGTCGAATGAATGGATTCATTCTCCGGTTTCACCATGGTGAAAGGCATTTTGACAATGTCGTCTTTGGCACGACGAAAGGGTAAATAATAGCTTTGCAGAGTAGGAGCTGGAATAATGGAAGGGCTCTCTACCGAGTCTAGAGAAGTTTTGCGAATGTGAGCTGCTGGCAAGATATCTCTGAATGGAGGGAGTATCGGTTTGCGAGCACCTGGCGAAACAGGTTCGGCCCAGGAACCAGGCTTCTGGGAAGTGGCTTCTTGAGACTGGCGACGAAGTTCTTGTAAGCTAGACATGATGCGCGTCAGTTAGAGAGACCGCTCAATATGGTAGGTCGAAAGAGCAGAGGTAAAGACACAACTATTATGTACAAGAGAATAAAGCTGCAGAGGATATATATGTGGAATGGAGAAGGATTGTGGGAACAGAGCACAAGTGGATGGAAGAGAACCAGTGTGCGAGCGGCGTCATCCGGTCAACTGCAAACCCACTTGGGAGGATTCGTCGAGCAGCCAATTCTTGGTACCGAATCAACAAAGAACGGAATTGAGGTCTTACCTCCACAATAAACAACGGACTGTTCTTCGGGTTGCCTAGTCGTGGATGATTGAGGGATTTTGCAGCAAAGGTGCTCTGGTGACCTCAGATTCTCCCAGACTTGAACTTTCCCACCCCTTTCACTGGGAAGATCCGATTACGGTCGCTGATGTTGTAATTCGAACACGCCTACCAGGTTGCTGGTAACGATACTCAGGATATCCTGCAGACTGCTCTTTCCTTGCCAAAGGCCAATGCCTTTCCGGACAGATCGTTCCTGCTTTGACCTCAGCAGGTTCGAACCAAAATCCCCGGCGAAGCCCTTCGTGTGAGTGGAGACGCGATGGAACCGGTGATTATTAGGCGAGCAGCTGGGGCTCAGTAAGGATGGAGCACTGGGCGCTCAGAGCGACGCTGAATGGATACCAGGAAATCAATGGACCGACGGAGTGGTCCACGAAATTTCTAACTATCCGCTGGAACCATAAATCTGGTGCCTTAACGAATAAGGCCCAAGCTATTGCTGTCTTGAAGAAGCAAAAGCTGCGGCGAATCGAAACAACAAAGAGTCGAGAATTAGGGAGATGGAAGCTGGAAGGAGAGAGGACGAGAGGGGAGGAGGTGGAGGTCTGTCAAAGAGTAGTGAGAGAGCTAAAGCGGCAGGTTTACACTTTGCACGAGTGGATGCGGGAGGGTGACACGAAGCAGGATCCAACTTAAGCCTGACAGGCTGGGACACTGGGGTGGGAAGGGAAGGGTAGCAGAGTGCGCCCATTGCCCGGCATCCAGTGTCCGCTTTTTGCGCTTGACTACTAACTAATTGGGGCAACATGGTGCTAAACACATTACAGCCATCGGCTCGGAAGGGGAGCAGTATCTGCCAACCGACAGCCCCAGTTTTTCCCCAATGCTGGACGAAGCAAGGATTAACGATGCCCACAATCCACAACCCAGGCCCCGGTGCAAAAATGGTCATCGGTGGGCGCTTGGTACAGGCACTAATGCACCTGAGCATCAACGACAAGCACCGCTATTCCTCAATCGACTTTCTAAAGAATCTAGCATCGACAGGGTTCAATAGCTTAAAACCGCCACTGAAGCTTGGGTCACTAAACTTGTTCCACCCAACCAGCATCCACATGCGCATTTTACCGGCAAAAAGTGAGTCCCTTCCTCCACCAAGTCCGGCATTTCATGAAAACGTGGTATCTAGTTAGGAGAAATTCGAGATCGAAGCTCATATTGGGCCAGAAGACGTACGTTCTCCTTGTTGGAGAGCAGTAAATTCTCTGGCTCAAACTGAACCGCTCAAGGTGAACCGCTCAAACCTTAGGAATAAAAATGGCCAACGACCACATGACGATTTGAAAATTTACAGTTCCTAAGGAGCTGGTCGATAAGCATAATTCGAAGCAGGAGCCGAACGTGCTTCTCGAGGATAACCACAGTTGCATACAAAGAATAATGTTCTCGCTTGTTCATGGTTTCGAGTTCAGCGTCAACCAGTCATTTGATCATAATCAGCACCATGACTCCCGCAGCAGCAGACACCTGATCACAATCAGTTGTGAGCACTGAAAGCGATACTCCAATCAAATTCATTTCTGCTGCACACTAAAGGCAAGCCCCATATACTCAATACCATCCACCAAGTCGTGTAAAATCTGGTGCTAGCCTTGGTCTGGCCAGGGGTACTGAAACAGGCACAGCCCAAAATTCTCGATGCAGCCACAACCGGCATAGAGCCAATCACATCCATCCGTCTCATGCTCTAGTACTAGGTAAGATAGCCTTTTCCTCGTCTAGAGCTGCGTGCATGCTTGGGACAAAATCGAACAACCAGCAACTCGATCTAGCCAGGATCCGGAGAAGATCGCGGCACGAAAAATGTGGCCCTGGCTTGTGCAATTGTGCAGCGCACAACCTCCATTGAGGACCGAAAGGGTTTAAGCTGCCAATGACCGACTGATTTAATGAGCATAACGGCTCACGGTACGACTAACATGATCCGATGCGAGCCCGAAGCAGTAACGGGTATCGCAATGTCCAGACAAGCAAGTTAGTCTGCGTCTGCAGTGCGCCACATTGTTGAATTTTCTTCATCCGTTATGCGCCTTGGAAAACCTAGTCAAAAACCAGCCGTGTGCACAAGTATAAACACCACTCACTGTGACAATCCAGATGTGCAAAGCTTCAGCCATGCCAGTGCGCTTAGCTAACTTGGCCTATGGACCGCTTGTGAAATGAATACTGTTGGCGTGTGCAACTAACTTTTCAAAGGGTTGTGGACCAAATGTCCAGCCAGCTTTCACAAGAAAGGGGGAAACAAATACAATTGAGGATGGTTGTACGAAGTACGACATTGGGAGGGAGACATTTATGCACTGCCCACCACCAATACCGAATTTGATGCAGTCATGTTCTCAATCTTGGTTCATGGAAACCAATGGAAAGCAGCATGCTACGTAGGGGTGGACCACTTTTGGTTACACAGCACCTGGAACTTCAGCCCTCCATTTACTTACGGCACAATATCCAATAGTACATCTGTTTACTTGAAGGCAACCGCTTGCTCCAATAGTCAACCTAGCTACCTGGAATCTGGACGAAACAAGCCTAAGATCTCGATCTCTGCCCTGTTGTGATCATACTTGTGTCCCCTGAGCAGGCTGCAGTCACACACCTCCTGCGACTTGGTACGGAGTAGACATCAATTGCAAGAAGTGGGCACAAGCTTAGACTACAAGGCCCTGCCACCTCTACCTTTGTGTTGTTGTACCGGGCAGGTCTTTAATCTTAGGGCTCGATCAAGCCATCTGGATCAACCATCCGACACCCTCTAATAACCCCCACTTATGTCAGGTCGTCTGTAGAGGCTAGTTTCAGGGTCCGGAGGTCTCAGATGGAGAAATTGGCAAGTGTTAATCTACAGCATCTCAAAGGCTAATACCAGTCAGTACAACTCGGCGACAGTTGGACCATGGTACCTTTTTTCATGCTCCTAGTCGTACTACTTGTACAGCAAAGCTCGACATGGAATATTCCACCGGCAGCCAAGCAAGTCAAGTAAGTACTAAAGGTTGACGAAGCAGAAAGCGTCGTGGAAACCAAGGTTGGGGACTTCAAGCTGTGCGTTGGTTCTGCAAGAGCCTGCAGCTAGTTAGTTAAACCTCTTCCATTACCTTAGCCAGATCCCCACTCTGCAACCCCATTTTTAGCCAACAATTTTATCTCGCAATTCTGACAGTGACAACCACGGATGCTCAGGCTGGTCTCTGATCCTCTCTTTTCTCAAGTCCACCCATTCTCGGGATGCTTGAATCTGAAAACACTGACCAGGTTCCTGGCTGAACCTTAAGGAGGATACCGTTACTGTCCGAGACACCCATCCCTCTCACAGTTTCAGGCACTCCACAAGCCGCATTCCAGGATCAGGACCTTGACAGATCCTTCCCGAACAATCCGCAATCACTCGCATTTACTTACGTAGTACGTACTACGCAGCAGCTTCCATGTCCCTCCCTGCTGTTTGACTTGCGAAGTCTTTGTTCGTTTTATGTTACTACATAGTGCGGAGTATGTAGGTTACGTATCTTGCATTGAAGATCGTTGTCCCGTACTACTTGTACGTACATGGTAAGCACTTTAAACTTCTTAGGTCGTTGCAGCGAGTAGCAGCAGCTCTGAAAGAAATCCGTGTTTGCTATGATGAGATCTAAACTATACAGCTATGCACAGGAGAAGCTTGTGAAAGGGGAAAAGGAAATCCTTGGGGGGACATGCTTACGGCCACATCCAGCAAGAGTCTCCCTGCTGATGGGGGTTGTTTATGTGTGGTCATCGATGTTGGGGCCAGGACCAAGACTTGGCTGCTGAACCTGAGTTTCTTCACGGTAACCCGAATTATTCGAGCACTCGCCCGGCCCTCCCTTTGGCGGCACTACGGCTACAGGCCTAACTTTTGGTCCCCCCCCAGTCAAAATATCTTACAAACGCCTTTTTTACATACACACCCTGTCAGTATCCCAGTCGCTATTTTGCACGAATTTTGCTCATCCTGCAAATCCTGGATTTGGATGAAGAATTGATACAAGAGTGCTATGGAAATACCCTGCATAAGTACGACGAGCTACGAGCGGCTGTTAATGCTGCATGGGATGCTGTGCCTTCTGACATCCTAAAGAGCTGCTTCAGTTGATGCAGGGAACATGTCAAGCAGTGATAGATGTCAAATGGAATGCAAACTCGGATTCAAAAGACTAGTTCTATTTGAGCCATTTTGTGGGTGTCTATACTCAATTCTACATAGTACGTTTTGTACGGATACTAACGTTTTCAGCAGGGAGGTCAAAAACTAGGCCTGTAGCCGTAGTATGTTGCAGACCTGTTGCAGACCGAGCTCTTCCTCATTGGACCGCATATCTGACATATGCAACAGTCACTGACATCGGCTCAATAAACACCGCCATTCGTGGTGTCTTCCGAACCTCGTCATGCGCCAGATGCATGCCCTGATGACGGCGGACACAGACATACTATGGTACGCACATACGTAGTACGTTACTTGTCATGTCCACCTATCATCTACTCACAGCCAGTGCTGCTCGACTGTTACCCGCTGACAGATGTGCTTATCCTCCGTTGGCACAAAACGGTTCCGTTTGGCCTACGGGTAACATCTGCCATTTTGGCATGACAGATGCTCTATGGCAGCTGTGAAACTATTTTGGTCGATTCTCGGAGATATTTCAAATGTCTCAAGTGACGAACTGCAGCGGACTCGGAGGCTGGCTTATACATGACTTGGCATGAGCAAATCACCTTCAAGTTTCGTTGATGATTCAAGTTGACTGAGGCTCCAATTCCTCAGTTCCAGCCTGCGTCTTGTCTTGAACTATGTTGTGTCTTCCTCACCCTTCCAGAAGCCTGTCAGTTGAGTTTGAAAGTCAACCGAGCCAACGGAAATTCTCCGTTGGCTGGCGGCCGTTTTGCCATTCACTTCATATGTCAGTGGTCTGGTTACACATGCAGATGTTGTCCTCACCTGTCGTACTTTATGCTACTCGAATATTCAGGTACCAAGGTACTCCGTCCCCAAGCAGTCGCAATGCTGCTTGTGCGTGCATCGCATTTCGATCCCCGGGTTGAGAGGATGACATCTTGTTCTGCGCCTAAAGGATCCTAAGGGTGTGTGGAAACCCTCTGGACGTTCAGTTCCAGGCAGTTGGTATGTTGGCACCACTGGCTACGCGCCCCGGAGTATCCGCACAATTTCACAACAAGCTGTCAAACTGTCAGCCTTGTGTCAACTCCCTCCATGTGCTTGAAGAGACACAAGAGAGCATGACTTGCATGGCGGGTATATCAGATTGTCAGGTGCAGAGGCAAGATTCATTCAACTATCCGGACCCACCGCAGCCGAAATGACGGCCTTGGCCACCGGTCCACATCTAGAAGTCTGAGGATTGAGCTTGATGGACCTTCCTATTTGAGAGGAGTCTATTGACCAGCCAAGTACACCAGGAAGCATCTTCCCCTTCTCAGGAGGTCCTTGCGACCTTACACACCCCACGTCATGTGTTCGTTTTGACGTAGCCTCGATCACCATCGTTGGCGGCTCTAAAGCGGCCACTGAACGGAGTTAGGGCAAATTGATCTGATCTTCAAATACCACCGACGTCTTCGCTATCCTGTATTGGAGACAAAATAATGAATGAATGACCGGCCGAAACGAACATCTCCAATCCGGAACTATGTGGTGAATTGCTCAGCTCCCATGCTTGGTCTCAGCCCTACCGTGGTAGTGTCATTCTCCCTCTCTGTCTGGACCGAGCCCTCCGACAAAAGCCCACTAAACCAGTACAGTTCTGAGCGTTTGAATATCCTAAATCTCCCCAATGAAGCCACTACCTCGTTCAACCCACCCTTTCCATCTCCTTTTCGTCATAAAACCTAGACCGCAACCGGCCATGCACTACCTGTCCTCAGAGCCAAGTAGAAAGCCATGCCAATGCTCGACCCGACCCAGCCCGACCCAGCCATTTGATAAAAAAACACTGTCAACCCACCCTTCGCTCAGCAACCTCCCTCCCTGTCCCACTACCAGTCTTCCCCCGGGGTGTCAAAACTCAGCTTTGCTCATTCATGCTCATACCGCTACAGAGCGCTCCCTCGTCACATCAATCTCTGACTCCCAACTCCAACTCCCACCCTTCGCAAGCAACCAGAGCAGAGCAGAGCAGAGCAGAGCAGTCAGTCAGTCGCCAACTCCATCCAATACATGAAAGCATTATTTAACTGGCAACGCGCCGTCTCCGCCCAGCGTGAGTATCAGAAACGCAAAGACGTTGAAATATAACTATCACATCACCCTTCCGGGTTCCGGGTTCCGGGGCAACGGTAATGCCAGTATGACACCGACTACCGGCGTTTCTGATGTATCGCTTCGCTCCGTCTTGTTTTTTTGGGATCGAGGGGCTCTGCTCTGCTGGTAGTTGTCTTGCTCGCTTCTCGGTCGGGGAGAATGTGCGCTGGCGTGTGTGCATGTCTAGTGATGATGGCTTTTTGTAGTTGGTGTAGAGCAGCTACGGTGAGGTGGATTGGATGGATGGTGGCTTGATACGTTATATGACATGCGGCACCGGTTTGGTGGCTGTTGTGAGAATAGGTACGGGGTATACAGTTCAAGTTCTGTGTATGTGGGATGAGGATGAGGATGAATGGTGTGCATGCAATTGACTTCTATGTCTATTCTTCTTCCATGATCCGCAATAGTACCAGGCCCTTCCCTCCCCTCCCCTCCCGTTCTCCCACGTCTCCCTCATTCTCCTGTCTCCCATCTGCCTCGCTGCAGTAAGCATGCGCTTCTAGTGATCAATCTCTCGTATCCACCACGCTCGCTCTTTCTCTCCCTCTCCCACCTCACTCGTCCGTCGTTGTTTTCACGTCGTCCATCTGAACTCCCGCTCGGGAGCTGGGAGATCATCAAGGCCTCATCGTCGCATCCACAGTCTCCTGAGAGGTGCGGATGATGCGCTCGCCAAATTCCAGCATGGAGCCGAAACTGTGTCGAGTAGTCGACCGGATTGGCTGCCGTGCTGAAATGCGGAGCTCGGGCATTTTGTTCAAGTTTTCGACTGTCTGGATGCTGCTGCTGCTGCTGCTGCTGTTGGGTTGTCCTGTATGAATGCTGGGTTGAAAGGTGAAGGGAGAAGCTATTTCTTCTCACACGCTGGCCGTAAGCTAGATATTAGGGTCAATGGGGAAATCGAAATGTCTTATCATGTAGCGTTTCCTCGTCATCCTGTATCCATCTTGTCGCCCTTCGCATTTCCATTCGTGGCCAACCCTGCCCGCTCTTCTCTTCCCTCCATAGCCACATCAACACCCCTTTCTATATCACCCTTCGCGGCATCGCCAACTCCCCTCCCACTCTGACATCCCGGACAGTTATGCACGACCTCGTGCGCGAAAAGGTCACAATCAATGCAGAAATGCCTGCTACAAACTGTACACTCGTACCTCCCACTCAACCCCTCTCCCTCGTCGCCCCACCTCTCACTCGGCGGAACCTCAGGAAAGGGTCTCCCGCACGCAAAACAATGCGAACTCCGCCACGCATCGGCCCAGGGCACTTCCAGCCAGTTCACAAGCGGAAACAGGTGGTGATACGACCTGGCAAGATGCGTGGACAGGATGAGGGTCAGTCCACACGACGGACACTCTGCTGGTAGACTGCAGACTTTGCTTCCACATCGGGAGCAGAGGTATCCCTCCCTGCTGGGCCGAGAGTGGCATGCACAGAAGCTGGGATGGGATTCGACGGTGCGAGACGGGAAGCCCATCATCAGCAATGAGGAAGAGGATTTCGTCTGTACAGAGGTGATGGGCGGCGTGGTGAGTTCCATCATCAACTCACGGAAGTGTTGCTCGTGAAGGACGATGGTGTAGTTGCTGCGGTCACCGTTGTTGGTTTTGGTGACGAGTTCGGCGCAGATGGCGACTTGGGCGGCGAGGCCGATGACGCGGGCGCGGATCTTATCTTTGACTAGGTTTGCGATTGTGAGGTGGATGTCGTTTGGGTCGACGGTATGGAGGGCCCCAAAGACGAGGAGAACTTCTCTTGTTCCGTGGGTGGGCGCGTGGAAGAGGCTTGCTCGAGCCATTTCGAGCGCGTTTTCGAGACTCGGCTGTCCGCGCGGTTCTTGCTTTCGGAGTTCGTGGAGCGACGAGATGTGATCATTGGGGTTTCCGCTCATGTTGGAAATGCGAACCGCGAGGCCATCGCGCATACCGATTATACCGAGTTGGGAGATTGGGTTTTGTTCAAAGAATTCAGAGACGAAGCTGCTGGCGTAACGGATCGTGAGATGGTAGCGAGTGGGCCGGAGGTCCTTCTCTTGCATTGCGATGGAAAGGTCGAGGATTAGGATAACATGACGGATGATGCCTCGTTGGAGGGGTGTGGTATCTTTCAGAAGTCTGCACCCAAAGCAGCGTCAGCGAGGGCAACGCCGCTGGAAACGTGCTTGGGTTGTGGATCTAGATGACCTTTGCCTCTTCCCTGCCTGTAGCAGGCCCTCAACCGCCCCTGTGATTGTGCCATCTGCCCCTTCAGTAAGATTTTCCCAGGTGCGGGTTACTTCGAAGCCGGAGGACTCTTTATTCGCACGAGTCGACTTGGACCGTGTGCCGGCGAGAGCATCACGGTTGGAAGAACCGCCAATGTCAACATCATCGTCGGAGCCTCCTACATAGTCTTCGTCGGATACCATTGTAGGAGGGGAGTGCGAAAGCGAAAAGCGAAAAGCGAAAAGAGTGTCACCAGGGACCGGAGCTAGGGGCCAAAATTCTTGACACTTCTCACCAAGCAGAATTTCAAAAAACGGTTTAAATCATCTCTCTAATGTGGAAAGCACCGCCAAGCTCGTGTAATTGGTTGAACCTCTAGCATTGTTGAGTTAGGGTTCCTAGTATATAGATTCGCTCTGTAGGTGCCTTTAAGAAGAAAGAGTAGTACTTCGGAATATGGACTATAGCTGGAATCATAAGAATAGCCCTATCTAGAAATATGTTAAGAACGCGTGTTATAGATGATAACATTCTAGCGTATATAACTACAAAGTTGCTTGTGATTGAATCATTACTCCGTAGACAGTGCAGTGCTAAGAGTGTTACAACGCCTTTTAAGCCGTGGCTTACTACGTTAGAAGCCGGATCCAACAAGCTAATGACTATAAGTATATTTCGGTTTATCACAAGAGAGGCGCGATGGAAAGGGGAGATCCTAGTTTTAGGTACTAACGCAAAGTGACCTAACACATCTACTACCATTGTATCTACCGCTATTCTAGTCCTCCTAAATAGGCAACCCCTCTCCTTCGTTTCCTGCCAGACTCGAGAGGTTTATGCCCAGTGGTCCTTTTGATATCCGACAGTAGAGGCGATAATACATCCCGGCGAGTGGAAGGGAGAAGTTGGACTGGCGGTGACTTGATGTATTCTGAATACGGGCTGGCATCTCCTTCCAAGTTCGCAGATGTCGTATGTATATCCTTCCACAAAGCCTTCAGTCGTCCGAACGCATCCCAGGCCTGCAGATGTCGACATAATCGCAGACTATATAGCAGGCATTCTTCGAAACTGTCTGTATCAATCCTGCCAGCAAAATCACATAACGAAGGAATCTTCGGAACACCCTGGAAAGTACGATACAACGTCATATAATCATAAATACTGTCTCTCTGGACCGTGTCTGAGTTGTTTATACGGTTGCTCGCGCAAGCATGACCCATCTTCATTAGCCAATGCTGCAAGCTCAGGTCTTTTGGCGAAATAGGAAACTTGCCATTGTCCATCTGAAAGAGTTTCCGTTCTCCCGGGGTATCCTCGGCGCCATACTTTGTTCTCCATAGTCCATTGGCCTGGTAGAAGTCAAAGCATGCAATCTGACAGTTTGAGAAGACAGTCTCTATGAGTCTGGTGTGCGTAGTGGGCGAAAAATCTCGCACTTTTGCTTTAAATTCTGCAGAGGGCATCGAAACCTTTGGAGATAACCACTGCGGAAAGCCCACGCCATACAGATCTTCAACTTGAATAGGATGGCCACTTGATGTTGGTTGTATGGGAGTTGATGCTCTGAGAACAGGTATTTCGGCGTCTGGAGTCTTATCAGAAGGTGACTCGAGTTCCGTTGTGCTTGTGGTTTCGATATGTTCTTCCTCCTCTGAGGCCGACGAGCTGGCATCATCATCTTTTTCTGTAGATATCAAGCGCATTTCTGACAACCCGGTCTCAATTCGTTGCAGTGAAGAACTGTTGCGGTCAGCCGCGCAAACACATACTGGAACTCTCAGGCAACCTACTTTCCCATTGTTGTCATCAAGAGTGTGAAGCTTGAAATGTGAAATGAAATGTCTCGGTGGATCCTCCCGATCTTCTTTTGACCCGTCAACCACTTTATTTTGATCCAGAGTTGCTCCGGTCCCTTTGATCCAGCCACCATCGGTCGGAATTTGTCCACTAGCCCTTGCACCTCATCCAGTGTTGCCTTCAATCCAAGAGTCATTGTCTGGAGCATCTTCATACGCCCTTCGCCATGGGCTCTCACCGCTGACTCCTTTGATCCCAGGTCATCTTCAATGTGATTGAGTACACCGTAAATTGTCGTCAAATCCCTGGCGAGGTCTTTGATATCTTGGGGCCCGTCCCTCAGCGACTCGTAAAGTTGCCAGGAAAACTTGATCACCTCCTTGAAGTCGGTCAGGGAGAATCCGAAAGACATGTTTGATGTGCATGTCCTTTCGCAGAAGTCGGCCTCGTTGGCAAGATAGGCCCGTAAAGCAGCAAGAGGAGGAGGTCAAAGGCAAGGCATATTACTGAATTAAGCTCCTGGGAGAGTCAGGCTACTGGGAGAAACAGATTAATGGGAGAAACAGATTACTTAGTTACAACTTTTACGAATTTGTAGCACTACACCTTGTTCCACTACACCTTGTTCCATTACATCTTCTTTCACTACATCTTGTTCCATTACATCTTGGTCCACTACGTCTTCGTCCACAAAATAGAAAATAAAGAACCAATATTTTCTATCAATATTAGTCCCTACCAGTCTAATCTTCCTACCAGTATAGTCTTTCTACCAGTACAATCTTTCTCCTCCTCCCACTTCTTCTCGCTTCCACAAGACTATCTATGCTTGAAACCGACAACTGACAAAGAGTTACACCATAAGAAATCATCTATCGAATGTGAAAGAACCGCCAAGCGCGATCAATTGGCTGCAAAGTGCTGTAAGCTTAAATGTAAAGGCCGAAGGATCAGCGTTCTAATTGGTTAATGTTCCCGTCTTCCTGCCTTCTTGAGATTAGTTGGCAAATAAGCAGTGCTTTAGTGGGCCAAGGCTGCAGAATCTTGCTAAGCTGTACCCCATCAAAATCAGAATGCGTACGCAGGATGCGCAGAAAGAGGGTACAGAAATGCGCAGAAAGAGGGTATAGAAATACGCAGAAAGAGGGCGCAGAAATGGCACACAGAATGTGCAGAAAGAGGGCACAAGCTGCGCAGAAAGAGGGCGCAGAAAGAGGGCGCAGAAAGAGGGCATAGATTGTTCTTCTATCCTCCTATCCTACAAGTGATACCTCTGATAAGTGCGATTACCGTGCATCAAAGGGAGCAGTTTGTGGTAGTCGGGTAACCAGGGGCCCAGAAAAGGGAAAGGGGGGTTTGGCTTTTGAAGGTTGTGAAGTTGGTAAAATTAGACTGGGTGACAAAAAAGGCGGTAGTAGCTCACATGACCCGAGGTGCAACAGACGTCGAAATCAGCGTCAGAGACTGCCTGAAACAGCGTCCTATGTCCCGAAATCTAGATTTGTGCTGTAAAATAATTACTATCAGATAAAATAACAAAGTCTACTAATCAGAGTAGGATACTCTATCGGCCAGAGCAGAATACTCTAACCGTTAAAGCAGAACACTCTATCTGCTAGAGTAGGGCACTCGATCGGCCAGAGCAGGGCACTCGATCGGCTAGAGCAGGGCACTCTATCCGGGTAGAGCAGGGCACTCTATCCGGGTAGAGCAGGGCACTCTACTGGCTAACTATTGTGAAGAATTTTGGACCCTAGCTCCGGACACATTTTGGAGAATCTGGAGTAATGAGTGAAGCATGGCCCAAGCTTCAATTGAGAGGTCATTGAGAGGTCAATTGCTCTACTCAATTCATCTGATGTATCTATGACCACCTCTTGAATCTTCCTATATATGGAGCGTGAGGATCTGAGCCTTGTCATACATGCTCAACCATCTGTCTCGCAGGTTGTGCTCCATATCCTTCAAGACCATCAATTTCAACTTCTCCAAAGCCCCGTTTGCTCCCCGCACATCCCCAAGCTGTTCCATTCCCGCCGTACGGTTACGATTGTGCCTGCAGCTACGTTTCTGCTCCTCAGAATTTCGACATAGCATGGCGCGAACAGACCGGGATATATTGCCAGACAAGTAAGCCCGAAGGAAATAATGATGTAAAGGGATGCTGACATAGACAGTGTACGACCGTCGAACTACAATCTATCTTTGTTCGACCTCGAGTTCGGTGGCGGATGGGCTTACAGCGGCACTGTCAAGATTGATGCTGCTGTGAAGAAACCTTCGAAGGAAATCGTGGTCAATTCGAAAGAGCTAGAGATCAAAAGCGCAAGTCTGCGGTCGGTGAACAGTGAATGTGAGTTCGGAAAGAGACGATTTCGAGTTGTGAGAGACATCGAAACTGATCAACGAACTTACGTGTACAGCGACAGAATGGAAAGCTTCCAAGATCGACGTCGATACTTCGAACGAGCGGGCGACTCTTAGCTTTGCGGAGGAAATACCTTCTACGGAGGAAGCTGTTCTGACCATCGACTTCAAGGGGACCATCAACAATGCGATGGCAGGCTTCTACCGGTCGAAGTATAAGCCAGCGGTTACACCGTCCCAAGGAGCTGCAAAAGAGGGGGAAGATTACTACATGTTCAGTACGCAGTTCGAGGCGTGCGATGCAAGGCGGGCGTTTCCCTGTTTTGACGAGCCCAATTTGAAGGCCACCTTTGAATTTGAGGTTGAAATCCCGGAAGATCAGATCGCACTGAGCAATATGCCTGAAAAAGCAACCAGAAAAGGTGGCAAGAAGGGCTTGAAGGTGGTATCATTCGAGAAAACACCAGCCATGAGCACATATGTAAGCTGCCTTCTTTTCGATAGTTGAACAAATGCTCATATCGTGTCTAGCTCGCTGCATGGGCTGTTGGAGACTTCGAGTATGTCGAAGGACACACTGAGCGGAAATATAATGGGAAGAACTTACCAGTCAGAGTATACACTACCAAAGGACTCAAGGAGCAAGGTCGATTCGCTCTTGAGCATGCTTGCAAAACCATCGACTTCTTTTCCGAGACCTTCCAAATCGATTATCCTCTTCCGAAATCAGACCTACTCGCAGTTCATGAATTTGCAATGGGTGCCATGGAGAACTGGGGTCTTGTCACATACAGAACAATCGCTGTGCTATTTGATGAAGCCAAGTCGGATTCAAGGCACAAGAATCGAGTGGCATATGTTGTAGCACATGAACTCGCCCATCAGTGGTTTGGCAACCTAGTGACTATGGATTGGTGGAATGAGCTTTGGCTGAACGAGGGATTTGCGACTTGGGTTGGCTGGTAACAGAACAAGACTCAGCTGTCCTTGATTGTCGCGGCTGACTGAAGTTTGCAGGTATGCTGTAGAACACCTACATCCAGGTGAGGATGTTCCAATCTGACTTGTATTGTTTGCTAACAAGCATTCTAGACTGGAAGGTTTGGAGTCAGTTCGTTGTGCGTAAAATGTCCCGAGGTATCATGTTCTGCAATTACAACCCATTGACCATGAGCTAGGCTGAAGCTGTCCAAACAGCTCTCCAACTCGATTCGCTGCGTGCCTCTCATCCGATTGAAGTACCTGTGCGGAATGCTCTTGAGGTCGATCAAATCTTCGACCACATTAGTTATCTTAAAGGAAGTTCTGTCATTCGAATGCTCGGCAATCATCTTGGAAACGAGACTTTCTTAAAGGGCGTTGCAGCATATTTGAAGGAGCATGCTTATGGTATGATTCAGTGATGCAAAGCGGTCTCTTATCTAATGGTTTTTGGCTAGGCAATGCAACAACCGACGACTTATGGAATGCCCTGAGCAAGGCCTCTGGTCAGGATGTGAAGCAGTTCATGGTGAGTTGATACTTTCCCTGCTGCTCTTGAACTGCTAACCTAGCTTAGGACCCCTGGATCCGGAAAATTGGGTTCCCGGTAGTGACGGTAGCTGAAGAGCCGGGCCAGATCTCTGTCCGACAGTCGAGGTTCTTGACCACAGGTGATGTCAAGCCAGAAGAAGACGAGACGACATGGTGGATCCCGCTGGGCCTCAAATCAGGCGCACAAACAAAGTCTGCCGGTTCCGCTCTGACTGTGAAAGAGGACACCATTCGTGATGTTGATGACTGCTTCTACAAACTCAATGCCGACCAGAGTGGATTTTACCGTACTAACTATCCACCTGATCGATTGATGCAGCTGGGCCGTATGCGAGAACGTCTATCCACGCAGGACAGAATTGGGCTGATGGGAGATGCGACGGCTTTGGCTGTGGCTGGTGATGGTACTACGGCTGGGCTGCTCACTTTGCTGGAGAGTTTTAGAGACGAAGACAATTACCTGTAAGCTGATCACTTTCCGGCCTCGAACATGTTTTTGACCATTACAGCGTCTGGTCTCAAATCTCAAGTTCACTGGCCAAATGCCGGGCAGTATTTGCTTCCAACAAGAAAGTCGCCGATGGCCTTAGAAAGTTCGCCTTGAACCTCGTATCGCCTGCGGCAGAAAAGATAGGATGGGAATTCAAGGAAGATGAAGACTATTTGACAATACAGCTTCGAAAGCTTCTTCTTGGGATGGCAGGTGGTGCTGGACACGAAGGGTGAGCAAATGATGCGTTGATATTCACACAGACTGACATGAACAGAATCATCGCCGAAGGCAAGAAACGATTTGAGACGTGGAAGTCTGGTGGAGAGCTACATCAAAACCTACGGGCCGTCGTTCTCAACATGAATGTTGCCAATGGTGGACGCTCGGAGTACGATACTGTAAAGCACGAATACCTCCAGAGCACTTCTGTCAACGATAAAGAGGCCTGTCTCCAAGCCCTTGGTCGAGCTAAAGATAGCGATCTCGCTCGAGATTCACTAGAATTTGTTACCTCCAGCGATGTGCCTATCCAGGACTCGCACTACGGCCCAATGGCTGTCTCTGCCAATAACAGTACTCGAGATGAAGTGTGGAAGTACACTAAAACACAATGGCAAAGGCTCAATGAGCGACTTGGTGTCAGCAATATCTGTATGGATCGATGGATGAAGATGGGTCTCAACAACTATTCGGATCATGGCATCAGAGAGGAGATTTCGGACTTCTTCAAGGACAAAGATACTCGGGCATACGATCGAAGTCTGGTCGTCATCTCTGACACGATCAAGGGCAATGCAAATTATAAGGAACGGGACGAGAAGTTGGTGCTGGAATGGCTGGAGGCCCATGGGTATGCATGAGTGCAGCACACATGCGGTCATAGAGGCACCACCTGACATAGATGAATGGATAATAGTGGTGTTGAGTCACATTTGCAGTATGTCCTATTGACGTGAAAGCTTCTAAGAGGCCTTCAGGTGACTTGACAGGGTGATGAAGTTGGCTGAGTGACTCAGTCACGTGAAGCTGCAGCATGTCCATTTCTGTGCTAACCTGATTGGGGACGTTCTTGGCACGCAGGCAAGTTGTTCGTTTTGTTCGTTTGGTTCGTTTGGTCCGTTTCCAACTCTCTGGCTTTGTTGTTGACCTGCATCGCCTGTTCAACATCTCACAAACGTCCACGCTACAACTACAACAAGCTCTGAGTCCTGATCTGACACGTCGTTTGACCTCACTTATACAAAGTCTTACTTCCTGACTGATACCACCATCATGAATCCGGAGTAGTACGTACTCATCATCCATGCTCTACCAACTCCATCAAAATCATAGACCTACTTTGACTGACTTGCGCGTCTTCTCAGAGTCTGCTTCGCTTCTCTCTGCTTACCAGCCATGTCAACTCAACCTCGGAAACCACAAGTCTACTATGGAAAGCCGAGGACTGACCCCGACCCCAACAGATACGATTACCTGTTCAAATTGCTCCTTATTGGTGACTCTGGTGTCGGAAAGTCCTGCTTACTGCTACGGTTCGCCGATGACACATACACTGAGAGCTACATCTCTACCATTGGCGTTGACTTCGTATGTGATGCTCCTGCGGACGTCGTCCGCCCCTTTTTGCTTGTCAGGAATAGTGTTGACGAAGTGGTATTAGAAAATCCGGACAATCGAACTCGATGGCAAGACCGTGAAGCTCCAGATTGTATGTCACTCCAAACCTGGGCTCTGACGGTTCTAATCAGCATTACAGTGGGATACTGCCGGCCAAGAACGATTCCGAACCATTACATCTTCATACTACCGTGGCGCTCATGGCATTTGCGTGGTCTACGATGTGACGGACATGGACTCATTCAACAATGTCAAGCAATGGCTGCAAGAGATTGATCGGTACGCCACCGAGGGAGTCAACAAACTCTTGGTCGGCAACAAGAGCGATATGTCGGACAAGAAGGTTGTTGAGTACACAGTGGCGAAGGTATTGTCAGCAGAGTGTCACAGACAGAATCGAGAATGCTGATCTGTAAATAGGAGTTTGCTGACAGCCTGGGCATTCCTTTCCTCGAGACCTCAGCCAAGAACGCATCGAACGTCGAACAAGCTTTCCTCACCATGGCAAGGCAGATCAAGGAGCGAATGGGCACTTCAACCGTCAATAACAGCAAGCCTACTGTACAAGTTGGACAAGGTCAAGGAGTTCAATCAGGTTCGGCAGGCGGATGCTGTTAGATGGATCAGTTGTCTCTTTCCGGCGTCCTGCATAGGGTTTTGTTGAGCGAATTAAGATTGCTGGCGGGTTGATGGCTGAGCTCCTACAAATCAGACACTGTCAAAGCGCTCAGATCTTTTTCCAAACGCATGATTCAAGGTAGCTATGGGTCTTCTTGATTTTCTGGTGTTTGGTCAGATGTTGTCTCCCACACCGGCTTAATAACTAGACTCCTTTGTTCAAGATCACATTCCATATGTCTCTGACTGCCATTCTTATTTTCATTTGAACGAATTTTACTCGTTTTGATTACGTTTGGCTTTTCTTTGTCCGATTTCTATTGACGAGATTCTCTTTTCTATGCCGGGTGAAATCTTCCCCTCGTCTTTATCAAGTCGATTCTCATTTGGCCCAAGTCTGCTCTGTATATGGAAGAACTGATTTCAGCATCTGCACATCAGACCAAAAACCAGATAGTCCTGCTTCCTTTCCATTTTACCACATCACCTGGCCCCAGGCAGGATAGCCTTCAGCAAAGATGGAATCTAGCCAGACGATATGCCGCGGTAACGAGTCAACAAGCAATTATTTAAAATAAACGACTCGTCTAACCCGCAAAGCAGAAGCAGATCTCAAACCGGAGTTTCGTCCAACGTCCCCATCATGATGGGTGAATACTGCGCCTTGCCCGTGTCAACTCAGTCAACCGCCCAGCCCAGCCCAGCCCGCGAGCAAAGGAGCAACGGAGCAAAGCCGCGATTCCTTGCTACCCATCTAACCCGAGAACTGCCCCCATGGCTTCTGCCTGCCTCACATTCGACACACATCCACGCAAAAGAAGACGATACAGCGGCGCGTCTCGAAAACGAAACCAGCTAGCCTGGGAAGTGGAGAGGATCGTCATCCCCTATTTCAAAGGGGCATCATGTTATAGCCACATCTGCACTACGCACGAACTGAATGACTTGCTATCTGCTGCGCTGGCTAGCTGGTGCCGCAGCTGCTCCGGTATTGTGCCTTCTTGTTGTGTGGGTGAGCAGTATGCATGCAGGTGCTAGATTGCTATAGTGGCATTCTTCTTCTTCTTCTTCTTCTTCTTCTTCTTCTTCTTCTTCTTCTTCTTCTTCTTCTTCTTCTTCTTCTTCTTCTTCTTCTTCTTGTTGGTGTCACGGATGCATGCGTGCGTCAGCTTGGTTGGCGTAGGAAATCTGGGGATTGGGATTGGGATTGGGATTGAGACTAAAACGGATGAAGGAATTGAGGCATAGGTAGGTGCATTGATGGATTGATGGATGCATGTATGCGTGGATGCAGGACAGGTAGATTTCTCATCTACAACAGGGACGTGCCTTGGAGATTGCACTCCTCTCCCGCCAAGGAAAAAGGGAGAGGAGATGGCTTGGGCCGTCAAGGAGGGTTGGAGGGATGGATAAGGAGGTAACGACGTCGTTTAGCGCGTTGGGGGGGGGGAGGGGGGTTGCTATGCGTGAGTGGAAGAGCTGCCCTATTATGCCTATGTTGCGTATGGGGTCATGCAGCTGGCTACTACTTGGTAGCTGTCTGGCTAACTACTAAGTTACTATGTGCTGAGCTATATTTCCTCCACCCACGAGTCCGAAGGTCCCTCGCTTACCTCACACCCCCCACGTGAGATAGGTATCCCTCCTCCTCCAGCCGGAGACACGGGAGTCTGCATGTGCTGCCTGATGGCAACAAGCTTGAACTTGCACTTCCTCATATACCCATACCCTACCCTACCCTACCATACCTTAACAAGCCAAATCCGCCCATCCAACCCCCCCAAGCATTGCGTATCGCCATCAAACCCGGAATCTAGGGGTTCTGATCGACTTCGGATGTGAATTCGATGAAAATGCAGCAAAAGAACATAATCACCCTCTCTCTTCCCATCCTTCCTCCATCCCTTTCCCCTTCCTGTCCTTCCTCCAAAATACGTAGGCGCCGCAATCCATGGCCACACACAGAGCCGCCCTAGCCAAAGGCAGAGCCCCGGAAACCAAGATGGAAATGCAAGAACTGCCATCCCACCCCTTTCCCTTCCCTTCCCTTTCCTTCTTGACCTGACCCTGGGTGGAAACAGATTCCCCCACTGCAAACCCAGGGGTTAAGCTGGGGTTCACTCAGTACAGACCCCTTCTCGACCCCTACAAGTCTCAGCCGTGTCTCCTCTCCGAAACGTGCCTGGAGCGTCGAGCGTCGAGTGCTGTTTGGGTGCTTGCTTACTTTTCCTTCCCCCTCCGCCTTATACCACGGCCTGCTGGTCCCACATCCAGAATTGCTAGCCACGCCACTCGCTGTGTGGTGAAGAAGGGAGTTGAGAATATCATGTATGGTGCCTCAAATGCCTGGTCAGTCCAGTCCAGTCCAATCGATCTCGAGCTTGCCATGTTTTCTTTTCGTTTCGTTTCTTACCTTGCTTGCATGCTCTGCAAAGGGACTCGGCGGCTGTGCATACCTCTACCACCCCCACCCCCAACCGCTACCCATGGCTCCACTCTCCCTTGCTTATCAGTTCCAGTCCAGCCCAGTCCAGTCCAGTCCAACTCAACCTCGCGCAGTAAGTCTTTCGAACTCATCCCTGAGCGTGCTCTCGGCTGGCGTCCTCCCCGGCTTTTCTCTGCCGGAAGTGTTAGTGTTCGTGTTCGTGCTCGCGTCCAGGCGTGGTCTCGCCTGGGGTGCCACGCCACCTCTGGGGTCCTTGCGTTTGGAGGTGAGTTTGCGGCGGGGACGGCGGCGGCCAACTGGAAGACCATCGCTACCACCGTCGAGGGGCATGCTGATGCCGCGTCGGTGGCCCGGTTCGTCGGACCAGGGTCGGTACCGTCGCCCTGTGAGCTGATCAGTGATTTGGTTGGATAGGTTTAGAGATGGTGTGCTCGGTTGGTTGGTTGGTTGGTTGGTTCGTGTGCGAAATTTGGCGGATTAAAGAATGGTAGCTTTGGGTGTTGTTTTGGGAAGACTATGAGGAGGGGGACATGGGAGAGAGAGAGGTATGGCACGCGAAAAAGGGGAAAATGACGACTTTGCGAAATGATAGGCTGCTCTGTGAATGATCATGGGAGGGATTCTTCGACGATGGACTTACATAAAATCAAGCCGATCAAGATTAGAAACGCACAGACGCTAGCCGTAACGGAGCCGATCCAGATGGAGGAGGGTTTGCTGTCCGCGCCGCTGGCACTAGCGCTGGTGCTGGTGTTGCTGATGCCGGTGCTGCTGGTGCTGCTTGTGCTGGTGCTGATGCTGCCGATATTGGCTTGGTTAGCTTGATTGGTATCAATTGCGGGCGTTGAAGACTGTGTAAGGCTTGACGCTGTGGAAGAGCTCAACAAGCTCGACATCTCCACGAGCGAGAATCTCGTGATGGTGGCTAAGGTGCTCCAAGAGCTTGATGGAGTGATTGTGAAACTTTCCTGGTAGGGGGAGGCGATCCTGTTTGTCATCCTCCATTGATCGCTTGTCAAGGTGTTTGATGCGTCTGTTTGTGTCGGATCGGCGTTTGATGATGATGGGGAATAACATGGCGCATGGTTCCCGCAGGCCATCAGGAGCGAGGCTGGAGCTGTTGTTGTCGGAGCTGTCATGGAAGCACATGATGCTGGGTCTCGGATGCGATGACCTCCGATGTCGAACCAGCCGTCATTGTCGCCCATTACTGGTAGCTCCATGCCTGGAAGCTGTCCAGGGTACTTAAAGGATGCAAGAATGGATGAACGGCTTGTGGTTGTGGGTGCTTCGATATGAGGGAGCGGTGCCGCCGACTGTTTTGCATAAGCTCGACTATGTCTGTTGAAGTGGATGGCTAGGTCAATCATCTACATCGAGGAACTAGTAGGTAGAGATAGTCATCGAGGAAGAAGGCGTAAGAAGAGGCACTAATGTCACACGCATGGAGACGGATCACATCATAAGACCATAAGATGACATTCACTGTGATCCGGTATCGTGGAGGAAGGTTATTAGAGGGAGCAGATGGCTGACTGCAGCGCCTGGAGTGACTTGGTCCTTGCTTGAGGGAACGTTTATCCCCACAAACATAAGAACAAATTGGCATATAGCGCAATAGCTGAAGCCTTTTCTGTCATGCTCCTCCCGTGTGCTTAGCATGGTGAGTGCTGTTGGTCTCTTAGCAAACGAAATTTGTGGATGCGTTGAGAGGAATGAAGAAAAGAAAATGCAAGTACTGATGTAGTATTCTGGCATCCAACCAAGGAGAAGTTTATTGGCGTTTAGCATGCAAGCAATGACAGTACGTAGAGAACAGGCTGGAATAGAGACTCGGGACGGCTTGTCCAGTTTGTGCAGTTTCTTAAACCGATCGGGTATCTGGTCCTTTTGGAATAACCGTTCTACCCAGGTGAATCGGGTCATTTTGCGATGCCACATCTAAACAGGGTCAGAGAAGTCAACCGTGGCTACAGTAAAAGGTGGGTGTACTCCCGGAGGCACTGATATGATTTCTTTAGTCTTATTTATTGCTATAACTTCTTCTTTAGAAATTCTGCTTGGACTTTTTCTCTTATTTTTAAATAAGAAGTTATAGCAATAAATAAGACTAAAGAAATCATATCAGTGCCTCCGGGAGTACACCCACCTTTTACTGTAGCCACGGTTGACTTCTCTGACCCTGTAGGATCCGTGTTGATGGAGTACTCCCGTGCAACGTCTTGGTCGTTTTGTGAATTTAGGTCGTTGTTCGGTGCTGGTAAAGTAACGGCCCTACTTATTCAGGGGGTAGGGCAAGGCACGTCCCAAAGGATAGTCTAAAAGACAGCAATCGAGTCAGCATAGCAGTGTTGTGTCCGAGAACTGATTCTCCGCATTCATTGACTTCACTGCTTGAATATCTCGTCCTAAATGAAACCCGCTGTACCTGAGAAGGGAATATCGTAACGTATGCGGATGCCAAGCAGGAGTAACTAACAGTGGCCTCTCAAAAAGCACTCCTATGGCAAGGAATGCTTGCTCGAGAAGTGGAATGCTCCAATATCATCTGATTCTAACATCCTCAAATATCAGTATTTGGGTACATCTATCACAACGAAATGGGTATTGGGTATCGGGTATCATTAGGAACGCCAACCATGAGCCGTGACGGTAGATGCAAGCAATGCCAAACGCCAAAGTGCAAAGCTGTGGCATGATCGACCGCCATTACAGCCAGTACTTAAATTACGCCCATGCTATTAGCTTCTCCCTATCAAAAAGCCATCGACAAGCCTCCTCTGTCTCCCAAGAAAGCCTTTAGGTTCTGGTGGGGGCCGGCCTCGTGATATGGATATACCAACTGTGTTGCTCATGAGCCGAGTGTTCTGATCGTACCACGCTGATGCCATGAGCTGAAGTTCCCTTTCGAGGTTCGATTTCTGAGTGACGACTTCTGCAAACCGGCTATCAGACTCAAGGTCTAGTTGGAAATGTGCCGGTACAGATGTTGTTGACAGCGGAACATCTGGTGCAGCTGAGGTGGAATTGGTCGCAGAAGCGAGCTCGGCCCGAAGAGATGAGATCAAATTAGCCTGATCCTTCGTTTGCTGTGAGAAATGGATGTTAGCATCAAGTTGAACGTAATCCGAGACGTAGTGGCACGAAAATCGGAGACCAAACATGGAGGGTGATTGACGGAAGAGGCTGCAACAGAAAGTACATAACACTATTCTTATGTTTCCAATGACCGAAAGAGTCCACGCAAGACTGATGTCCTTCGATTTTTGGCAGAAGATTGAACCGAGTGAAAACTGGCAGCTGAAGACCGTCTTGATGCAGCAGACAGTGATGTGACAGAAGATCGAGCAGATTGGCTTGCTACTCCATAAACAGAAGCGAGATCATCGATGTGGGGAGATACAGGTTTATAGGGTGATGACCCATCAAGTTCTTTGACACCCACAAACGACACACGAGGCTGGGTAAGAAGGTCAATTACCTGGCTTAATGCTTTTGTAGTGGCTCGGCTGTTCTCAATCTTTGCTGCAAGCTTCTGTTGTTCTTGAATCGAGGACGTTTTCTCAGCATTTGTGGCACCCTTGTTGTGCTCTTTCATAATCCTTATGATGCTCTGCAACTCGTCTTCGCTGATCATGTTGGAGTCATCTATTGCCGCGCTTGCCATCTCCTCGCTGAGGTTGGAGACCGACGGTGAGCCGTCTTCTGATGCGGTGAGGCCGAGACCGTTACTCAAAGGAGCCCTTGGGGTGGTAGGTGATTCAGGCGCCCGGTTTTCGTTGAACATAGTCTGCAACTCTTCGGCCCTTAAGTGCCATCTTGACGCTTGATCGTCGGCTTGTTGCGCCTTGGCTGCCAATTTCATGTTTTCGAACTCGGCTCTTTTTTTGGCTTCATTCGACTCGATGAGCTGTTGCTCAATATTGGACACCAGCTGTCGATATTCATCATTCTCCCGCCGAAGGTCTGACACGTTCAACTGTTCCGAGTCGCATTCTTTCAATTGCCGCTGCATTTCCCCCACTCGATACTTGAGAGATTCATTCTCCTCGTCAGCTTTTTGCAGGCTTTGCAGTTTCTGTTTATACTTATCTGCCGCATTGGCTTTTCGTTGCAACTGTTCACGGTCAAGTTTTAGTTCGTACAAATCATCTTGCATCTGCTGGAAGCCAGCAGACTGGCTTTGAAGGAGTTCGGTCTGAATTTTTAGATTGTTGTTTTCCTCCTGCAGGGAAGTGAGCTGGGTCTCCAACGTGGCGATGATAGTTTCCTGTTGCTGCATCTTGGTCCGTTGAATGCCTAAGATGCTTTGTTCTCCTTTACCCGACCGTAGAGCGTCCAGCCGTTCCGCAGTATCTTTTTGTTGAATCTCAAGGTTGTCATAATTTTTCTGAAGCTTAGTGTGGAGATCATGCATATTCTCGAGCTGTTCCTCGAGCTCGACCGTCTTATGCTCTAAACCTTTGTTGGCGGCGACGAGCTCGGCAATTCGCTCCTCATAAACAAGTCCAGGTTCCTTGCCTGGACCGTTTTCGGACAGCGGCGAGGCTCTGTCATCGTCTGGACCCATTGATGCATCTGGTGGTGAGGGAGCGAAGTCCTCTTCGACCTCAATTGCTTCCGATTCATGCAAGACCAGATAAAACTGTGCTTGTGCGTCTTCAGAGAAATAAATTAATTGCTGAATGTAGTCCAGTGAAAGTCTTCCGAACACAGCAGCGAGAAGTACGAGTTTCAGGAGCTGAATGACATCTTTCTCGGATATAGACTGTGCAATCGCCTCAAGATCGGGCTCTCCGCTTGGAAGTGGAAGCTTTCGTTTGCATCGTTCGACAATGTAGGTCTTCAAGATCTCGTAGATATGCTTCAAATTGGTCAGATTAACATTCCGTACTTTCAAAGGGTTTTGTTCGTCAGCAGCCAACGGCAGCTCGTCAGCGAAGGCCTCAGGGTCGATGTCGTCTGACAGGTAGATCAGTAACCCCTTTGATACTCTTAAATTATGAAGACGCACGAAGTACTTCCCACAGGACGACACCACTGGATAACTCAGAAAGCGAGCGAACTTTCTGTGCACGGAGGCTATTGAACTAGAGATAGATTAGCTTCCATCATCTATATTGAAGCGTAAGGCAAACCCATTGTAGGAGCGCAGGAAGCACCACTTCTCCTTCTGCCATGTTTTCTTACTCGTGTGTGCGACCGGGTTTGACTAACTGCGCAATGGATTGCAGTCTCAAACGGCTGCGGCAATCGAGATGGCCAATTACCTGGAGATGATAGGAGTGGGTGATTATAAAGAATCATTATGGCAAGAAAAACAAGATGGTTTGAGCATGAAAGAACTCTGGCCTTTGTGTACAGGATCTCAATCCGGCGATGTCGCGAATCGCGCATCTGGTGGACGCATCCGGCTAACATTTCCATTATATCCTACTTAACTACCAGTAAATTACTACGTAATGCTAGGGGAGCCATCAGAGTGCGCTTAGACTAAACCTAACCGTAAGATTGCTCAGAGAGTACAAAGATACGCAGCTTAGTCCTCCGTGATGCAATGAAATCTGATTATCTATAACATATATTGCAGAAAATATGGTCACAGTATGGTCAAAATATCCTTCTATTATCATATTAGTTAGTATCATCGTTATTTGACAGAATAGCTGTCATTTCCACTAACGGCACTTAGCTCAGATCTTTAGCTACCTCTCCCCTGGTAAGGTACCTGAGTGACGGCGCCAAGGAAGTTCTTCCTTCTGGCACAGCAGGGATTCACATTTGATCAAGCATAGATTTAGTGGTACATTGTGACTTAAGACTGCTTAAAGGCAGATTCAGATACATCTAACTCTTGACTGGGACGAGTATGCTGAACAAAGTCCCGAGAAGGTAGAAGACTGAACAAAAACTTCTACTCGAGCTGCGTAGAGCACACTGCTTGATTGAACCAAGCGCAGCCTTGATCAGTGCGTTCTCCTTGGAATTTGTCTTTCATGAATTCTCCAATCCATGTGAAAGAGCTGCGCGTATCGTGTCGTCATGATGATCCGAAGCTCAGAACGCCAGCTCCCAGCCATGCAATGCTTGGGTATCGTTCCCGTGTTCATGCCCGTGCCCACACCTGCAATGAATGATCTTAATAGTCTCCTAGTTTGTGTGACCACCCCTGATCAAGTCCCCATCAATAGAGACAATAGAATCTTCCTCGATGAGCGGTAGATATTGCGAGCTAAGAGCCTGGACGGCTTCGAGTGCTCTGGTTGACGCTTGAGCAGCGAAGCCCCTAGCAAGACGTAAATATAAATGTTATACATAGGAGATGCCAACTTACCTGATGAGCTTGTATTCGTGTGTGATGATTCCACCAGCCCTCTCTATTTCCTTTTTGGTCTGATCCAGCACCGAGTCTGGGGCATCATCGGGGTATGTCACGATGACAGCTTTCTGTGGAGCAACAGCGATTACAGTCAAGCCGAAAAGGCAAATAAGCAGGTAGCTCAACAGGAAGAGCTTCATGGTGTTGCAGATGGTAGAGACGTAGGTCGACGGTGACGAACGGGACCAATCTGTGCACTGTCGAGCTGTTGCTTAGTGTGGGTAAAGTCTATATTGTCTTTGGACGTTCTAGATCAAGATTTCAGCGAGACGACTTGGAGGTTTTGTACGTAGTAAGATCAAGACCGTGTTGGCGTCGAAAGTGCGAGCATGACATAGAAGTGTTGTCATAGGTCGGAACGTTACCCGAACAGGCTACTGCACCCGACCTACGCTAGGTTGTTGGCTGCTGACTCATCGATATCTGCGGGCGGCAGTAGTTAACGTCAAGTCTCCCCCCAATTCTCTGCCGTTTCCAGCTTGCTCAACAATGCCCATCATCCTATTGATTCTGCACGACTTCACTATTCACTAATCTCTCTTCGCCAACAGCCAATGGCACGACATTGCTCATCTCTATTGTCTGCTCGTCAATTCTACTCTTGTGCCCAGCTTCAATAACAATAACGTGTTTCATCCTACAACGATTATTCACCTTTCGCTTTCCGCAAGCAATACCCTGATCTTTCGTCGATTGGTAGAGGGGAGTCCAGTACTGGCTGGTTTGGCAAGGTGGAAGGCTCAAGCAAAATAACACAGATACGAATATTGAGATTGCTGTGACTTGGCCTCTGACCATGTTCTTTCGAACATCTAGATAGCGAAGATATCTCACTTTCTGCTTCTTTGCTTCTGTTGGACCGCAGATTCAAATTGGCTGCGAGCTTGGTCTACCATCTTCCGGAGATTCCTTTCTTCGTCTTCTATCTGTTCCACGCCTAGCTCCTTCACTCCAGTCCGACTGCTCTCCAGCACAAGCCCTTCTACTCCTACTCTCTCACTTGCTACTTTTTGGCTTCGCCCGCAGGCTTACTTGCCCATTATGTCTGCCGGTCTCCCATCTGATGAAGTTGTTGATGACTACAAGAATTCGCTGGACGATCTTGTAACCAATGATCGGATCTCCATTGGCAACCTTACCGTCATTGCAAAAGAGTGCATAGAGCATGCGCAGGCTATTGCGCGGGTTCTCGAAAATCACATCTTGCGAGTAAGTCTGCTACAGCTGAGATATCGCGCTTGCTTTCTGTTCATGACATTCACCATCACATTTCTGACACTACCGTATATAGGCTCCTCCTGCACGGAAACTGCCAGCGTTCTATGTCCTGGACTCGATCGCAAAGAATGTGGGGACTCCATACACAGTCTACTTTGGTCTGAACTTGTTTCATACATATATGAATACTTTTGCCTCGGTCGACAACAATGTCCGAAGGAAATTGGATGAGATGCGAAAGACATGGAGTCAGCCTGTGCCCGGATCACAATCTACATATCCGGTCTTCCAAAGGACTGTGACATCCAAGATCGACGAAGCAATGGATAGCTGGGCAAGGAAGCAATTTCAAAACAGGCCGCCACAGATACAATCGAGAGGTCCCGTGGCTCAGGTTCAAGCACAACCCTATCGAAGTACTCCCACACCGCCTCAAGCCCAGCCAGCAATGCATCAGAACTACTCTGGTTATCAGCAGTATCTGAGCGTCAACGGTGTTAGTCAGATGATCAACACGACCCCTTATAGCTCCATGCCCAATGCTCCGGTCCAGCAGCTTCCAACCCACTACTCGCAACCACCAGCGCCAGTTCCGACACCACAGGCGTATTTCCCTCCCCAGCAGCCAGTCGCCCAGCAGAATTTCCAGTACGGACAACCTTCCTATCCTACTCCTGTCCCTACCACCGTAGATCTGGATGCATTAAATCGTGACATTGATGATCTGATCGTGGATGCCAAGATTGGCAGCTACAGCAATCCAATGGATCGAGCATCACAACAAAAGTTAGCCTCTCTCCAAAGCTTGAAAGAAATCGTCGATTCAGGAACATTGTCCCAACGCGATCTTGGGGACGTTCGGAAATCGATTTCGGAGCAATTGGCAGCACGATCAAACCAGCAGCCCGCACCACCTTCAGTACCCACACCACAACCTCCAGTACCTTTTCCACACCAACAACCTCCAGCACAGCCGCCACCTCCTTCAACAACACCGTCGTTTCTCAATTCAAATAGTCTCGCAGATCTTCTCAGAGCGACAGCACCGCAGCATCAGCCAACACCCCCTCCAATACATGCCACCCCAGTTCCTCCACCTGTGACATATCAACAAGATCATCAGAGTCATCCTGCTCCTCCACCAGCAGAAAATCCTTTGATAGCCCAGTTACGAGCTTCGGGATTGCTTCCTGCAACTCCCCCCTCTCTTGGAACACCCTTCACACCACCAGTCAGCAATATCAATCATGCCATCAACAACAACACCACCACCACGACTGTGGCTGTCAAATTCACCTCGTCATCCTTCAAAACCCCGAGACCTGATCTCCTCAAATACCTCACCGACGCTCGTCCCAACCGCTGCACCACTTGCGGCCGTCGCTTCACCTCCGATGATCAAAACCAAGACCCGGATGGTGGAAGCCGAACGTCGTGGCGTGCAACGCAGCTGGTACGTCAGTGAGCTTGAATGGATCAAAAGCCGCGAATATGAAGATGACGAAGGCCCGCCTGAAGACACCAACGGAGATGGGTCTAACTTCTCGCCATCTGCAACAGGAGGCACCACAGCCAAGAACAGGAACAAAAGGGAGGCTTTCATTCGTGTCCCCAACGATGCCAAGATGCGCAGCGAGCCTTGCCCGATCTGTCAGGAGAAATTCGAGAGTGTCTGGAGTGAGGAGTTGCAGGATTTCATCTGGAGGGATGCATTGCAAATCGGGAACAGAGTTTATCACGCCAGTTGTTACCAGGAAGCTACCAAGGATAGGGAGAACAACGGGGCGACGCCTGTAGCAGGCGGGAACGGGGTGGGCACCAGAGCGAGAACGGCGACGCCGGACTCGGTTTTGGGGAAGAGAAAAGCGGCGCTGTTTGCGGATGGAGACGGAGGTGGTGGCGGAGATGGGAAGGCGGTCAAGGTTAAGATGGAGGCATTGAGCTGAGATGGCTGAAGCTGGAGGCCTTGACAGCTACCATGCCGCAGCAAAGAGTATCCTAGGTGGATTTTAGTTTCTGGGCATACATACGTTGAATGAACATAATCAATTCCAAGCACTATTTCCCCCTCTTCTGACTGCACTTTTTCCACTTCTTTTTCATTGGAGGACTTATATTTCCCCTTCTTCTTCTTCTTCTTCTTCTTCTTACTAAACCAGAGTTTTTCTTTTTCTTTTCCTTTCTTTTCTTTTTCTTTTCCTTTCTTTTCTTTTTCTTTTCCTTTCTTTTCTTTTTCTTTTCCTTTCTTTTCCTTTCTTTTCTTTTTGAGGTCGATTTCTTTTTCTTTTCCTTTCTTTTCTTTTTCTTTTCTTTTCCCCATCAGCGATTTCCCTTTCCCTTCCTTTCCCATCCCTTTCCTTTCTTTTGCCGTGGGGATAATCTACAATCGACACGGTGGGGTTTCCGAGACTTCGCGACTTCGCGACTTCGACACTTCGACACTTCGACACTTCCAGGCTTCAGGTTCGACGCTTCGCCGCCTTGATATTGACAGGATATGACATGGATATAGATGGGGTCTGGATGGCTGCTGCTGCTATGGTTAATTTGACTGATTGGGCTGGTGGGCTGGTGGGTGGTTCAGTTGGGAGGACTATGGTAAGTTAGGGTAGGGTATGAGTGGTATGGATGGTTTTTCATTTATAGTGGAGAGGGGAAGGGGAGAGGAGAGGAGGAATAACTGGGATACGAGGCGTGTGTATGAGAGAGGAAAACGGGAGGGGGCGGGGGGTGGTTTGGGAATTTTAGTCCTGTAAGAGTAGATAGATAGGTTCAGTCGTCAGTTGGCCACAGATAGGCTCTGCTTGCTTTCCCTTCCTTGCCTTTTGATTGCTTCGCTTCGCTTTGAGAGGTGTACTGCATTGCTCCATCTCTGACTTATGGATGGTCGAGACTTGAAGAGGTGGAGAGAAAAAGAAAGATCAATGGGTGATTTCTTCTGGAGGCGCAGTGGATTTTGAGGATAAGATAGCAAACTTGGGCTTTAGCTGTCTAGCAAGCTTCTTCACGCTTGGAGTCAGCGGGCTGTGGATATGCCCTGACCGACTTTCGCAGACTGCTTCTTTTCTTTTCGAAAGGCCACCCGGCGGGCGCACTTCTCGAAGCGCATAGAGTACTAGGCTGTCTATGCTGTGTTCATCTACCCATCTCATCATCTACCCAGAGCTTCCAGGTTGAGTTCTCTCACCCCGGTCGTGGAAACCCATGCTGGGCCCCCGGCAGTATCTGGAACTGTCTCCTTCTCCTTATGATTTCATCTCTTTCCCGCTTCTTGCGTTCTTGCTCTCGCTTCTTCTGCTCTTCCTCGCGCTTCTGTTTCTCTGCCTTCAGGCGATGTTCTTCGGTGAGTTGTTTGACAAATTCCCGGTATTGGCGTTGCTTTCGCAGTTCGCGGGCGGCAATAACGGTGCGCATGGCTAGATAGTTGGAGCGGATGTGTGTCATGTGTTCCCCTGAGGAACGAGATTAGTAGGAGGATGAGGGTGGTCAAAGCAGGGTGAGTGCCAAAGAGAGCGGGTGTTTGACTTACAGAATGCTTCAACCACATCAACTTGCACTCTACCCGCCCGAGCTAGAAGTCGTTGCTCTGCGATATTGAGATCTGGATGTTTTTCATAGACCTGCAGGTAGAACAGACGAGTTTCCGGATCCAAGCCAAAGGGATTTGCGAAGAGCATCTCTGATCGACTGTTTCATATGTATCAGCAGCAGAAAATCAGCATAACGGGACCAAACCAAGGCTCTCAGAGACCAAGGCAAATAGCTAAAGAGGCGGCAGGAACTTGGAAGAGAAATAACTACCTCAAAATCAAGCTGCGTACTCCAACACGGAAAATTGCTTCCTCTCCATACTTCTCACAATGATGTCTCAACATCGCCTCTGCCTGAGCCTGATAGATACGAAAGATTCGGTCGATTCCCTCGAGAAACCCTTCTGGTAACTTCACGTTTGGGCGAATATGCAGTTTTCGATCCACATAGAACGGCATTCCTCTGACCAGAGACTTGGACTCGTCATCGACCATCCGGCTATCCTTTGGATCAGGCGCAGGAGGAGTGTAATCCGGTGGTAAGGGTGGATAGAATGTAAGCTCTGCATTATCCTCGGTCTTGGGCTTGAAGTAGCGGCTTATGGCGTTGTGAAGTGAGGTGGCGGTGCCACGTTTGGAGTAGTGGTCGAAAAGTCGGCGAGTTTGCTTTACCAAATTGACTTGAGTAGGAAGGGGTTGGCTTTGAAGTTCCAGTTCGGCGCGATGACTGATCTCATCTAAAATAGCTTCTGCGTCTGTGATGGGTGAAGGGGAATGGGATGCACTCGGCTCATTCATGATGAAGATAAGAAATTGGGTTTGTGATGATATTGAAACCCAAAGGACGTGGCTGTAGGACTATATTGAAAAGCTGTGTATACAAATAGAAAGGTTGGCCTATTGATGGCTTCTTTCAGACGCATGAATAGCAGAAGTGAAGGGAAGGTGAAATGGATATGTGTTTTCCAGCTATAATTTCTGCGATGTTCCAGCACGGATCTTCCTAAACGGAAAATAGGATTCTCTTATTGCAGCCATCAAAACCAATCAGTATCGTTATGAAGCATTTCGAATACAGAAATAAGTACGTGTGAAAGTCTACCTGTCCTGAAATGATGACTTTTACTGCTTCGTTTTGCTACTGACATACGCAGCAGGGAAAGAAGGTGCTGCTGTAAGAATCTGGATGGCTATATCCCGTTGCTCATACGCGTATCTATGTAAGTAGATGAGCAAAGTCTTCCGGTACCGCTCGTGGATGTTGGTAATGGCGTCCTTTTGGATGTATTTCCCCTTGGCACCGACAAGACAAAGATATAGATTTCATCACTTGCTGCGATGGGCGGTCCTGCGTGTTCTCATGCGATCTAAATGCTCGCTGTAGCCTAGATGTTGTCTCCGTACAGTGGCCTTCCTTGCTTGCTGCTTTGAACAATGGAAGAGAAGCTTGTTGGTCGAAGATTTAGGAAGTTTCAGGCAGACAAATTGCGATGTCGTCAGTGACGATACCTTAGAGGTAAGAAGTTCCTCTCCACGCGCAGAATGCTCCGGAGAATGACCATGATTGGACAGTTTCTGGAACATGAGTGGCCATCTTATTGGGTTACAGAGAGGGAACAGGAAGAGGCAGCCGTGGCGTTCGTCATGGTATATTGAACGCTCCTCTGGGAAGAGTTCCATATTTGACTACTACGGGGGGGCCATAAGTATTGTTAGCTCAGCGCTAGTAAAATTCTCACGAAACGCCCTCTTGACAGAACCTCTTGTACGGCGCTATGACCTCACTGCCCTACGCGTTTCTATCGATTCTACGCGTTACATTCGATGAATTCCGTATGGATTCTCTTGAATTCAACGCATTTCGCGTGGATTTTATTGATTTTGCTGTTTCTACTTTGAATGCAGTCCCCGAGAGCTATCTTATTGAGCTCCTTGAGTCAATGTCAGAGAGGTGCCAGGCAGTAATAGATGCAGAGGGACGGCAAACTCGATATTAAAAAAAAACTAGACTAGTCCTAATTGAGCGATTTGGTCTCATTCTATCTTGGCAATTAGAGAATGTAACAAGCGTCGAGCTAACAATACTTATGGCCCCCCCCGTAGTAATCGATATACCAGTACGGGAACGAACTGGGCATGGACTGCGTTTACCCAGCGGTCGCTGTCCTCATGGACGTCCCAGCTTGAAGTGAGAAGCGCGGCCAGTAGCTTCCAGTGTTGGTCCGAGATACGTTCACGAATCCAGACATCGAGTTTGGCCTGGTAGACCACTTTCTCCGCGAATCGGATCTTCATGGTAATGGACTTTGCTGTAGCGCTGTCTCAATAGCTGTACTCGACATGACAGCCAGCGAGGTCTTGTCAGTCACGAGAAAATCTAACCAGCAGGAGAATCGTTCGACTGCTTACTTAGTACCAACCCCTGCTTCGGAAGCACTTGAAATTGACAAGTCTTCCTCCAATGCTTTCCTGCTTATCAATTGGTATCATGAATTTTCCCACATACCTCTAGTCATAATCTTACAGGATAGACTATGCCAGCATTTTCTTTGTTCGGCTGAGTCGTATGCATAGGCTTTGGTGAGAAGCAGCGGTATCTCAGCCTTGCAGTCCGATATCTGGAACCTTTTATAGCCGATGCTCTCTTGTTGAAAGCGACTCAGCTCCGAAAGGATTAGGACCCTATAGATGTGGTATTCGGGACTCTTAACTTAGAGGCTAATACTTAGGCAGTGCAAAGCCACACTTTTCTCAGCCGCAGTGCGGGGCTTTAGACAAGCTGGACCTGATCAGCTCTTTCATGAGCACCTCGTGGCTTGGAGCGATATTTAAATCGGCGTACAATGGCTGTGATATGATCAAACCAAAGAGGTATACATAAATTTTTTCAGATGGATTTCGAAAGATTGTTGAAGTAGAAAGATCAAGCGTAAGTGACAATCTATCTGGCGAGATGGAAGGAGAATACTGAATACTCTCGGACGATGGAACAGTAAGCCAATTCTGCAAAACTTAACCAAACTGATCCCATGCATATCTCAGCAATAGACGGCGGCAAGCGTCTGGACAACATGTTTGAATTAATTGTCTGCTATGAAGACAAGTAAACGCTCTGAAGGTATGCCGAGCGTGTGCACGCTGCCACCGATACATAAAGCAATAGGCATGACCCTTAGGACATACCACCAAAACGGTGCCTGCTGTGCCCACTAAGGGCAAGAAGGGAAAGAAGATGAGAACATGCTATGCCGGAACTTATGATAACCAGCGCTGCCTCACCTCAATGTTGATATTGTACGCCGACTCCCTATCCTGCCATCATCCTGAAACGCCTCTGCCTGCGAAGCCCGATCATGGCCAAGGTCTGACCATTACTCATTGCCAGGTGGCTGTTGTTGTTGTTGCTGTTGTGCTTGACCCGTCGGCATCATGAATCCAGGAGGAAACATGGGCATTCCATTGGCAAAGTTGAAGCCAAAACCGGGCACGGGTGGGGGAACGGAAGGTGGCACACCAATCGTGTTCGGGTTCGGGTTGTTGATTGGTGCTGCCGCCGTGTCGCGCTGGTTGCTATCTCGATCTCGGTCATCGTAGCCGTTGCGGAAACGATTTCTACCGTCGTTACGATTTGACCCACGGTTGTCGCCTCGAGAGGACTGTGGACCGTGTTTACCACCCTGGTCAGTCGCCATGCGCCGGCTTATAGCTGTAGACAGAATAACGAATGAGATGATGCCGCGCAAGGAGGAACATGAAAGTGGAATGGGAGAGGGGTTGATAGTGCAGTCAGAGTATAGACTGGAAGTAGGGTGCTTACCTTTGGAAGAGACGCCTGCTCCAATTTCAATATCTGGCTCCTCCACAACCATTCCAGATTCAATAGGTCGTCCTCCAGTGCCACCGTACTCGGCACTAAGCATCCATTTGCGATCAGCATCTGTGAGGCGGTCGATAGGAATAACGCTAATTCCGGTTTGATAGTCACTGCAGTCCCGAGGACCGAAGCCTACACCCCACCTCGTCCGAAGCTGCATATCTCCAGATTTGAATTGTTCCATGCCTTCTCGAGCCTTGACTGCATCTTGGCGGTTGATCATCTTTACAAAGGCGTGACGTTTGTCGGTATTGACAATACAGGTCTGCACAGTTCCAAAAGCGGAAAAAAGTGATCTTAGATGGGCTTCGGAAGAAGTGACTCCTCCCACAAACAGGGTTCGACTCAATACTTTTATCATGCCCTTGGGAAGATTCTCCCACTGAATGACTTTCTGCCCTGGTGGAGGCAAGGCTTGTGGTGGGCTAGGGCTGCGGCGGCGTCTACCAGGAGGGCTTCGCTGACGATAGTCGCGTCTGCCACCTCTGTCTCGATTACGACCGGGAGAATCTCCATGATATTCACCATACACTGGACTATCACGCCGACGAGGCGGAGATACATCACGACGTCTATCCCAACCAGGCGAACGCGATCGACGACGACCATATGTCGGAGAACGTACGTAGTCTTGGCCAGCAGCATCACGTGATCGGCCATCATTCTGTCCACCCCAGGCGCTTGCTTGTGGGGGCTGACCAAAGTTGGGCATGCCTGCAGCACCTAGCTTTGGAGCATTCGGATTAAGAAGCTGTAGAGCAGTTGCCCATTGCTCGGGAGGGATACCTTGGGCTGCCATCAGCTGGATCAACTGAACTTGCTGCTGTACATCAGGAGAAACTGCGGCATTGTTCTGTGGCATAGCATGAGGTACAGGAACTTGTGCTTGAGACTGCATCTGCGGCAATAGAGCTGCAAGCGGATTTGGCTGAGCAGTCATGGGATTTGGATTCTGATTTGGATTTTGATTTTGATTCATACCCTGCCCGCCATTACTCATTCCTGTCATTCCAGCGAAAAGGGCTCCCAGCGGGTTTACGGCCTGCCCATTTGTCGCACTCTGGGCCTGGTCTACAGACGGTGCTGGTGGTTGTGGTTGTCCATTCTGCTGGCCTAATACATTATGCATACTAGCTTGTGCTGGAATTCCCGGGGCTGCAGGTGCTGATGAGCTCTGCTTCGCCATTGATGCAAGAGCAGCTAGAATTGCTGAAGTATTCTGTGCTGGAGCTGGGGGGTTTGGGTTAGTTCGCTGCGGATCTGTCATGATGGTGTCAGGAGATGGTGTGCCTTCCGGAGTGGTAGATTGAGCATCTAAGAAACAGTGATTTTATCAGTTATTTGATCGAGATGTCGCTTTGTACGCATACACTGGCCGTGCACAGATAAAAGGGCCTGCTTACTGTTAGGTTTTGGAGCATCAAGCTTTTCCTTGATAGAAGATAGCATGGCGACTGGGAATGTATTCGATCGCTCCCAGATGTCTAGCAGCTTCTTGATTCTGGCCTAAAAAACATCACGATACGTAAGTGGAGTCCAGACTATACGCTGAGGGAACGGTTTGAAAAACATTATTGCCCGAAGAATTTGGTCAAGACAGTACAGAACAGCGGCGGAGAGGCTTCTTTCAGCAACTTCTCTTCCATATCTATAGCGTACCTTTTGATCTTCGGGAGCAGTATTTATGATGTCAGTCAATAGCACGGGTAGAAGTTCGGTCACTCTATTCACGCCGGCAGCGAAAGTGCCGTCTGGAGCACCGCTACCAGGAGTCTGACCAGCCTTGCGGGCCTGGTCTACCCACTGTCGGGTTACAGAGTCTACAACATAGAGTACTCCCAATTTGTGTGTGCCTGGTGCTTTCTTGAAATGCGTGTAGATCTTTTGGATGAGCACAGATTCAGACTGGCAGGGAAGGATGATTAGCATATGATATGACTCTATGGAAGTTGACCTTGACTAACCTGAACATTTGCTGTGCATAGTGAAGTGATACTTGTGATTTTTGAGCCTGATACGCCTGGAGGTTTGAGACCGAGCATGGACTGAAGATAGCCATCCAGCTCTGCTACTGCAGACGACATATTTGAAAGAAAAGGTCGCCGTTACCAGCAGGGGGATAAGGATCGACAACAGAGTGATGTGCTGAGAAGGCAGTGAGACTACTTTCTAAGTTCGAGCGCCAGAATGTGAGAAGGTGTACAGATGAATTTTAGAAGTGGTATTTCAGCAGCCAGTTTCAGTTGTCACAACTGGGAGTTGAGGACCGCAACACCCCAACGGATGCCTGAACGTGCTAGCCAGCCACCTGCTACACCCTATTTCATCCGCAGGGAGAACTATGAGGATCCGATGAGTAGATCGGTGGTTTTTCTGTTGGAGATCGATGAATCGGCGATGGATTCAATAAAGTGGTGGTGTTGTTATGGTTTGTAGGAAGGATTGTTAAGGAGCGCAGGAGGCCAAAAGTTGGCGTCGGAGTGAAGTTTTGCTTGCCCAGTGTGTGACAAAGCAAGTCACGTGTTTTCAGATTACCAGTAACCTATGCTAAGCACAAAGTGAAGACGGTGATCTGCATGTGAAGTTCGGCTGCCCGTCAGCAATAGTGGTGTACCTTGCTGTATCAATCAATCCGCTTTGAAATGATTGAAAAAATACTGGTTTGGAGGAGCAAGACAAAAAGGCTGTCATTCGAGAGGAGACGGAACGTTGCTAAATTTGGTCGAGTTGGTTGAGGAATTAGGTTCGCAGCTGTTGTCTCAGGCCCGACAGTTCTCTGGTCCTCCGGTCCTTGGGAGCTCCGTATGCCCGCCAAAATTTCGGCCAATTCAAGCGACCGAAGAGCTCCGATTTTATCCCCTTCTTCGAGCTGTTCACTTATTGCACCTCCGCTGACTTTGAGCTTTGAATGATTGTAATACTTCCTTCATATCCGTCTCTTCTGCCATGGTCTCTTCATTACGACTAGGGAGCTCCATGCTTCGCTCATCTACCATTCTATCCAAACCAATCCTTCGGACTGCGGCTTTCAATGGAGCCCGGACTATCTCCTCCAAATCCCCCGTATGCTATGCTTTTCTACCCTTCTTGTCCTTCGAAGCTTCGGCTGTTGACCACTCCTTCGCAGAGCTTGAAAGAAACCTTCGCTGCAAAACTTCCCGGAGAGCTCGAAAAGGTCAAGAAACTGAGAAAGGACTATGGTTCTAAAGTAGTCGGGGAAGTCACCCTGGATCAAGTCTATGGCGGAGCTCGGGGTATCAAGGCTTTGGTATGGGAAGGTTCTGTCCTCGACTCAGAAGAAGGCATTCGCTTCCGTGGCAAGACAATTCCAGAATGCCAGGAGCTTCTGCCCAAAGCCCCAGGTGGTGAAGAACCTCTGCCCGAGGGTCTCTTCTGGCTCCTTTTGACTGGCGAGGTACCTACCGAGGAGCAAGTCCGTGGCTTGTCCGCAGACTGGGCTGCCCGTTCCGATGTCCCTGCCTTCATCACCGACCTCATCGACCGATGCCCATCCGACCTTCACCCTATGGCACAGTTTTCATTGGCTGTGACTGCCCTTGAACATGAATCCGCCTTTGCCAAAGCATACGCAAAAGGTATCAACAAAAAGGAATACTGGTCGTACACTTTTGAGGACTCGATGGATCTCATCGCCAAACTTCCCACAATTGCTGCAAAGATCTACCGTAATGTGTTCAAGGATGGCAAGGTTGCCGCCATAGAAAAAGATAAGGACTATGGCTACAATCTAGCCAACCTGCTTGGTTTTGGTGGGAACAAGGACTTCGTGGAATTGATGCGCCTCTACCTCACCATACACTCCGATCACGAAGGTGGAAATGTCAGCGCTCACACCACTCACTTGGTGGGAAGTGCTCTTAGCTCGCCTATGCTGTCTTTGGCTGCAGGTCTTAATGGCCTCGCAGGTCCACTACACGGATTGTAAGTCCGTGGACGTCCTGCTTGCACAGCTGCTAATTGAACTCAGGGCAAATCAAGAAGTTTTGAACTGGCTTCAGCAGATGAAGAAAGCTGTTGGTGATGACCTTAGCGACAAGGCCATTACCGATTATCTATGGTCAACCTTGAATTCCGGCCGCGTGGTTCCCGGCTATGGACACGCTGTTCTACGCAAAACTGATCCTCGATATGTTTCGCAACGAGAATTCGCTCTTCGAAAACTGCCCGATGACCCCATGTTCAAGCTGGTCAGCCAGGTGTACAAGATTGCTCCAGGCGTCTTGACCGAGCACGGCAAGACCAAGAACCCCTATCCCAATGTCGATGCTGTAAGTTCAGGAAGATTGCTTGGATGTCAGAGGTTGTGGACTAACGCTGCTAGCACTCCGGCGTCCTCCTTCAATACTATGGTCTTACTGAAGCCAATTACTACACGGTCCTCTTCGGCGTCTCGAGAGCCCTTGGTGTCCTTCCGCAACTCATCATTGACCGTGCCTTGGGTGCACCGATTGAGCGTCCTAAATCATTCAGCACAGACGCATATGCCAAACTTGTTGGCGCAACTCTGTAAAACATTCAGTTGTCTACATCGCTTGCCGGAGGGGACACGACTAAGAGCGGATAATAGCATGTATTTCTTTGAGCTTGGGTTCTTTAGCAGTACTGTTTAGTGTTCTCGCACTAGATCTCGTGCATGGTTGAGCCTCGGTGCTGAGTGATAAGACAATAACGGTGCAATATGCGATGACTCGAAGAGGATCGGAGTCCGGGGGCAGATCGCAGCGTAGGGTCGCGTAAAAGTAGTTGCGGTGATTGGGTAACTTACTCCAATGGGAATTGGTTGAGAGCCTCATGCACCTAAACTTTCTTCAACGTGACGCCCGAAGCAGCAGCTATTTTCGTTCCTGGCTGATCCTTCCCAGCGGACATCGCCAAGAGCTGAACTTTTTTTGCATATTCAGCATTTCTATTGTTCTCTTGTGCGTCTTGAACGCGGGATTCTGATCGACTGGCCTTCCTGTCTTCCAATCTCCACTCTTTCTACCCCTTCGGCATCACCGTTCGCGCGGGAAGCAAATCTCTAACCCTTACTTTGTCACAAGTGGTCAGGCTCCCTACGCCGCAACCTCTACCCGGTGACTGTTCAGCACATCTTGATACTACAACTCCCAGGCGACGAAGCCACACTCTTCCCTTGGTCAGGGCCCTCTCTGCACTCCATCTCAACATGTCCACATTCGACGCACGTACGGCGCCAGGCGTGCAACCTAAAAAGCTCGAGAAGAAGCCCATCAAGTTCAGCAATTTACTCCTGGGTGCGGGTCTGAATATGTTCGAGGTCACAACCCTGGGACAGCCGTTGGAGGTCATCAAGACGACCATGGCGGCCAATCGGACAGATAGCTTCGCTGGCGCTCTACGAAGAATATGGCAACGTGGAGGAGCTCTCGGCTGTTCGTCCTTATATGTTCCTGCACCTGAGAACAGCCATACTGACACCCCTATCTCACAGACTATCAAGGTCTGATTCCCTGGGCTTGGATTGAAGCTTCCACCAAGGGAGCCGTGCTGCTTTTCGTGGCTTCCGAAGCAGAATACTATGCCAAAACCTTCGGCGCATCCGATTTTGTTGGTGGCATCAGCGGAGGAATGGTCGGAGGCGTCGCCCAAGCTTACGCTACAATGGGTTTCTGCACATGCATGAAAACGGTCGAAATCACACAGCACAAGCTCGCTGCTGCAGGCGTGAAACCCCCGAGCACATTCCAAACTTTCATGAACATCTACCGCAAAGAAGGCATCAGAGGCATCAACCGAGGTGTCAACGCCGTCGCGATCAGACAAACCACCAACTGGGGCTCACGATTCGGGCTGTCCCGTCTGGCAGAGACAGCCATCAGGAGAGCCACCGGCAAGGACGAAGGCCAGAAGCTAGGCTCGTTTGAAAAGATCCTAGCCAGTGGTCTGGGTGGTGGGCTCAGCGCGTGGAATCAGCCGATCGAGGTCATTCGCGTGGAAATGCAGAGCAAGACCGAGGATCCCAATCGGCCAAAGAACTTGACCGTCGGCAAAACGTTTCGATATATCTATTCACAAAACGGAATCAAGGGCCTGTATCGTGGTGTCTCTCCGAGAATCGGTCTGGGAGTCTGGCAGACTATATGCATGGTTGCTTTGGGCGATATGTGAGTTCTCGAGTGTTCTGTTCATGATGTGGACAAATGTGCTAACGTCTATCAACAGGGCTAAGGAAGCGGTCGAAAAGTTGACCGGGGATAAAGTTACGGCGAAGCATTAGATGGGGCGCAAGCGATATGGGTTCTCCTCCTGAATGCACAAGATTTTCTAGACGTGTTACACATGGCTGTGTTGTTGCTTTTTGCTGTCATACAGCTTTACGTTTTTTGGTACTGTGTTCTTCTCCTACATGGTTAGCATACAGGATCCCTGCTGCTGGCAAAGGTTTTAGGCAGCAGAAATGCGCTCTGATGGGAATACAGTGGTAGGAATGACGCTGCAGTCCTGTCCATGGCGACTCATTACAGCTTGTTTACTAGAATTCCGTCTCATCTGGCTTGTAAGTCTCATTTGATCGTGTGTGTGTTTAGGTGTGTGCATATATATCCGTATCCATATCCGTATGTGCGGATAGTATAGTACAAGCTAGCTATGTATGGGGTTCATTCTTGACCCGCTCGCTATGTGTAACGTAATTGCTCTCCTGTAGTGTGTCCTACATGCCGTTATGTGAATCTGCCAGCAGGCGTGCAAAATTTTTGGGATTTTTTTGCATCGGAGCCCATCTAATCAGAAGGGAGATCAGAGATCAGGCGAGTCAGAGATGGCAGCATCTCGTCTTCTTCAGCCCTCGACTCCCTTCTGGCGTTCTGCTTTCTCTTCTTTCGGTCTCGTGTTGCGTGCGTTCTTCGTGCATAGACTCCGTCCCCCTCTTCTTCTTCTTTTCCTCCCTCCCTCCCATACCATGCAACATTCATGCCATATTCATTCAACGACCATCTCATTCGCGTATTCATTGCTCTTTCTTGTGGATTGACATATCACAGTTGAGGCATCGCAAGTTGGGGCATCGCACGTTGTCCTTCGTAGGCTGACTCTTACAGTTTCAAACTCGCTTCGCAGCTCGGCCTTCGCGGCTTGATTCTCGCGGTCGCAAGCTAGCTTTGGCGGTCTGTCTATCGCAGGTTGGGCTCCACGGGCTGGCATTCGTAAGCTAGAATTCGCCTATTTGTAGGTGGACAGTTTGACTCGTTCTTGTAGACTCGCCATTTCCACATGTCGCAGGTTCTCTGATGTCTATCACCTCACGAATTTCATGTTGCACGTTCATCCACGTCCTCACTCCTTAAGGGTCACCTTTCGAAGAATACATCGGCTGGTGTTGCGGCGGAAATAGATCTCGCAAGCTCTGCTGCCTGTCATGATTCAAGGCTGCTTCGCGCCCAATCTCCTCCACTCCTTATTCACTCCCCATAACAACCTCCAACATCAATCTCTTCAGTCTCCTCAACTTCTCCTCGGCAATCTTCTCGTCTCTCCTTATATCAAGGAATCGCTGTCTCCAAGCATCGTCGGTGGTATCTTCATCGCCATTGATTGCGGTCGGTGGTTCAATCGCTGAAGCTGGGATTTCAGAGAGCGCTTTAATCTGCTCTCGGAGGCTGGAGAAGTCGTCTTCCATAACGTTTGATGAGACCTGCGCAGGAACGATGATGTCTCGGATCAGGATACTAGAGGAGAATGTGCTGGAGGAGTTTGTGGTGTCGATGGAGATGGTGTAATTGTAAGAGCCTTTGGTGCCATCGGTGGTGCCGCTGCTATTCAATTTTCGGCTTCGCGAGACCGAACCGTCCGCATTTTGGAAGACAGACCGTACACTTAGATGAGAGTGGCTGTCCGCATTGCTGGAGCTGGAGATGCCCATCTCCTTCTCCACACCAAGGACAATTGCGCATTTCATTGCTAGTATTCTGCGATACCTTGGGCCGGCTCCAGACGTGTCTCCACAAATCGACAGCACGGCTTTATTGGCGACCATGTTCGCCTCCTCAACACTCAGGTCCACTGGACGACCTATAACTTTGATATGCAGCAAGCGGGTGGCGAAGGACCGAGCGACATCTTCGATCGTGAAATGGTTGTCATGAAGGGTTTCTGATGGTCTGGTCTGCTCGACAATGATTGACTCTCCATCATCAGCCTCATCCCCTTCAGGATTGCGGAAGTAATCAGCCGAGCTGCGTCGAAGATGTCCACTGCCATTCACGAGCACAAGTGGCGGAGTTGCTAAGCGAACGGGACCCCCAAGACGCTCAGGAACCTGAAGCTGAAGCTTCTTGTTTGGCCGGGATTGAGAAAGTTGCTGAGGAGGTGCCTGCGATGTCACCGTAGGAACGATTACATGGTCTTCATGGTGCGTATTTTGCGTGGAAACGGAATGCCCATTCGGTCGCCCATCTGCTGGTATAGCAGATAGTGGCTCATCTTGCGTGGCTTTCTGGGCTGGTGGTCTGCCCCTCTGCTTGCCACTACTTGCGTTTCCTTGGCTGGGCCATGCTGACGAAACTGCAGGTCCATGCCTGCGACGAGATGATTTGGGTTTAGACGAAGCAGATGGCGTGATTGCTGATTGAGGTTCGTTTATGATGGGTTCTGGCTCACGATGACTTAACGTGATCGCAGACTGAGGATAGCCAGATGGCGACATGTCTCGCCGCCATCGGGTGAATTCGAAACCACTTCTTCCCGAGTACATGTTAGGATTGATATTTGGTGGCATGTTGTGTCCTTGCGACATCGCAGATGCCATGGTCCACGCATCTTGGTTCATATCGTCTGGATATGCTGTCCAAGACGCCGCACTTCCAGGAAAGATGGCAGAATGTACCCCAAGCCCGTCATACTCAACTGCCGAGTGATGAGAGTCTAAATGTGGTCTCTTCGCAGACGGTTGCTCTGAATTATTTTCCGATTCCTTCTCTTCAATTTTCTTCCGTCCTCTTTTGGGTCTCCATTCGGGCATGAGTGCTCGAAGCGCCAAATCTTCCTCCAGGGGCACTCCATCGCGACCTTCTTCGGAGGAATTCGCAGCAGCGGTTGGCAAATCAGTGAAATACCGATGTGCTTTTCCTAGACAGTATTCAAAGAAGGCGTCGATGTGCATTGCGCGCATCCATCGCTTGAGCCTCACAGCATATTGCTGAATTTTCTGTGCGCTCTGTCCTTTCTCGGTAGACGGTGGTTCGACACCAAGCTCAATTGCCAGCTGTGACCAAGTCTTCAACTCCTTGTTTTCCAACTTCTTGATCAATTGCCATAGTGTGTATATGCTGAAGCTCTTGCCATCGCTGCGGGGGGGAGCTCGAAAGACGCGACGCAGCTCTGTCGTGTCAACGTCTCGTGGTACACCTGGATTCGCGTAGAGAATGAATTTCACGTAAGCGTCGTCAATGTTAGTGTTGGTGATGTCGCGGGAAGGGAGCGCTGGGTTATCAACGACATGTGGCTCTATTGTGTGCTGCGAGCCTCGAGACGCGGTATCAAAAAGCGGCGGCGGGGACATAGAATAGGCTGCGCGACCAACCGTGGATGTTGGGGTACCTGTTCTTTGTAATCTCGGGGATGATTGTAGCATTCGTGGTGAAGACTGTAAGCTGCGAATGCTGCCTTGCCGAACATGTCGTGGAGAAGGCGCACCCGATATTCGTGGGAGATGAGTGCCGGTCATGGAGGAACGGGGATTGTGCATGCCAGACTCCATGCCTGATGGCGCAAGTTGACGAAAACCATGATACGCCTGATGCGGCGAGTTTTGACGATGATGCACGCCTTGATCATTCATCGCATGATAATTCGAGTGGAAGTTGTTGTCCATCAAGCCAACTCAGAAGCAATGTTCGTCCTTCTGCCGTATTACGAAACATGAATAAGGCCACGCCAGCTATCGTGACTGCTTGAACAATGGTCTTCCACAGGCTAGGGACAGTGGAGTGCCATACCAGTCAACGTATGAATTTGGTCGAACTTTGGCGATTCATGTGGACACACGAAGGTGGTCTTACGCAGCGCAAGGGTATGTTAAGGATGTTTGCTCTCGCGTGGCGATCATGACCCGAGGACCAGCATCATCAAGCTTGATTTGCTGTGAACAGCACCATGGATGCTGCGTGCAAGTTGCAAGCGACCTCAGCTGGATCCTCGATCTAGACCCTGCCCATTGGGGCGGAGAAATTGAAGCGCAGGGACACTATGCCAAGAAAGCTAGTCCCAGTGCTCTGCTACTAACTACTAGTTAGTACTATTCCGTACAGAGGACGCCTACCACTGGCACGGCACTAGCCGAAAGCTTATGTTAGTGCCGCTTCAAGCATGCTTACATCACCCATTCCTGAGGTTCAAAACACCTCCAAGTCACTTTACTGCGGCCTCGAATCCAGGCGCCTGCAATTCCGACCAATCGACTTTGGATCTCATGACCATCCTTTGACCTTCGCATCAACAAATCAGTTGCGGCGCTGTATGCCAAGGCAGTCCTCCCGACATGAGTGTAACACAATAACAAACATGACCATCTCCAGTTCCCGCCCTCGCCGCACCGGCCACCCACCTATCTCCTACCGCGATGACAGCACTGACGAAGACACCACAACTCCTCCTCTTACCCGAACTACTCAGCGCATCCGAAGAAAAAGCCGACATAGTCGTTCATCTGGTGAAGAGACAGACATCTCCGAAGAGTCACAAGCAAGAAATGTAAACCGCAGCAGACCAAAATCAAGCTCAGGCAATCCAAGTCCAGCAATTCGGGCAAGTCGTCGAACAAGGAACGTCAAGAACTACAAAGAAGAGTCTGACCAAGACGTCAACAATTTTGAGCCAGAAGTTGTCCACCATGTAAGATCTGCACCAAAAGCTCAGAGTAACCCACGAAAACGCCCACGGTCCGGTCAACCAAGTTCAAAAGGGGGTTTTAGCGCATTCAAACGACGTAAGGTCAATCAGAGCAACACAAGCCAGCACGGCAAGACGAAGAGTGCAGCAGTTCTAGCAATTCCACCAGGAAGGATCCCTCCATGGCAGACCTTACCATACCAGATCCTCCTGAGCATCTTTCAGTATGCCTCTTATCCGTTATACCGAGACGCCTCACATGACACTGGATCCATTGGCTGGCTTATTGGAGTCTCAAAACTCTCAAAATCCTTGCGCGATGCGGCAGTTGCAGCGTTACTTTACTCGCCGCCTCTATTTCCAGCTGATCGCGCTCACGGCCTGCAACAACTCCTCGACGCACCACAAGAGACACTGTCAGTGAGCTATCGGAACAAAACCAAGCGGTTGGAAGTTGAAGTTAGAAACTTATTGATCAAAAAGAGCGGTATCGAGCTTGTCAAATTGATCAAGCAGACTCCTCTGCTCAGTGCTCTGCATTTGTATCATAACAATGATCGAGTTGGTGCTGTCTCATGGGCTCAACCAGCTGCTTCAACGGGTAGAGCCTGGTCGTATCCATTAGAGATTTTCGATGCTCTGGAGGAAAATGGAATCGGATTGAAAGAATGGAGTTGGAATGGTCGATTCCCAGATACCAAGCCAGTCCTGGATCAGATGAAAAACCTGCATTGTCGAGAATGTCTCAAAGGCCTCAGATCCTTGTCATTGTTGAACATAGCGGCTCCCGAGAAGGTCAAAGAGTGTGAAGAGGGCAACGTTGAGACTTCTCTCACTACAGCCTTAAGATGCCTACCGGAGCTCCAAGAGCTGCAAATTCAAAATTGCAGTATCGTCAACCACAGGGTGCTCCCATTCCTTCCCCCACGTCTACGCCATCTCTCTGTCATCAACTGCGGGGAATTCAACTCGGTTGACCTCCGATCATACCTTACACATCATGGCTACGAGCTTCAAGAGCTGATTTTGAATGGTAATCAAGCTTTAGATTTATGGTTTGCTGGTTCTCTTGAGCGTCTATGTCCTCGTCTTCAAGTGTTCAAAATGGATCTTACATACACTGACCCCACCGCTTATCACGATGTCGATCCCCACTACGAAGGAGTCTTCCCTGACGGAATCATGCCAACATGGCCGCGAACTCTGCAAACAATCGAAATTGAGAACCTTCGCAATCTCGACGCGCAAGATGCCGAGAACTTCCTCAGCTCACTCATTGTAATTGCACCTGAGTTGAAGGACCTGCGCAGACTATGCATTAGGATCCTTCTACAGGATGACGGTTGGAGAGAGCGAGCAAAGCTAAGACAGATCTGGATGCCCAAACTTGAAGATGTCTTTCTTCGACAAGCCCCTCCACCAACGCCTTTCGTACCGCTAGCTCTCCTTCCACCTCCATTTCCACCCACAACCTCATCTTCTCGGCCATCGACCAGTCATTCGACTTCTTCAAGCTCCTTCACAACAGACGACTCCACAGCTGCCACGCCCAATAAGCGTAAGAGCGCTCGAATTGCCAAACGAGAGCTGAGTGATCTCGCGAACGAGGCCTTTATGAGGACAAGCTCTACGAGGAAAGGTAGCGAGATAGTTGGCAATGACAACTTGGACACAGAAGAATTTCGTCAGGGCATGTGCTCCAAAGTCGTCCTGCACATCGATGGACAGCGACCTGCAGACGAGCAGTTCAAGGAGGCTGATTTTCTGGATGAGGAGCTGAGCGGAGACGAAGACTGGAATGGGAGGGATGTTGAAGCCCCATCCAGATATGCCTGGTGACTGCTATGTCATTTGGGCCGGTGGAGGCTGAGCTTGGATCGATGAGCGTAATACCCAAACAATTGCATTTTCAGCATAGCGAGGAGTGGTCTGGCTTTCTTGTTGCTTGCCTAGGTCATGTTACCTCAATCAGGCGTCGTTACACAGTTGCTAAGCCTGCAGCCGCATCAACCCTGGGTGAGATCAGGTGCTTGACCATATGCACAAAGGTGCTCGCAGATATTTGTATTATTATATCAACATTTCCTCAAGTGTGCCTGCTAGTGGACACTACACGATATGGTTGAAGGCCTGAATCCAAAGAAGCAAGATTCCATATCCGTGAACAACCACTCCCATTGCCTGCTCTCAAAACTCCTAACCCACTTTTTCAGTGCACAGATACCATGACAAGAATCTAGTGGGAGGGGCGGAAGACGAGCAATTTTGACAAAATCATGTCCACATGTTTATGCTCCGGCTTTCGGCAGCAATAGCAGTGAAGACAATCAAAGTAATGCTCGCGGCATAGTAGATGGGAAGCATCCCCATACATTTCTGATAGAGGGCTAATAAGTAATGGACCGAGACTTCCTAAATTCCCATAATGAAACAAGGAGCGTAGCTTCAAGTTGATCACCCGAGTGGAATTCTTGAGGTATGTGAGGCGTTGCAGGAGCGCACATGAGAATGGCGAGATTGCTGAAAGACGGTGAGAACAAACATCGGCGCAAAATGGAATTTGTGGATTGATCATCAAACGTTGTGCTGTTAAATTCTCAAGATTGATTGGCCATGGTCCAGCTCTCGGGATTGCAAGTTGGGCGAAGTCCTGAGGTATCCCTAGCATAAAAACGTACGTTGTAACTAACTAATATGAAGACTGTGAACCCCTGATCGGCACACCCTAACAGCGACGTTTACGGTTCGCATCGACCCGTGTCAGAATATGCGTGACATACATAGTACGGACCAAAAGTGGATGCAGCCTAGCACATCTTTCGGCATCGATGACGCTTTGGACGCATCTCCAGTCTCGGTTTCCTGCATTGTCAGCCTCTTTCCGATGTCATTTCATGGTAGTACAACGTCTGTTGATAGTGATGATGCAGACAGACTGTGCCCCCAACGACTCTGAATACAAAGATTAGCTGCCGATCGAAGACTTACTGCGGTACACTGATCCAGGAATGCCGGATACTGGTAGAGGGACAGAGTGTCTGTGCCACGTAAGTGACAACGGACGGATCATCAGGGAATCCTCAGCGAATCAAGGGCGTAAGTTACGAATGGCGCAGTGTCCAACACCCTGTTACAAAACGAGTTATTTATCTAATCGGCACGGGGAAAACAGTCAGCGGATAAACGACTGGCTTTGGTTGCTTTGACCTCTTACATAGCTGTCGTTGGTTGGAATTTCTACGCGAAACCCCTGCGTTTCGCCTGCTTTTGATTGGTCCATTTCTACTGCAATTTCGCAGCTAACTTCGCAGTGCCTAATGGCGAATTTGTTCTTATATCTGCGCCCTGCGCAGCTTTTCAAGAGAGAACAGAGCCGTTTCTGCATCCTACTCGACAATAGCCTTTTCGGTTACTTGAACCTGCTCTAGGCCCGCATCTATCATTGATGGACATACAGAAAAATGACGCACTTCATAGCACCGTGGGGGGTATGGATTCAAATGCTGGAGGAATCGGGTATGCATTAGTTGTCTTAAGGACACTGGGGGGTACTCCGTACCACTCAATTAAGTATTTAATGGGAGTTGTATTTGCTAGAAATCTATCGAATAAAGTTGAGAGAAAATAACTAGCCTACAGTGACGAGGCTCTACAATGGCTTCGAAGAGGCCCCCGCCTTACTCAGGAGGTTATTTTGTGTCGAAATCAGCTAGAATTGGAATAAATAAGTGTGCTCTTGATTGTTGTCAAGCTGTGGTATTTCTACGTATTATGCTCAATTCCTGCTATTCGCCCACCAGTCACCTGCCAACACCGTGCTGGGTAGACGGAGTTCTCTACGAATGTGCATCGTTCTGAACAAAACCACGTGCTCGGTATAGGATGGCGATTTTGGAACATGGTGATAGGACGTCTCGGCTTTAGGATCGATACATAAGGGCCTGCCACTCATTGTTGCCCTTGTGTACTTTACAAGATCACAATCACATAGCATGGAGACAGCAGTTGGCTCTCAAAAAGCTTCCAAGTCACTGTCAACTTCCAACTCCTCTCCATAGGACGGCATCACACTATTCACTAAATCAATCCACCATGATTGATGTCGAACCCCATACAATGCTTTCCTGTATTCCCACCACGCAGGCAAAAACCCTGCCATCTCCCAATCTATTATGCCTGTCACATTGCCGTTCACCTTGTCAACAAATATATGCTCATATGACATATTCGCATGCGTGAAATTGATGGGGCAATCATCAGAGAGCCGTTTGCGGTATTCAACTGCGAGTTCCGGCCGTGGACACTGCAAAACTGGTGCGACGAGAAAATCATGGAACTCGGATATAGAAATAAACGGTCCGCATGGAAATCCATTGTTAAGTCGATGATCATATACAGGACCATTATCACAAGATCCAATCCGGTTTGATGTTGATGGATCAATGTTTCGTAACTGCTCAAAACACGCCTTCGGTTGTGTGATAGTGGTAGCTTTGGTATTTCCGGGCATATCTGGCCAGGCTAAATCGAGGCGAGTTCCAGGAGCACATTGCATGAGGATCCAACTGTCATCTCCGCGCACTTGTACATCGAAAACATCAGGAACCGGAATAGAGGTATGTTTCTTGACAAATGCTATAGCATCTAGCTCTCGTTGTATGCGAAAGCTCGTTCCACGTTTTCAAATGGTACCCACATCTCCTGGTCAATCCGCATTGTTTGACGGCTACTGCTGGTGCTTGAAAGACGGAGAGGTAGGACCCACGTTGAAGAGGCGAACACGATCTCCCCTAAAGTCTGAAGAGCAAGAAATATGCTGTGGCCTGCTACGGACCCGTTAGGCGAGGGTGTTACTCGCGCTGAAAATTTGTGAAAAAGGTGAAAGCTTATGGAGTTGTGCATCAAAAGTCATCAATATACGCTAAATACTGTGCATTGGGAAACTCTTGCAAATCCTTGGCGTTATGTCAAGAATTGCTGGCGCCGCGTTATCAGACAGAAACAGCTCTTGAGGGATCTTCTATGGACTTGTATCTGTCAGAATCCCTGCGTATATGACACGTATCTTTTACGTATTAGCATGATGGTACAAGGGTCCCCGCATGCAAAACGCACGAAACGCTCTTGTAACTGTTACGCCCTGTTATTATGGCAGTGAGCATTGCTATACGAATTGAACGCCAAATGCTGTTTCTGAGCTGTTACAGTAATGCGCTTCTATAGCTATTAGTATGAGCAAATGCTCCTCTTGATAGGAGTAACTCAATCAAGTGAATTGGCACCTCCGTACGCTGTTTGCTACTACTTCTAACAGTGATAAGCATATATATTATATGCGAGTCAAAGTGATATCGTTCTAGCTAGCAGCTGGTGCTATCCCATGCGCCGTCGATCAAATGTGCCTTTTTAGCGTGCCAAGCATTTTGGGTCTTGGCATGCCTTTTTTCGTTTTTTTGATGAATCTCACCATTGAGGTCGATTTCTAACATGGATTTACGCAGATCGAAACGCATACCAAAGCCCAAGACTATATGGGAGGCAAAAGGAGCTCCTAGTGCAGCTAGCGATCCAAAAGTTACGAAGAATACTGCTCGAAGAGAGCAACGAACAGCGCTCAAACCCATCGCCGCGGGGCCGCTTCCAAAAGCGCTTGAAATAGACGAAAATCAACTTCCTGAGCTCCCTAATTATGAACCACCCCTTATTCTATAATTTTAACAGTCTAAATCGCTAGCTACAGGTCTCTCACAGCTTGATACGTTTCAACGACTTCTTACGCCAGCTATTATCGATAGAATCGTTGAATCAACGAATAGCTACGCAGAAAACGCTCGAAATACGGATTTCGACGAAGAAGAAGATCTTGAATTCCTTTCTAGACCCTGGAAACCAGTCAATTCAACTGACATCTGGCGATATATCGGTTGTTTGCTTTATATGGGATATCATAGGCTATCCAAACATGAAGAACATTGGAGCAAGTCAGGTTATTTAGGTGCATTCTTGAGCCTAACAAGATATGAACAAATTCATCGATATTTTACGCTTCGACGTGTTAAATGACAAAATTACTAGGGCGTACTAACATTATTTATGCTTCCTACCGTAGTATTGGACTTAGTGGTCCCTGTAGTGACCCTGTAGTGATCCCTGTAGTGATCCCTTGTCCATCTGGCCCCATCTGGCCATTTCGCCATTCCGCCATTCTTGGCCACACAAGTCTCACAAGTTCACAACCAGGAAAGATATACGACTGGCTATGGCATAGTCGACTCGACGAACCCGAAGCTATCCCTCAAGAGGGCATAGAAGTCGATCGAGTTACCAAAAAGGAGCTCACGGAGCTTAATACAGTACATCTTGCACCAACGTTCGCCCTTGTTATTCGTCTTGCACAGCGTTTACGTCAAATGCATTCAAGGCGCGTTTTTTGCTTCTTTTTGGATAACCTGTTTCTAAATGTCAACGTTGCATAAGCACTCCTTGCTCTACGCATTTGCTGCACTGGTACTACTCGCAAAAACGCTCAAGGAATCCTTGCATGGATCTTGAAACTAAAAGAGCATAACCGTGGCCTTGTTTGGAATTCTATGCTTGCAGAAGTCGTTGATAATACGCTTGTTTTTCTATAGCAAGACAATAACGCTATAATAGGCTGTACAACTGCTTACCCTCTTAAAAACGACACGGTTTTACAACTTCGCAAACGACCCTCTCCTACGTCAACTAACGCTCGAATCGTACGCCCTGTTTTTGGCGACTTGCCCTTTAAACAACTCCATATCCCTCGTGCTATTAATGACTACAATCACTATATGAATGGCGTTGATCGAAGCAATGCACCGTTCCGAAGGCATTCCGCCCTTTATGGTACTATATTCTTGATATCTGTGCAGTCAACAGTTACCTAATCTGGAAAGAGGGTACTATCAATATTTCTGAAAGAGGCAGTATAACAGATACTTCTAAAAGAGGACAACGCCCCTTTCGGAAAGCGCTTATTGATGCCCTACTCAAAACACCCTATTCAGAGCCTACTAGGAGTAGGAGAGAGTACAAGTTCCCTCTACCAAATCGAGATACACAGGATCATCGCTGGCAAGCATTTCCGAAGCGAGGACTCTGTGTATGGTGTCGAAAAGGTGCTCAGGAGTCAAAATCAAAGAATATTGATACAAGGAGGCCGATTTTGGCCGAAATCGTCAATTCTAACACCCCTTCGCGTTCAATGAGGTCATACGGAGGCTGTATAGCATGTAACGTACATCTCTGCGTCAAAGGAGCCTGCTTTCAGCAGTATCATAGTCACTAATAACCCAAATAACTGCTTGCTGTTGCTCTCTACTCAATTTTGGTAGTGCCAAGGTATTTTGGCGCTAAAAAGGCACATTTGATCGACGGCGCATGAGATAGTGACCCCTAATAGTCTCCATGATTTATAGAGATCTCTGGTGCCCTGGGCCATTCTCACCCACCCCCATCCATTTGTGCTCTTGCTCTTCTAAAGCAGTCTATGCCCTTACGAGTCAATACCACACCTGGACGAAAGCCCGTGGGCAAAGGCAGCTGCATTTGGCTTCTCGATTGGGGACTTTATCAATGGTATTAATTTCGTGAAAGTTGTCATACAGGCCCTGAGTGAAAGTCGGGGCTCCTCCAACGAATATGTCGAGTTGAGGACACAGCTTGAAAGTCTGCAAATAGCCCTTAACCAAGTTCAGAGCCAGTTTCCATTGATCCAGGAAATTGCGCATCCGGGGGCTCTTGTCAGTGCACTGAGAGCCTGCTGCGAAGTCGTCAATGCCTTCCTATATAGCATAGAGAAGTATCATGTGTCTGTCAATCGCAAAGGGTCAAGAGCTATTTAGAAAGATACTTTACGAAAGATACAATGGCAAGTGTCCATACCGGAAGAGCTCGTTACCCTTAGAGCACAAATTTCTATCCATGTAAATACCATTCAATTGTATGCGTTTCTATTCCCTTATGACCTGAGGCGGCAAGCACTGGTCCAGAGTTGCAGTGCCAACAATGTCACATTACCGCAAGCCCGGAGATAAATATGCCAGTCTCATGGAGATCGAGTCCAGAATGATTCCTTGCCTGAACAGCTTATCGAGTTTTAGAAGGTACAAGGTATAATCATTTGCGTTCAAGCATCATGTTCATTCTTCAGGATTTAGGAGGATTGACGCTTTTAAGGTCGGTCTTGGTTCAGCAACGCAAATTCCTTGCCGAAATGTCTACTCCTATTCCAGCACAAGTCCTTTTCTCAGCCCCTGTCATCTTTCGCGACGCGCAAAACAGGGTGGGCCCCTTTGATCTACAATTCATCGATTGTTGGGATTCCCTTTTCAGTGTGCTCGAGAACCTATTCAGAGACAGTGGTTTTGAGAAAGTGGAAATGAGAGAATTCCTCCTCGAAAACAGCCAAACTAGGCGGCCCATTACCTTTGATCAAATATGATCTAAATCATTCCCCCCCAGATGACAGGGTCGACATGAGTATGGTTTTTAAAAGTATGAAGTCCGTAAATGAGATTCTCGGCCCTACTTCACAAGGATTGTGAGAACCGCTCCATTGATATAGTCCAGGACTGGTAAGGTATTATGCAGCAACATGCCTAGACCTCACTGATTCAGAGTTATATTTTCTAGCGAGAGCCACAAGTCCAGTTTCAGACTAAAGTTTAGTAAACATAATAATATATGACTTGTACGTCTGACTGTAAAGACGATAACTCTAGGCCCTGAAGACAGAGTCTCCTAGGAAAGAAAGATAATTGTTACGCCCGTGCCAGGCACACGTAGCACGTGCGCACACAAATGGAGAACTCTGCATTCTAAAGTACAAAGTCTCTCCATCGTCGATCATATGAACTTTGGGAGTCCATCCTTTGTCGTCATTACCGATAGTACTTGAAGACTGCGAGGCACATGTCATTCGTACGCTCGATTTTCACGTCGCTCAGAAGCCTTTTGCTTTTCACGTCTCCACAGGTGTGGAGGTTCAAGCCCGAAGATTCTTCTCTTCTTTACCCATATTGATGAGTTCAGGATGACGCTAATAGATGTTTGCTCTCACCTTTTTCACACACGTGTTTAACTGGATTCATATCTGGCGAATAAGGAGGTCAATCAAGCAGTGGTATGCCATGATCTTTAAACCAATCTTTGACCGGTCGAGCTGTGTGGATACTAGCGTTATTGTATATGGAGGTACGAGCGGAGTCTGAACCAAACTTCAATTTCGCCGTCACATCAATTAGTATCCGCCTAAGAAAGCCCCAAATGGCAAGATCCGAAGGAAGGTGCTCTCTCCGGGCCGGGCCCTGCTGAGCCATTAAGTCGCATGTAGTACACAACATTCATGCACAGCGCAGCGCAAGGGCGTCAGATGATTCCCCACCTGTCGTCATACCTCAACGCAGGTGCTAACGCGCAATGCCTGTCAACGCTGCTATTAGATTAGACTAGACTCTCTGCTCTCCACCCCGACTCGTCGTGAGCGGTAGAGGTGTGCATGTGGGAGATGATGTGACACTGCATTGCGAATGACATGGCTGCTGCTGTACCTCCATCGGACCCTGTGCCATGGTTACCTCATGCACCAGGGGATTGCCGTCCCTTCTATTCCTGCGTTGAAGATCTTCTGGGGCTTGTCACCTGTCAGACAAAAACTAGTTTACGGTCCTTTTGGTCCAACATCACCTCGTTCAAACACCATTTCGAATGTTTCCTGATTTTGTCCCTTTGCTGAAGCGGGGAACCACCCATTTCCTCGGCATTGACCAGGGAAATTGAACGGGTTCCAACGGTACTTCTTGAGGCTAAGTAGGGCGCAGAGAGATCCGGGGAGTGGTAGAGTGGCCTTCGCCTTGTTTTGCCCATTGGCCACGCCATGAACTACAGTTTGGGTGTTGTTCCAACTGCCGAATTAAGTATGAACCGGGAGAGAAGATTAGCTTGTCGGCGGGAGTAAAGATTAGAGGGAGCTGAGCCAGGAGGAGGTCACAATCATGTGTTCTAGCTGAGTCAAATTGTCAAGTTGTATGAGCGCTGATTGGTTGGAATTTCTACGCGAAGCACCTGCGTTTCGCCTGCGTTGATTTAGTGCATTTTCTCCGGCATTTTCGCTGTGCCGTACAGCCGATTTGAATGTATATCTACGTACGCTCCCCCCCTCTTGCTAGATAGAACAACTTGCTTTCTACGTATCTCTTGCAGATTGTCACACACAAACCAAACAGAATTGCGTGCCTTGAAAAGGTTGCAAAAATTATCTTAAAATCCTATTTCTAAATTATTTCCAGCTTGTCTAAATTAAATATTACTATTAACACCGACCCAGAACAGTGATCTCGATGAAGAAAGACCACCCAAGTCGCGTATGTTTAGCCCTTTGTTTACATGGCTTCAAGTACAGTGTAACACCCTTTCGCCGTGTACAGTGTTCGTCGTATTTTATCGCTCCTCAAAAGGTCAGAATGGACTGGGAAGACGGGACACCAGCATCACGACGCGTCTCCCGAATTTTGCAAATCAACATCAGAGCGATAGAGAACACCGTCGAAAGCGGCCTTAAGTGTGCCTTTCTAAATAATGGATATTTTGCCTCGTCGAATGTCTCGCAGTGCCTGTCATCTCCACAGAAACGCACAATCTCGTCAAGAACAGGTCGCTGGGCCTCGTAGACCCCGCGTTTCAACGAAGACACGTAATATTGAGAACAGTATCTGCCGGTCCGAGGGCACGGGCAGCGGCATGTTGGAAATTATAATGACAGCCTGCAAGTTGTCACGCAAGCAGCCGACAATGTGGAACGACTGCTGCTGTTGCGAGTAATTATTTCTGATTGCTGGATTTATTTTCTCCAACAATCTTTGGCACTCCGGGTCACACTCCTTGGTCCTTAGACGTGATCCGCGGCCGCAATATCCAACGCGGCGCGATGCCCAATCGCATACGCCGCTGCCTGTGTCGCACATGTCGGAATTATGGGCGCGGCGCTCATGCCCACGACTCGTAGCCCCCTCGTCCCCTTAACTCTCCAGTTCGCGTCCAACACCGTGCCCAGCGCCGTTGTGCCACCAGGATGGTGAAAGCTCTGTGAGCCCTGTTGGATCGCCGCCCAAATGGCATCGTCGCTGGTAACGTTGGGACCAGGGAACAGCTCAGCGGTGACAAAACCCCTTAGCTCGTCCGACTGCATGAGGCCGCGCAGCTCCTTGTACCCGTACAGCATGGCTGCCCTGTCGGCCTGGCTGGCCCAGTAGTTGGAGTAGATGAGAGGCGCGTCGCGGTAGTCGGCGGACGCGAGCGTCAAGTAGCCCTTGCCCTCGGGCTGCACGACGGCCGCAAACGTGGTGATAATGCTGACGTTGGGCAAAGTGGGGAGGGCGGGTACCGTGATGTACTCGTAGGCCACATGCGGGCGATCGGCGGGCAGGCTTGTGTGAAAGCTGCCCGTGCCCTCGAACACCGCGTCCGGGATGCGCAGCGCGCCGAAGACGTCGCCGCCAACCGTGCCCAACATGCCGCTGCCGTCGCGCTCGTAGCGCTCGCGTTCGATGGTGGCCCTAGTCGCATTGGCACGCCATTGCCAGACGGTGTCTACTTCAGGGGTGGCTGCGTATTCCAGAACGGCATAATGGTGGTCGTAGAGGTTCTGGCCGACTTGGGGAATGTCCTGCACAACAGGGATGTCGAGTTCTCGGAGACGGTCTGCGGGGCCCACACCTGAGAGCATGAGCAGCTGCGGGCTGTTGATGGCGCCAGCCGTGACGACAATTTCTTTGGCGCGGATGGTGTGCATCGTGCCGGTCAGGGTGTCGTTGTAGGTGACACTATCGGCCTTGTTGTTAGTGAAGCCGATTTTGGAGGCCCAGGCGTCGTGATGCAGCTCGAAGTTGGGTCGGTTGTTCGCGAGGTAGCCATAGGTGTTATAGGCATAGGATCGAGTGCGATTGGAGGCACGGATCGACTCCAGACCTTGAGTGACACCAATGCCACCGCCGGAAGCAAAGTCGATCTCTGGGAGGTTGAAGTCCGATACAAGTTTATCGGCAAAGGGTTGGTCGACCGTGAGCAGCTCACGTTGGCGGGAGATTTCCACGGGACCATTGCCGAACGAAGTGGTATTGATTGGTTGCTCGTATTCGATCGAGGGTTCATCTGTCCAGTGCGTGGTTGCCCTGAACGACTCGAGCATCGAGTCCCATCTCAGGCCGTCGTTTCCAGAGATCTCTGCCCACTCGTCATAGATGGAGGCGGAGCCACGGCAGTAAAACATAGCATTGACGCCAGTTCCGCCGCCCAAGCACTTCCCCTGGGCTAAGTTGGGTGATTCACCGTTAAGACCGGGGTCGGGCTGGGAGAAGTAGGGCCACATTTGCGGTACGGCGAAGAATTCACCAGGGGCTAAAGCGGTGTTAGCAAATTTGGGCGCATTGCCTACATTAGTAGGTGACGTACTGGTGACCATGGGGTCGGTGCTCGTGTCCGGCCCTGCTTCCAAGAGAACAACATGAATCCTGGGGTTCCGCGTCAGGTATTCAGCAAGCACAAGGCCTGCAGGACCTGCGCCAACGAGGACATAGTCAGCTTCGGCGTTTTGCGGTCTTGGTGCAGCTGAAGTGAGGGCTGCCCAGGCGAGCAAGCCCATTAGCATCAACCGATTGCGAGCCATGTTTGGCACTTCGCGCGTAGTACAAAGGAGATGTCAAAAGGAGATGTGCAAGTATATGTACAAGCAGACGTGCAAGAATATATACGAAATGACGTGCAAGAAGACGCCCAAGAAGATGTCGATACCACTGAGGTGAAAAGGGACTGATCGGTCTGCTCCACTGGGTTTGCCATCGGCGGGAGGCTCCTTTTATAGTTGCACAGCAGAACCAATCTCGCATCGAAGCCTGTCTCTGCTGCAGCCTGTCTCTGCTGCAGCCTTGATCTGGCCGCTGCTTGCCCTGACAGACCGAACCGGCATCATCTACGAAGCGCCACATGGGGCCCTTGTCGGAATCCGACGGCGAGCTATACGATGTTGGCTTACTATAGCGTGCCATAGTAGTATGGTAGAAGCATAAGGATTGGTGCTTTCAAGTTCGTATTTCTGTATTTGACTTTGGCTTGGCATTTAATGTGTATCATGTCATATCATGTCATGTCATGTCAAGCTGCCAGCCAAAGATGGTGGTTTGCTGAGCATCCGTCATAAAACCCAGCTGTTGGTACTAGCTCACACCAACATTACATATGCAGAATGCAGAATTAGCACAGTACGTGGTAGCTTGCTTAACCAGACATCTGGTACCTGCAGTTCCTGCATTACAGGCACGTGTACGCCACGTGGCCGCCAGGGTGGGTGATGGGTGATGGGTGGTTGACCGGGGGAGATATGACTGGGGCAGACAACCCGGGGGTTCGAAAATAACCTACTACGTAGTAAGGCGAGAGGAAAGTTGACACGAGTCCGATAGCACTGATGTGGTAAGCGGCTGAGTGGATGACCAGGTAGTTAGCGGATGTTTCCTGGTGTCTAATGCTTATTGCACACTAGCCGCTGACCACTGGCCACTGTTACTGGCCACTGCCCACCGATATCGGCCACCGATTGCGTAGGTTACTGTTCGTGTTCGGAAACCCGTACTCGGGAGTGCGGAAGGATTATTACGGGAGGGGGCAAAAGGAACCCTAGCACGGCGCTAATAACGCAATCTAAAGTTACAACGCCACGTATTTCCCCCTTGCCGTAGTGGGTATAAAGTGCCCAGAAATCGCCCAATTAAGATTAGTTTGTTTTTTGATTGCCTGACAATCAATAAGAATGGCCGTACAAAATCGACAGGGCTATCTGTACCCATAGTGTTCGGAGTGGCAAATACTAGCGCCGTGCTAGGGATACTTCTGCCTGTTACCATAGTACTACGTAGGATTCTGATGATAGCTGAGCCGACAGTTCCGAAGCACAGAACACACTCCTATAGCAGAAAGACTCTAATCCGAGAGCCAAAAGCTAACACTCAAATGGTGGATGTCAACCAACTCACCCTCGGGATGCGGAAGGATCAGGATTCTTATTAATAGCTGACCCGGCAGTTCCGAAGCATAGACCATGTTCCTATAGCAAAAGACTACTAATCATCCAATAGTATCAATATACCATTATACACGAGCAAAAAGTCAGCTACGCAGAGGCCATCCAAGGTGTTTTTTGGTGCATGTCCCACAGTCAGTTGAAGAATTTCAACTTCATCGTCGATCCACCAGCTCTCATCCCAACGCGCTTATCAGCATGGCCACACAGCCCACCTTCGAAGGTAGGCTCTTTCCCGCTGTCTTTAGCCACGATCAGCCACTAACACGCCCCAAAAGATGTCCTAGGCTGCCAAGCCGCCCTCTACGAATGGGCGGAGAGCTACGACAACAAAGACTGGGATCGTCTTTCAAAATGCATCGCCCCAACCCTCCGTGTCGGTCTATCGCTCCACCCATCCGAAAGACTTGGTTCTAATATGCGTAGATTGACTACCGCGCCTTCCTCAACAAACTCTGGGAAGACATGCCCGCCGATGCCTTCGTAGGCATGGCCTCCGACCCAAAGGTGATTGGCAACCCGCGCCTTAGGACGCAGCACCTTGTCGGCACCTCGAAATGGGTGAAAACGAGCGAGACAGAAATCACCGGCTACCATCAGATGCGTGTCGCGCACCAGAAGTATGCGGATGACAAAATGACCGAGGTCGTGGCCAAGGCACACGCGCATGGCAAGGGCACCATGTGGTATCGCAAGGTTGACGGTGTATGGAAATTCGCGGGTATTGAGCCAGATATTCGGTGGTCGGAGCACGATCACGATAAGATTTTTGAGGAGGGTGAGGAGAAGTTCGGAGAGGGGAATTAGCCACTTTCTACGCAATTCCCTCACAGCTCTTGGAAGCTATCTACATATCAAGATTAGATGAATCATTTAGTGAAGCGTAACTAGATATTTCCTAATTCTGATGATTGAAGTTCACTCTTTACAGTAAATTTTGTCTCTTCAAAAGGAATCTTACACACCTGAGATTTATACCAGAAAAAAGCTTATTTATATCCCAGTATTTATCCAATCTTGAAATACAAATAGTTCTCATTAAAACTCTTCTTCTTAGACTGAACAGCATCAGTACCTCTTGATATAATGTAAAGGATTATGAAAGTTCTATAATTCATAGTATTAAATGTATTTGTTTATTAGGAATGCCGAGCGATACAGGATGTATGAGATGGCTATGAACCTTACCAGGGAATTCCATTCTGACATTTTTGGAGAGAAAAAAAACTTAATTGTAACAGAAGAATATGTATTTCGTCAAGACATATCATAATAAAATAAAACTAAACACATATTTGTGAGTATTTCAGTACATATATTATTTACAATCTCTATTTTCATCTCTCACAAATCCCTAAGACATGTCAAGAGCTGAAGTCCAGTGGTTGGGGGCCTTAGCAGGGAGAATTCGTTCCCACTGCTTACTATGGTAGGGAGGCAGAAGTCTCCTAGCACGGTGCTAAGAACGGCTAGTAACAGTTACGTTGCCAACACGCTTTCTCAAAGCTTCCTCTTGTCAGTATCCACAGAATTGACTTATTTCAGTACAGCTAACTCATATCAGCTTAGTAGCTGCGTAAAGTAGCTGCTTTAGGGGACAAATACTAGTGCCGTGCTAGAAATTCTTCAGCCCGATACTGTAGTATTCAGTCCTTTTGCCGCATGCCTTGTGCGGGGAGCGTGGGTTAGGCCCGGAGCCACTACTACTACGTACAGTACTGGCGAAGGAATAGCGCAAGCTACGCCACGCCACGGAAGTAGCGCGCAATCGCTAAGCGTCTTCCCCGACATTCTTTGTTCGCTATTCGCTGTTCGCTGTCCGATGCTTACTCGCATACGTAGTGCTTTACCACCTCGGAGATCGGCCAGGTGCCAGAAGAACAATTCCGCCGCAACAAACGCATTGAGCTGGCACCTCATCGCCGCAATAGCTGTGCGTATTGTTGTCGATCTGCGATTCGCGAGTACCGTAGCTGCTTCCATTCAGCTTCCAGAAAAAAAAAAAACACACGGTGTACGGAAGTTTACCACTTCGCTATGACGCACAGTTTAGGAAGAGGCCGACTGGTACATTACCCCGTTCCACATTGGGTACGAGGCATAAATATTACTTGCTTGAAGCTGAGATTTTGTTCCATAACGTTGCCACAATCTCGACACCTTTTCCTTAGTCAGGCTCAGCTCCGTGTCTCCTTAAAAGCACAGCGAGTTCCCCTTCTCGGCAGCGAGGAGGTATCCGTCATCTCATACGAGACGAAGTAGCTAGTCCTTCTCAACGCTAAAATCACCTATGCTTCCAACCGCACGACTTTAATCAGTGCTCAACACTGTTCTCAGGGCATCATGGTAATCTACACACCTAGCCGATCTGACACCACCTTTAGTGGCTCTTCCAAGATGAAGCTTGTTTATTTCAGCAATGAGTTCCCACATGACGACTTGCAGGGTCTGCTTCGCGGACTTCACCAGCACAGCAAGGACAGGCGACATCCTATCCTCGCCCGATTCCTGGAGGAAGCCACACTCGCCATTCGTGACGAAGTACGACAACTACCTACCTCTTTGAAAGCGTTGATCCCACCTTTCGAGAACATCTTGCACTTTGCAGATTTCGCCGACCTTCGCAAGGGTCAGCTTTGTGGTTCCATCGATGGTATTCTCCTCTGCACCGTCGAGCTGGGAACACTCATTGGGTAAGCAAGCTATCAGGACATGATGATGATGTATGTTCTGACCCTTCCAGATACTATGAGAATTCTCCGGAGGCCTTCGACTTTGATACCGTCAGCACCTCTCTCGCTGGCCTGGGGATCGGGCTCTTGGCCACGGCAGCGGTCTCCTTAGCTCCCACTGTGGCAGACATCCCGCTTGCTGGCGCTCAGGTTGTGCGACAGGCCTTCCGCCTTGGTGTCCTGGTTGATGAAGTCTCGCAAAATCTGCAGCCTCGTGACTTGACAGACACGAGCACACCGGACACTTGGGCTTACGTGCTGCCAGATGTGGCTGCAGATGACGTCCAACAGGAGCTCAACGCGATCCACGCAAAGGAGGTCAGTCTGATTCGGCTCATTTGTCATGTTTTTCAATCTAATGAAATGGTCAGAAAACGCCGGAAGCCAGCAAGGTCTTTATCAGCGCACTTAGTGCGACTTCGGTAACCGTTAGCGGTCCACCAGCAAGACTCAAGGGCATTTTCCGCACTGCCGATTTCTTCCGTGACCGAAAGTTCGTTGCTTTGCCGGTGTACGGAGGCTTGTGCCACGCAAAGCACATATACAACGAGGACAATGTGCATCAGGTTGTTCGGACGCGCTCGATGGAGTTCCTGAACTCCAGACTCTCGCCACGGATCCCCATTCATTCAACCAGCACGGGAAGACCCTTCCCGGCAACGAACGCGACCGATTTATTCGAGCACATCATCAGGGAAATCCTCACCCAGGCTATCCAATGGGATAGCGTGATCCAAGGTGTGATTCAAAGAGCCCACGACATTGCGGCATCTCAGTGCGAAGTGCTTGTTTTCCGCATCTCTCTTCCCATCCATGACCTCTCCGCCGCCTTGAAAACACTCCCAGATTTCGAACCATCGACCGAGGAGCTCATCCCCTGGATTCACGAGAAGACGACTCCAGATGGAGGACCGAGAGGGCCAATGCAATCTAAGATCGCCATCGTTGGCATGTCATGCAGGATGCCTGGCGGAGCGACCGACACGGAGAAATTCTGGGAGCTGCTGGAAAGCGGGATGGATGTGCACAGGAAGATTCCGGCCGATCGATTTGATGTCGACTCCCATTACGATCCTGCTGGAAAGAGGATCAATACCAGCCATACACCATACGGTTGCTTCATCGACGAGCCGGGCCTGTTCGATGCGCCGTTCTTCAACATGTCGCCCCGCGAAGCACAGCAAACCGATCCCATGCAGCGACTTGCCTTGGTCACCGCGTACGAGGCGCTCGAGAGAGCGGGCTACGTCGCCAACCGGACCGCTGCCACCGACTTGCACCGCATTGGGACCTTTTATGGCCAGGCCAGTGACGACTACCGTGAAGTGAACACGGCGCAGGAGATTAGCACGTACTTCATTCCAGGGGGTTGTCGTGCGTTCGGCCCTGGCCGAATCAACTATTTTTTCAAGTTCTCGGGGCCGAGCTACAGCATTGACACCGCATGTTCCTCGAGTTTGGCGACCATCCAGGTTTGTGATAGCCACGCTACTCCATCCCACACATGACTGCTAATTATTCTCTCCAGATTGCTTGCACCTCTCTCTGGAATGGAGACACAGACACCGTCGTGGCTGGTGGCATGAATGTGTTGACCAATTCAGACGCGTTCGCTGGCCTCAGCCATGGCCACTTCCTGTCCAAGACGCCCAATGCGTGCAAGACGTGGGACTGCGAAGCGGACGGTTATTGCCGTGCCGACGCCGTTGGATCCATCGTCATGAAGCGCCTTGAGGATGCCGAAGCCGATAACGACAATATCTTGGGGGTGATTCTTGCGGCGGGGACCAACCATTCGGCTGAGGCTATCTCAATTACCCACCCACACGCGGGCCATCAGGCGTACTTGGGCAAGCAGGTTCTGCACAGAGCAGGAATTGACCCGCTCGATGTTAGCTTTGTCGAGATGCACGGCACAGGCACTCAGGCCGGTGACGCAGAGGAGATCCAGTCGGTGACGAATGTGTTTGCGCCCCTCACGAAGCGCCGCAGCACTAAGAACCCGCTCTACATTGGCGCTGTGAAGTCGAATGTTGGCCACAGCGAGGCTGCCGCCGGCGTTACGGCCCTGCTAAAAGTCCTCCTTATGCTTCAGAAAAACGCCATTCCGCCACACGTCGGCATCAAGAACAGCCTCAACCCGAAGTTCCCCAAGGACATGGACAAGCGCAACGTTCGCATCCCGTACGAGAAAACGGAGTGGCCGTCCGTGCCAGGGAAGAAGCGGGTTGCTGTCGTGAACAACTTTAGCGCTGCGGGAGGCAACACGAGCCTTGCGATTGAAGAAGGGCCGGTGCGGGAGGTGACTGAGACAGACCCTCGTTCCACACATGTCGTCGCTCTGTCGGCCAAGAGCAAGATTTCGCTCAAAGGGAACATCGAAAGGCTGCTTGGCTATCTGGACAAGAATCCAGATGTCTCGCTGGCACATCTCTCCTACTCCACCACGGCTCGCCGCTACCACCACAACCACCGGGTGGCCATTGTCGCTTCTGACCTCGCGCAGGTGAAGAAACAACTTACATCCGCCCTCGGATCCGTCGACTCACACAAGCCCATCCCCACCACGGGGCCACCGCCAGTTGCCTTCAGCTTCACGGGCCAGGGAGCATCCCACAAGTCCTCCAATTTGGATCTGTTCCACCACTCTCCACAGTTCCGATCGCAAATCCTGCACTTGGATACGCTTGCACAAGGCCAGGGCTTCCCGTCCTTTGTTTCCGCGGTGGACGGGAGTCATCCACAAGACTATGAACATTCGCCAGTCATCACGCATCTTGCTCTGGTCTGCACAGAGATCGCTCTCGCCAAGTACTGGGCCTCCTTGGGTGTGAGGCCTGACGTTGTCATCGGACATAGCTTGGGCGAGTATGCGGCGCTGCATGTCGCCGGTGTTCTTTCCGCCAGTGACACCATCTTCCTCGTTGGCCAGAGAGCAAGGATGCTTGAGCAGAAGTGCAAGGTGGGCAGCCACAAGATGGTGGCTGTGCGGGCCTCCCTTGCTCAGGTCCAAAAGAGTGCTGGCGACAAACCGTACGAGATCGCCTGTATCAATGGTCCCAATGACACCGTGCTCAGCGGCCCTGTCACGGACATGGATGCTATCATCCCTGTCCTTGAAGCGGACGGCTTCAAGTGTTTCAGCCTCGATGTCGCTTTTGCATTCCACTCGGCACAAACCGACCCCATTCTCGACGAATTCGAGGCGATTGCAAACAGCGGTGTTCTCTTCCAGGCACCACATCTGCCTGTCATCTCGCCTCTACTGAGCAAGGTCATCTTCGACGAGAAGACTGTGAATGCCAACTACATGCGTCGGGCCACTCGTGAGACCGTCAACTTCCTGTCGGCCTTGGAAACAGCACACAAGATTGGAACCATCGATGACGAGACGGCATGGATCGAAATTGGACCTCATCCCGTCGGCATGGGCTTCGTCAAGTCTACTCTCTCGCCCGTCAACGTCGCCGTCCCCTCGCTCCGCAGAGGCGAGAACAACTGGAAGACCATGGCGCAGAGTCTTGCGACCCTGCATGGCGCCGGCGTGCAGGTTGGCTGGAATGAGTTCCACCGCCCATTCGAGCAGGGATTGCGGCTCCTGGATCTGCCCACGTATGCGTGGAATGACAAGACTTACTGGATCCAGTACAACGGCGACTGGGCTCTGACCAAAGGCAACACCTTCTACGACGCTGAAAAGGGACTCAACAAGGCTCAAATTGCGCCGCCTGAGCCCAAGTCCAGTCTCAGCACGACAACGGTTCAGCAGATTATTGAGCAAGACCTCAATGGAACCGCGGGCATGGTGGTCATGCAGTCCGATCTGAGGCAAGTAGACTTCCGCGCTGCCGCTTACGGACACAAGATGAACGGGTGTGGTGTGGTGACATCGGTAGGTCCATTTTACACTGTCAGCCCTGACGATTACACTAACATCGTTCTCAGTCTATCCATGCCGACATCGCATACACGCTTGGCGAGTATCTGTACAAGTTACTCAAGCCCGGCAGCAAAGAAGTTCACATGAACATTGCTAGCCTGGAGGTTCTCAAAGGCCTTGTCGCAAACAGCAAGCCGGAGACACCTCAGCTCATCCAAGTCTCGCTGGCCACCGACGACATTGAATCCAACACGGCCGAGCTGAAATGGTACAACGTGCAGGCCGACGGCACCGTCGACGAACCCTTCGCCAGCGCGACCCTCTTCTACGGCAACCCCGCCGAATGGCTTGCCTCGTGGGTCCCCACCACCCATCTCATCCAAGGCCGCATCCAAGAGCTCGAGCGGCTGGCCGAGTCGGGCATTGCCAACCGCTTCACACACAACATGGCGTACCTCCTCTTTGCCAACAACCTGGTCGACTATGCCGAGAAGTACCGGGGTATCCAGTCGGTGGTGCTCCACGGCTTGGAAGCCTTCGCTGACGTGGTACTCACGACGGAGAAGGGCGGCAGTTGGACCGTGCCGCCTTATTTCATCGATAGCGTTGCACATTTGGCAGGCTTCATCATGAACGTGTCAGACGCCATCGACACCAAGAACAACTACTGCACCACGCCGGGCTGGCGCGTGTAGGGTATGGGCAAAGCCGCTGGTGGCGGGGGGCAAGTACCGGTCCTACGTCAAGATGATCCCGACGGCTGAAGACCCGAGCGTCTACTTGGGCGATATATACATTCTCCAGGGCGACGTGATCATTGGCATGGTAGGCGGCATTCAGTTCCGCCGGTATCCGCGCATCCTGCTCGGGCGCTTCTTCTCTGCGCCGGACGACTCGAAAGCGCCGCCCGTTGCGGTGGCGGCTTCGTCGAAGTCTGCTTCGTCCAAGCCTGCTGCCACCGCGAAACCAGCGGCCCACCAAGCTGCTCCAAAACCTGCACCCGTCCACGTTGCCACTCCCACTCCAAAGCCTGCACCCACTCCTGCACCCACTCCTGCTCCCGCTGCAGCGCCAGCTCCAGCGCCAACTCCAGCACCAGAACCGGCTACCAACGGTGTCCAGGACGCCGACACGACGACCTCCAAGGCCATCCAGATCATTGCCACCGAAGCGGCGCTCGACCTCGCGGATCTGACCGATGACGCCAGCGTGGCCGGCTTGGGTGTCGATTCGCTCATGAGCTTGGTGATTGCCGAGAAGTTCCGCGAGCAGCTGGGTGTCGTGGTCTCGGGCAGTTTGTTCTTGGAATTTCCCACCATAAAAGACCTGCGTAATTGGTTGGAGGAGTATTATGACTAGATGCGGCATGGTTTGGTGGAGAGTGCATTGAGGAGGCTAAGTCATGGTTGGGGGAAAAAGAGGGGCGTTTGGAAAAGTTGGAGGGTTGTTATAATGTTCTGTGTATTTTCTTGGGTTCTTACATAGAGATCTTATGATAAATGCAACGAATTTACTTGCAAACCTATACTTCATTGATTTCGAAAGTTAACTACTCAACATAGTCGTCGATCATTATTGGGGTGACACTGATACTGTACGTTTCCTTAAGTAATGCACTCTAATTCGCTTTTCAAGAAGGCCGTTGCTGCTCTACTTGTTCATACCGAAACCACAAATAGACAGTAGTTATAGTTACTTGTTAATTGTATATTAACCAATGACTGTAAGTCTATACATACTAACTGTAAGGTTTTGACTGGCAGAATGAAGAGCACTGGTAGAACACTGGTACAACGACGGTGGCTTAGATTACTACCACTGGTAGGTGTATGGATAATGGTAAACTAATTCCTGAGCCCCTTAGTCCCAGAGGGCATTCCCTTTACTTAAGAGAAAGCCTTGCAATCCCTATGACGCTGATGCTCTCATAACGGGGATGTGGCCTCTACGCTTCGTAGCCCCTGCAGTAGTAACGTAGGGCTACAGGATGTGGCCACCACGCTTCGCAACGCTTGCTGTAGTAGTACGCATGTAGCGTACGGGATGTAGCCCTCCGGCATACTTGCCTTGTAGAGGGGCACTTGGAGATGAGCCTTGGCATCCCTGACACTAACATACAGAACCAACCACTTGCCACGCCAACTTCTGCACACTAATACATAGGCATCCTCAAATTTCAAAAGGCTATAGCTGACTGAGAGCAATTATACACAAGTTTTTTGAGTTGTTTTAATGCAGAATCGATCAAGTTTGAAGTCAAAGTAACGTAGGTAGAAAAGTTGCATCTGACATTTTTTGATGTTGCATGCCAAGCTTTGAATAGTGCTACCACCACACTAGATTGCGGCAATGCTATTCCCCATAAGGAAGGGCAACCCCATTCAGTGACACAGCGGGATGAACATTTATTTATAACTTAGAGTTGATTGTGCACATAGTACGGAGTCGTGCATCAAAAGTAGTCAAACTACGCTGATACTAAGGTCCTACCAAGGATGAATAATCCTGACGAGCCTGATATCGTGCTTAGTTGTACAGTTACTCTCGCCTACATAAAGCCTAGAGCAGCCCTCAGACTTAAGTACTCTTTAGGCTTCTCTTCAAGTGATTGCGTACTTGAGTTACAGGGCCCTTAGTGCTAAGGCTCATCTCGTAGTAGTAGGCATGCCTTAGATTACCCGTTGCATTTTGTAGGCTAGAGTGCCTGATGCACGACTCCGTAAAAGCTACCCTCTTTGGACATAACAAAATCAAATCAAGATTCTAATAAGTACGAGTATTAAAACACAGACCCATAGCTACCTTTCAGTATAGATATTGTCTGAATCTATCCCATATTTGCAGAATTGTCATAAGATCATCACAGTACAGCAGTTCTCTCTTTTAACGCCAGGCATTTGCAACAACTTTTTCGCAATGCACACTAAAGCCTATGTCTCGCGCCGTCGTGTTGCGCGCCGATTCGCCAGCCGGGCCGGGTGAAACGACTCCGACGCCAGATAGGTCGTGATGTCGAGCTCGCCGTTCTTCTTGAACAGACAGCTGACGAATGTCTGCAGGCCGTTGCCATCGTCCAGACGCCTGTGCTCGGCCAGCGTCTCCAGCAAATGCAGGTAGCGTTGACAGTATTCACCGCGGCCGCGCGCCTCCATCCACCGCATGAGATCGTGCGCCAGGCTGAGGTCGTCGTGTGCGTAGTACCGCACGGGTAGATAGACCTTGATGTCTGGGAGCGTGTAACCGGGCGCGATGTCAAAATAGTACAGGAAGCCAGACAGCTTCTTACCCTGGTCGGGGAATTTGTCCGCGCGCGAAGAGTCCCAGTGCGCCGCGGCCGAAAGCTCGGCGTCCTCGGGAAAGTCGTCAGGCAATCCCATACAAGTCTTGATGAGGTCTTGGAGATCAGCGAGCCCCGCAGCCAGGTGCGGTGTGTTGATGCGCCCGCCTAGCGTCATGATCTCGCGCACCGACGCGAAGCTGGTGTGCGGGGTGTTGAAGTACCACTTGAGGCGCGACTTTGCTGGCGCCTTGTTGTCGATACTTACCACGAGAGGGATATGGCGCAGCCCTATTCCACGCGAATCTAATCGTGTTTAAGATGAAAGTAGGAATCCTTCGACGTCCTGCTCGAGAAGGATGGTAACTCTCTTGGCCCACGTACCTTCCTGCCCAATCTTGCCCTGCAAGAAGTATGTCTTCAGTGACGGGCCCTTGGGCGTGAGCTCGGTAGCGAGGTGTATGCTGCTGCCCATCTGCGCCCCAGCCGCCGCGTCCCGCATGTGCTTGGAATTGTCGTGCTCATATAGCGTGGCCAGAAAGTGGTTGCCCCAAGTAACTCGCGCAACGGCTGCTGATTCAGAGGATCCAGCTCCGTGCCGGAGAACTCGCCGATAGGCTCCGTGACGTACCGCACACCAGGCCCGCTGGTGGCCGTGTTCCATTTCCACGAATACTCGATCGGCGAGCCATCGAGCGACATTAACGATTTCCATTTGATAGGCACGCCGTCCGCCCGAGGAGCCGCGCCCAAGCTCGGAAGCTTTGCCGCTGCATTAGCGAGAGCCTGACCAAACAACAGATGTACGACATACCGTCCAGTGGTAATGGAACAAGAGCGCCTCATATTGCTTCATGATGGGGTAGCCGGCTGCTTCGACGACGGCAGCCAGCTGACGCCCTGTGAGCCGCCACCAGTAGTCGCTATCTGGGTCGCGGCTGGGCAGGTACTGCGATAGCGCCCTCCATACCTCTGTGGACTCGCCATCCTGGCACGTCAATTGCTTCTGGGTGCTACCGTTAGTCTGCGTCATGTTGTGTATGTTGATCTCTGATGATTGTCGATCGTGTCGTCACTTCCACCCACCGATGCCCGCCTTTATGAAGTCTCATCGGCATCTCGCTCGAAGCCAAAGTTTCAGTTGAAACTCTCAAGACCGAGGCCCGAGTTCCGAATCCTTTCGGGAGCCTTCGGTGCCCTATTCAGATACGAGACTTAGGCAACATAAACACCTTACCTACGACGGGGGGTCCCTGAAGCAGTCTTGGCTCAGCGCTAGTATCCTTACTGGTACCCTTCTCTATATAGAACCGCTATGCTCAAAAAGAAGTTAGATGTAATGGTTAGACGTGATGATTTGACTCGTTAAGATGGATGCATACAGAACAAGCTTTAAGGAGACGGATATCGTCTAAAGTTAGCAGCACTATGGTGTCGTGATTAGAACTAGCTGCTCTAGGCACCAGACTGACGACACTTCCAGCGCTCCCGTAGTACAAGGTTCTACCAATTAGGAGCATTAACTAAAGCTTCCAAGGCCATCACGCTAAAGACAGGTGCTCACTTCAAGTTACATAGCAAATGGCGCTCCCAGCCGTGGCTCTCAGGGGCCTTCTTTCGCTCGCAGCAGCGTTGCAAGCAGTAGTTCGTCCTTCGGGTGTACTCGGTAAGCATTCCTCACTCGCATTATTCATCAAGTTGTCACCATTAAGATGACACACAATCTCCAGTGCAAAGCCCTTAGTAAGCATAGGCTGACGCAGTCCCTCGAGAGATCCTGGAAAAATCCAGATAACATCACCCAAACAGTGTTGAGCAGTGCCCGCTGGTCCAATACCACCATTCTCGATCCCGGCTGCATCTTCCAGCCAGCGTCGGTGACTAGGGCATCAAGGATCCGCAGCTATGCCGTGCCGTGCGGGAGTTATACTATGTATTGCCGAACGAAATATCTATATCCTAGTAGTGGAGTTAAGAGGGAGTTACTAACGGGCCCGCGGCGCCAAGGCCCGAAGCACACATGGTAACACCGGCACGAACAACACGTACAACACGTAAGCGTCTCGATTGATCCCACATACAGAATAGTCCATCCTCCCTCAGACCTCAATGCTGTTGTGATGTAAACGTTACAGTCGACTTAGGAGCAATTACGCCTCAGCAGTCTTGTCTGGGTTGACCTCACATAGCTCTCCATCACTTCCACTTCCACTTCCCCATTATGGTGTTCGGAGGCCCAGCCTTTGATCCGAAGAAGATACCTGATCTCGCAGGCAAGGTCATCCTCATCACTGGTGCCAACGGCGGCCTGGGCTATGAGTCTCTCCTCCATCTCGCACCGCACAATCCGGCCAAGATCTACCTCTGCGCGCGCTCGCAAGCCAAATACGATGCCGCGATGAAAGGCATCACGGCGGCCGTGCCCAACGCTGCCTCTATGGTCAAATACCTCGAACTCGACCTGACCTCGCTCGCCTCGGTCAAATCCGCCGCGCAGACCTTCCTGAACGAGAACTCGCGGCTCGACATCCTGATGAACAACGCCGGCATCATGGCCACGCCCGCAGCCCTCACCAAGGACGGCTACGAGATCCAATTCGGCACCAACCACATGGGCCACTTCCTGCTGACCAAGCTCCTCCTCCCGACGCTCCAATCCACCGCCTCCGCCACCCCGGACGCCGACGTGCGCATCATCAACCTCACCAGCGACGGCCACAGCCTCGCGCCGCGCAACGCCGGCTTCGTCCCCGACGCCGTCCGCACCGACATGCAGGACTACAGCACCTGGACGCGCTACGGCCAGAGCAAACTGGCCAACATCCTCTTCACGCGCGAGCTGGCCAGGCGCCATCCGGACATCACCTCTGTCGCCATCCATCCCGGCGGCGTGGCCACCAACCTGGCCAACTCGTTCACCGACTCGCATCGCTTTCTGTCGCTTCTGCTGGTGCCGGTGCTCAAGGCGATGACGGCAAAGCCGAGCGTCGGCGCGCTCAATCAGACCTGGGCTTGTGTCGCGCCGGTGCAGGGGAGGAAGGTGGTGGGAGGTGGCAGCGAGAAGGAGATCAAGTCGGGTGGGTATTATGTCCCCGTTGCTAAGCCCGACGTGGGCAGTAAATTCGCGAATGATGCGGAGCTAGCGAGGAAACTGTGGGAGTGGTCGGAGGAGGACTTGGAGAGGCAGGGCTATTGAGGATGGTGGTTCCCTGGTGTTTGAGTTCGAGGAATCGGTGGGTTGGGAACGAGGAGGGAACAGCACCGTGGTCACAAGCGTTGTAATGATGAGAAGAAATGACTGCAGCTTTGGAAAGGTACTAATTTATGAAGATTGCCGTTTATACGTATATACTCCGTATATCGACATCTATTCCTATACTAACATGTTACATTCTAATATATTCTATCGACTCAGCCTCTTCTCTCTGATGAAGAAACTACTAATCAAGGCAAAGAAAGTGATGCCAATCATCAGCGCAAATGCATCTCGGACAGCATGTCCATAGCATCTCCTCACCATATCCCGCACCTCGGGATCCAGCGTCCGAATATACTCCAGGCTCCTGCGCACGCGCTGCACAATCCTGTCCGCCTCTTCGCCACTCCCTAGATCGCGGATCAAATAGCTCCTCAGTGATTGCTGCACGACGGTCGAGCTCAGCGAGATGCCGATGACTGATCCAAGAGAGCGGAATAAGTATGAGCATGCCGTCGTCACGGCCTGGTCCTCGGGCGCCGCATTGGAGATCAGCGCGATGAGCGTCGTGGTGACCCCTACGCCGTTGCCGAAGCCGCAGAGCACCATACCGAGGCTGAGACCCCAGGTGCTGTTGACTATCGTCCCCGCAAAGAGGAGAATGATCACCATCCCGCCGACGAGCATCGTGTACGCGGTCACGGTGAGCCAGTAGTATTTTCCAGTCTTCTTCATCACGAGCCCGCCGAGTAGAGACCCGGTGACGCCTGCGAGGATGGCGGGGAGGAGGCGTACGCCTGATGCGGCTGCGCCATGGCCGTCGACAGCTTGGAAGAATAGGGGGATGTAGTATATGCCTGAGAGCCAGCCACTAAAGCTGAAGAAATTGCATAGGTACCCGGCGAAGAGTGAACGATCGAAGATTATGTGGCCTGGGGCGAAGGGCTCGGCTGCATATTTCATTTCGACTAGGATGAAGAGAGCGAACAGGAGGACGGAGGCCACGAGTGGGCCGTAGCTGAGGGGAGTGGACCAGGAGACGTTGCTGCCGCGGTCCAACCCAAGGAGCATGTCGAATACTGCGAAAACAAGCACAAGGGCGCCGAGGAAGTCGATCCTTCCTAGGTTTGTTTTCCAGTTCTTTTCCTCTTTTGGTGGGAGTTTGAGCACGAAGAATACGGATATGAAGGCCACTAGACACAGGGGAGCTTGCCCCAAGAATGACCATCTCCAGCCAATAGAGTCAGCGAGGAGGCCACCGAGGGGAGCCCCACATCCGGCGCCAGTTGCGTAGATTATATTGATGTAGCCTTGCCATAGGCCTCTGTCTTCCAGCGGGACGATGTCGCTTATCAAGATGCTCACGACGGTAGTCATGCCACCACCACCTATGCCTTGGAAAACCTGTTGAGATTATCAGCACCAGATGTGGGCCGATAGGTCGAGATGAGGGCTGACTCTCGCCGCAATCAGCTGCTTAATGTCCTGAGAGAGACCGCAAAACAGACAACCAAGACCAAAAACCGCGTATGCGTATAGCAAGCAAGCCTTCCGCCCAAAAATGTCACTAAGTTTACCATAAAGCGGCTGAAAGGATGTTAAGGTCAGAAAGTAAGAGGTCGCAATCCAGCTCGTCAGGTTGAGGGCCTTGAGCTCGTTGCCGATAGTTCCATAGCTGGAAACGATGATGGTCTGGTCGGCTGCTGACAGGAGTATCTGCATAGATTTAGTTACAAGCTGTCATTTAAAGAAGCATGTCCGAGCTGACTGACTGACCCCGACCGAGAGGGCGGGAACAATGTATTTCAACTTCTTCTGGATCTCGGGTGATCCTTGAAATTGAGCAGTTCTGCCCTCGTCCAATGATGTTCGACGTTCAACGTCCGCAGTTATATCAGCGGCATTGGTGGTCAATCCCCCATCAACAGCGACAGAATCGATTCTGCCGATTATGCTTCCGTTACCAGTCTTGCCTAGCAGAGGAGATATCTCGGAAGCATCCCTATCAGAAGCCATCAGCGGCAGACGGGTAAAAGATCGCGATAGAAACCGAAAGGTTTAGCAGAAGAAAAGTCCTTATCAGGCACATTGAAGAAGGATTTTGGTTGGATCAAAAGACCGCAGCCTTCGGAGGACCGATAAATAGCTTTATGTCTGACAATTTTCAATGGGGTGTAGAAGGATATCTAGCCACGAATTGACAAGACGAGGATAGCTCTATGGGTAAGACCTCATAATGAAACGAGGTCGAACCTTATGAGGAGATTGCTAACACTATCAGTCAGTATCGTCAATTTTGAAGAAATTTTAGCATCCATGAAGAATGGGGGATGAGCTGAGGAAGAAATGAGGAAGAAATTGTGGTGCTCGGAGCTGACTCATGAACTCCGCAGCGATAAGGCTTAGTGGTCAAGCTTATCATCACGCTAAGAAGCTAAGAAATGCTTCTCGCTGATCTTTCGTTTCTGTCATTTGCTGTCACTTGCTGTCACTTGCTGTCGTCAAACAATCTATCAAATGTGATGTCTTCTTCAACGTACGCAGCCCAGGACACACCACCTCCGACTCACAAGCGCTATGACTCCATCTCTAAATGATCCGCGGTATCGTCCCGCTTTGCTCGCGCTTGCAGGCATTTCGGCAGCTTATGCCATCTACCTCATCCGTCAGCGATACCTTACCCCCCAACAGAATCCCGACCGACAAACACAGCTTAGACGACGGAATGCAATTCGACGTCATGATTTACCAAGGCGCAATCGAACCAGATCCTCGCCGCGCGGTGAAGATTCAATAGAAGTCAGTGAGCAGGCTATTGCCGCGTTGCGATCTCGAGAGGCAGACGGAAGATCGTATGGCTTCCTTGACATACACTCTATCCAGCACGAACTGGGGCAAGATACGGCTCGTAGACACGAGATACAATGCCCACTGCTGCCCGGAATGCTTCCTACCGTGGAGCAATTTCAGACGCAGGAGGGCATCACCGAGGAGGATGCTCAGGTGCTTCGAAATCATGCCGAAGTCATGTTCATGGATGCTTTTTTGGCTAACCAGTATCCACCGAGTCATCATATCGCCTCGCTTGAAGCGAGCTACCTGAGTGAAGAATTGAGCAACATGGGAATAGGATCAGCGGTCATACAGCAATCTATTGAGAGATTCAACACAGATCCAAACTTCGGCTCGGAGATGCGGCAAAACCCCAATAATGGCGCTCGGAATCCTGCACTTGCTGACGGAGCGGCCGAATACCAGCGGTTAGGGGATATAATGCAGGCTCTAGACGGGGGGGAGACCATCGGTGATGAGCAGAGTAACTTTGAGTGGCGGGAAGGAAATGGAGCTGGAAGTGCAGACAGACAAGAGCAAAATACGTTGAATCTGCTCTACAACATCGCGGCGGACAAAGCGAGAATGGACGGCTATATCCACCGTGGTGTCACGTGCGATGGTTGTCATACAATGCCCATACACGGTATCAGATATCGATGCGCCAACTGTCTGGATTACGATCTGTGCGAGAGCTGTGAGGCCCAGGAGCTCCATATTAAGACGCATATCTTCTACAAAATCAGGGTTCCGGCTCCATCTATGGGGGCACTTGGCAACTCCCGCCAGGGTTTACCAGTCTGGTATCCTGGAAAGCCAAGCGCTATGCCTCCGGGTCTACCGCGGCAGCTGTCAAGCCGGCTTCTGCACGAAACAGGATTTGACACTGCGGAACTTGATGCCCTATGGGACCAGTTCAGATGTTTGGCTGGCTGCGTGTGGACCAGTGATCCCAATAAGCTTGGGATGGCGATTGATCGTAAAGTTTTTGATCGATGTTTTGTGCCGCCGCTCTCGATACGACCGCCACCACCGAATCTGATCTATGATCGCATGTTCGCTTACTATGACACCAATAACGACGGACTGATCGGCTTCGAAGAATTCCTGAAGGGCCTCGCTGGTCTCAACGATAAAAGCAGAGAAGGAAAACTGAGGCGTATCTTTCAAGGCTATGACATCGATAATGACGGATACATTGACCGAAAGGACTTTTTGAGAATATTCAGAGCATTCTATACACTAAGCAAAGAGTTGAACCGAGAAATGCTTGCTGGAATGGAGGAAGACCTGATGGAAGGCGGTGCTCGAGAAATTATTCACGGGAGCCAGCCTATCAGTTCAGCGTTCCCCAGTAATATTCCGGATGGGCATGTATCTCGAAGTGGAACTGGGAAAGAAGTGGATGCGAATGGGGACCTCACCATTACTGACCACAGAGGTGTTCTCGATGAAGATGCCCATGATATTGGGGACCGCAATCAGATCATCGCAGACATCGCCATCAGCTACCCGGCAACTCATCCGCGTGCTTTCCGACCACAGACTTCGACAGATAGCCCGTTGCCCGGAACAAGCCAAGTCGAGAGTGTTGCGCCGAACATTGACTCGGCGCCTGACGAAAACCCACTGACAGAGAGTTATCCTCCAACAGACGAAAGTGGATCATCCTTACATGACTCTACTCATAGCTGGCCGCCTTTCGGAGTACGAGTCTCAGACATAGTGAACGCGTTGGGGCGTGAAGTGCCACTGTCGGAGATCATCGACCCAGACGACAGAAGAAAAGTACAGTCTGCCGTGTTAAGACGGGTCGAAGCCGAGCTTCAAGCTGACATAGAGCAAAGAAGTAACGACGCTATCCAAGAACGCTGGCGGAGGAGGAGATTCTACACAGACGTGGAAGAAGGCGGATCGGCTCCCCAGGGCTATACGGAAATCGACAGCTCTGATGACGGAACCGGAGACACCGGCGAAGCCATCGACAGCATAACCTCAGCATCGGCATCCAGACCTCTGTCGCCACGGTCTCGGTCCTCTTCCAAAGTCAGGTTCGAAGACAGCGTTACCGACACCGATTACGAAACACGCTCAAACACGTCGTCGCGCAGCATCCCCGTCGGCGAGCGGTGGGGTGGGTACGACATCAGCGAGATAGAGAAAGACGTGGGGAAGGAGATCCTCTACCAAGCAGTGCAACAAGGCTTCAATGAACTCCTCGATCAACTGTTCAGAGAGAAGGAAGACCTGACCATGGAAGCTCATCGCACGCGGAAGGAACGCCGACATCACGCAAAAGAAATCCAAGCTTACGCTGCAGTGCTCAAAGCTGAGCCAGGACTCGGGGATGCCGATCACGAATCCAAGCAGAAGAAGGAGAAAGCAACCCCGGCTGCGTCAGACCAAAGACCGGCACGCAAAGAAGTCGAACTGTCCACCCTCCTCCACGCAGCCGGCTACGGAGACGGCGACGCCGACTCAGACGCCGAGCTCGACGCAGACGCAGATGCAGATGCGCTATCTCCAACCAACCCGCCACCCCCTCCACCCGACCATCCCCTCTACACCCACCAAACCCAGATCTACGGCTACCGCATGCGTGACCACCTCTACAGGGATCCAACCATGCCGCAGTTCCGCCCTAACGACTCGGAAACCATCGCCCCGCCATCTGCCTCTGCCTCTGCATCTGCATCACCATTCCCGTCCACCGGACCCACCACCACTACGACCCTGCCCTCCATGCCACCCATGAACGTAACATCAACAACAACAACAGCAGCATCCTCCCTCCCAGCACAGACCGCGCCAACCGACCTATCCGACTTCTCCTCTCCGCAGACCAGGGAGATGCTGACGAAATACCTCCTCCACGACCGAATCGACGCAGAAGCCAAGACGAGAGGTGGGTTCGGGAGGCTGGATTATGCCGAGTTCGTGCGGGGGATGGTGGGGGATGATACCACCAACAACAACAAGAATAACAGTAGTAGTGGTCGTGGCAGGACTGGGAATGGGAGTGGGAGTAGGAGTGGGGCGGTTGGGGACGGAGACGTAGACGTAGACGTGACGGGACGCGGCATCGGCGGCGACAAGCAGCAACAGTTGCAGCTGGGCCGCTTGGGGTTCGTGGGCAGCTGGATCGAGATGGCTAGTTTTTGACCGGCGCTGCGCTGCACTGGACGGGACGGGACGGGAATGGGGACTTGACCAATAAAGGAAAATGAGGATGAGGATGGGAGGAAAATGAAGCGCGTGAGTGGGGATGGGGAAGGAGGAAATCTCCGATGTTCGTTCGCTTGCTGGCTAGACTGATGGAGGAAGGGTGGGTAGGGGGTATGGTCTGCTTGATATCTTGCGCCGTCACTTCAGGCGAGATACTGCAAGTATGATTGATTGATTGATTGATTGATTGATTGATTGCCAGTATGGGAGTAGGGTGTGGTGCTGCTGAAGGCGCAGTCGCAAAGAAGGGAGCTCTGCAAAGCCTGGCTTAGATACTCCCCCGTTCGAAACTCAGGTGTATGTATGAATAGCACATCCCTAGTATACACCTTGCTCCATACGTACGCATTGTGCTGGCTGAGCTGCATTGCTTGCGCCCTGTATGTCGGCTGGTGACTGGCTCGAGCCAGCCAGCCATGACCGATCCTCTTTGCCCTTTACGGTAGGTGTCTCAGAAGCAACGATGTGATTTTTGCAAAACGAATTTTGAGCCCTGTCTGACTTGACCCTGCCTGTCCCGGCCTTTCGATGGATGAATTTGGTAGCTTGGTCCCGCAACGCTATGGGACCAGTACAAAACTCCATACCCACCTCTTCGACGCTGTGAGTTGTTGTGACAAACCAGACCTCTTCTCTGCGGTCGTCGCATCACAAGACCGCAAAAGCGCTGACATAGCTGACGCTCGAGTCCCTCGCGCTCACCACGTCACTGCTGCGCTCGTATCTGACGAATTTGAAGCGGCCCTTTTCCACCGCACCACTCTCTCCTACCTCGCTGGCATTCTGCTGATTGCTCTCCACTTCCTCCCATCCCGCCATGAACACGCCGATTGGATGGCGTCCGCAGATGGTATTCCCAGTGTCCTTCAGCGCCTTCAGCAAGGCCGCGTGCTTTCCCGTAGCAATGGCGCACATGCAAGCTCGATCCATATGCGCTATGCTTTCATGAACCGCGGGCTCGTTTCGAGCGGGCTTGTCTCTCGATCCGAGGGCGCTGCCCTGAGCTAGATTTGGGTCGTCGTGTAGCTGCGTTGCTGCGTTATCAGCGGGAGATGATATGACCCCGTTGGGTAGGCTGGTAGGAGGAAGGGCAGGACTTGGTGCACTGGGCAGGTAATATGTATATCCGAATCTGGAGCCCCAGTGGCAGAAATCGCTCGAGATGACGAATGCGTTCTCCGGGTCGGCAATGTAGGGTGCGAGGAGCTTGCCGAAGGCGGATTCGGTGGCTGGGTTGGTGCTCCCTACCATGATGGGCACTAGCGGTGGGTAATCTGATTCGGGACGGTCGGGGTATTGTCGCTGGAGGAGGCGGTGGAGGTAGGGGAGCTGCATCTCGGCTGAGTGCTCGGCTTCATCGACGGATTGAGACATGGTGGTGAATTTGAGGGTCCGGTTGCTGACTACTGTTGTGAGGGTCAAGAGTCGTTGGATGGTGGAGAGGTCGAGGGGGAGAGGGAAGGCGGAGAGGGGGGTTGAATACGCTGTTACGCTTGGAAGAGCGAGAGTGGAGAGGGACACATGATGGGAGGGATGGAGAATGAAGATGCGTTTCCTGGTTGATTTGAAGATCAGCAACGCTTCGGAACGCCCTGTTGGATGCTTAGGACGTACGCTTTGGAAAGATCAAGACTTCGATACGCCCAAGCAGCACATGGTCCCGAATATGCATATCCAGCATGGGGAGAAATGACGACTCGGGCACCAGGTATGGGAGTCTTTCCAATGCCGGGAAGTTCATCAGGCACATCAGCAAGCCATTGGTCAATTTGTGCGGTAAGTGTTGGACCAGAGGACGAATACCACGAACCGGCGTGGTAGGCGTCGCGAATGCTCATGACGGGGGTGTAGTGTCGAGATGGCAACCATAGAGGAATATCAGGGAAACAAAGGACAGATTGCAGAAAGCGAATGACGGGAGATGTGGGTCGTAATGGAGTACTGGAGTATTGGAGTATTGGAATGGATTGTTTCCCTCTTCCAGTAGAGGTGGAGGTGGAGGTGGGGCGGAGGGATCAAGTCACCAGTAGATACTGTAAGAGAAGCTGATCAGTCCATCTACAGATCAAAGCCTGGAATCAAATTGCCCAGCATCACCGTGTCCCGTGTCAGCTATTCTGGCAGCCTTACTACGTAATAGATAGTTTCTATGCACCCGTCCGCCCCCACGCCCCGCCCGTCGATCCGATGCGGCTCCAAAATCATCGCGTCACAATCAATGCGCGTTCCATTTGCCCGCGGTCCCAGGTCCCAGGTCCCATATCCCATACAGTACCACGTACCAGCACCCAGAATGCCCAGAAGGCCACTTCCCTACAGTTCTTAACTTCTTGGGTCTGGTAGAGAACAACTGGATCCTCAAACCATGGGCCACAAACGAAAAGCCTCGGATTCTCTCTCACCGCACCAATCGCACCCCATCACCAACCATACTCCCCCAGCAGGATGGAACTCTCCAGCATCCTACTTCTCCAACAACCTAAACTCTTCACGTACACGTAAGCGCCTAAGGGACGGCCGACCCGACGAGGAAACAATCCACCAGAACACCCTCTCCAAACTGTACGCGGCGCAGCAACAACGAAATGAGCAATCGGATGCGCATCAAGACCACAGCATCCCCTTCACTCCCTCACCTACACCCTCTCGCACCCTCCCACGCACCGAATCAACAACATCCGCAACCAACACCATTCCACATCACAGGGAAAAAGCCCAAGCCTCACTGTACGCCTTCTTTGGCGGCGGCCACAACCAATCTGTTCCACAGATCCCAGGCCCCGACCCACAATCCAGCCACGCGACTACGCTTCCATCCGTGGCGACCGCCACTCCCCAGTGCGAGGATTGCTCTGCGCCTCTTTTCCCACTCTCCGCTTACCCTAACGACGTGACGACGGTGGCAGGAGACACGGAGATGATGGACATCGACGCCACCGCTGTGGGCTACGGCATTTCTAGTTCCAGTGATGAGGGAATCGCGTATTCGTGTGTCAACTGCGGTAAAAGAGTCTGTGATACATGTGCGGTCAGGGGTGATTGGCGGGTGTGTTTAGAGTGTGCAAATCCCGGGAATGGGAGCAGATTCAGCCAAGGGTACGGATCGGGATATGGGTACAGTAGCGGCAGTGGAGGGAGCTGTGGTGCAGAAGCTGGAAATATGTCCGCCCAGGGAGCTGGAGCTTCGAGGATGGGAGATAAGAGGTGGGTGGGCGGTATTGGATGGCTCTGATCAAATGAAAACCAGCTGTTTCATTAATGGTGTTTGTGACTCACGGTTGGTGGTATGAGCATGGGTTTTTATTGGAAATGAAGCATTTTAGGATACAGACAGCCGCTCGATTATAGAACACGGACAGAACCGCGAAGATTTGGTTCTTATCAATTGCCACACACGTATGACTATGACGTGAATGAAATGTAGTCCACCATAAACTTCTGCCCATGTCTCTCGTAAGCTGTACGCGGTGCTCATGTCCCACGTTGACATCCCTCGTCACCAATGGAAAATACCCAGGACGGTTTAGGGAGGGTCTGGATTTGGATTTTGGGGTCTGTGGTAAATCGTTCTGCTGCTTAGATACTAGAGGCAACAAGAAGATGGAGAGAGAGTTGCCTCGCGTGGGACTGATCAGCTGACGTGAAGTTTGTGCCGCGTGTGTATGTGGGACTGAAATGCGTGAAAGGTTGCGCAAGTTTGTCGGAGGGCCCCCCCAATGCAATGTGTTCTGCTCTGGCGCTTTCCTCTGGGTGGAGCGTGCCGTAACCTGAATTTAATAGGGGAAAAAGAGCGTGCAGAGGAACGTAGCGAAACCGTACGCTTTTCTGCATCAAGAATAGAGGTAGATCTTGGGGAATGGAAGACAGATGGTGCTCAGGGATGGGACAGAGGAAGAAGAGGTGCTGCGAGTCGGTAGAAGAATAAAGATATGTTCAATAAATCCAATATGGTAGCTGGATGCTGCCCCCAGCAATTGAGCATGCGCGTTAGTATTCGGCGCCCCTTCTACCTTCCATACGCTTCTTTCAAAGTGCCTGAATGGAAGGGGAGAAGGATGGAAGCAGTAGTGTTTCCAAGTGAGGTTAAGGATGGAAGCAGTAGTGTTTCCAAGTGAGGTTAAGGGTGTCAAGAAGGAAATGTAAGTACTAACCAACCAAGAATTTGAAGGAGAGCGAATGAGATAGGACTCGGTATGAACTTGAAGAAAGAAGGAAATATTCCTATCGTCGTGAGACACTAGTAGGCCTTCGCTGGAAGTAATAGAAAGTTCGGAAATTGATTACAATTGTCTTGCACATGGCCCAAAGATCAATGTACTGTTGCAACTGGAAGACTGCAAAATTTGTGTAGAATAAATTACTGTACTGGTGGTTGAGATATATATTACAAGAAGTGCACAGGACATCTCATCAAGGCATGATCGTCGTATGATCCAGCGATTTTCCGATCAAAGATAGCTTGTATGCTATTGCCCCACTCTAGTAATGTAACATCTGGTTATAAGCTTAAACAGGACAGGTAGGCGTTGTTCTTTGAATCAGGCGGAGTGACCTTTGTCGGAGTTGAGACCTCTCTTTTCACGGCCCTTCTCGGACCACGGAAAGTGTGCAACTGGGATGATGAAGAAGCTGTAGAACACATGCATTAGCAGGAGGCAGTATACACAAAGTGGAGGAATGTATGAACTCTCGATAAGGAAATTGTTCGATGAAGCATGATCATCTCCCAGTGCCGACATATTCACCAAGCATGCAAAATAGAGACACACCTATTGGAAGTATCTGCAAGACCGGCCAGAGCATTGTACCAGGCCAAGAAGGCCGCCAGAAGACCAAATACACCACCGGCAATAGTCAATTGTGGATGTACATTGCCCTCAGCATCCATTTGCATAAAGGAAATGGCGAGGCAGAGGAAGGCAAGGTCCAAAGTAAAGAACAAAGCAGAGAAAGCAACAGTTGATTTGAGTGTACAGATCAGAAGGATGGTGGTGAAGATAAACCAGCCCTGTGCTATATATTAGATATCTATTGTAGCTCATGCAAGATGGCCGATGAGAAGCGGGAAACATACGAAAAGATAGAGTCCGAACGAGTTGTGAAAAGCCTGGACGCCACCCTCTTCTTCGAGAGTTGCAACGATTTGAAAGCCACCAGGAGTCAAGATAATGGCAAATGACAGCCAAAATCCGCCATATGATGACAAAGCTGTTGCGCCGAACGTGTTGCCAACAGCCATTTCCCTATAAAGATGGCGGGGTTAGCATTGATGCAAGTCAGCGAGCACCCCAGGTACTTTGAACACACCACATGCCGGCAAGTAATTGTACGAGCCCCCCATACCCAAATGCAATTGCGATAACAACATTCGGCGCAGAGAGATTGAGAGTACCCAGGTTGATCAAGCTCAGCACAAAAGTGGTCAGCGCGAAAGCGCACAAACCGAGAGGAGCTGGGTTGGCGAACTTTCGCTTCTCGACTCCTTTGTACAGACCAGGTTGGAACTCACCTCCGAAAGCTGGGAGGCGGGTGGAGTCGTTCGTGCGAGCATTGGCCAAGGGTCCGTAGCCGAGTCTAGCTGCTCGTTTGGCTGTTTCATGCTCTTCATGGTTCATGTTCTCTGGAGATCCGTTGAGGCCCAATTTGGCCTCGGTCATTCCTTCATTGTTTGGGTTGCCATTTGTGGCCATTGTGTAGCGCCAATAGGAAGATGGAGATGTGATTAATGATAGCTGGGCTGTGTGGATGGTGCCTAAGAATGGCTTATAAAACAAAGCTTGTGTGACCAGAAGTCGAAGCTGGTAGGATGAAAGGGACGGCAGGATGAGGAACAATATACAACTCTGCGTCCAAAAGCGGGGGTGGATAGTTTTATGGGGAGTGATGGTAGTTGATCTGACGTGGATCTGGGGTAGAAATTTGACTAAGGTACCACGCTGACTCGCTCGTCGGTAGATCGTTCTGAGCTATGTGGACGTTCAATGCTGAAGCCACTCGGGCTGATGGAAGTTCCTGCATAGCTTGTTACCGCGTTGGTCAGCATTTGAATGGTCCTCCAGAGGCATTATGCAAGCATATATGCAGATGCTCCGGAATATTCTTGCAGCACTCTGTACCACAGCAGCCTGGTTATGTCTACTTTGATGGAATAGCCTGTTCTCGGGTTGTTTCTGTGATAGGAACTTGGGGATCCTTCACGTCATCTGGAGATGAGGTCAAACGCTAGCCAAGTCCAATGGCGCAGCTAAGCTTCAAGTTCCTTAGAAGTACGCCTCTAGCGAGTAAGTGCATCTTTAGCCATCAGTGACTGACGACAGCTTTCTACAACTCCACATACCCAGGAAATCACGGCAAATTCGGGGGTACGGCAGAAGTATTCTCGTGCTAGCCCACCGGCATTTGTGCATCTTTGAGGGACACCGAGCGAAATATGGAAGAGACATCGTAATTTCGTAGACGTAGCACTCAGTGCGTGTTTGGCGCCGGTCCGAAGGTCCGCAATTGGCAACCTTTCACAGTTGGCATCGTGATTTCATTCTGTTGACCCCTAGGCAGTTGAGGGGAACGTTCCAGATTGCGTACGCCCAGGACGTGGCATCCCAATCTCCAACCCATGGAGTGCCTTTCGTGCGGTGACCTACCGCGTAGACCATGCAGTGCAAGCATCTTGTTTATGATGAGCCATTAGGATTGGTAGGCGGCGCTATTTGGAAAGCGTCGGCCCCGGTTTCAGATTTCTGAGGAAGGAGCAAGAACACGGAGAACACAGGATCCACCAAATCCACCGAATCCACCGCGAAACCCACCACAGAATCCACCACAGAATTCAAGGGCCTTTCAAGGGGCACTGTACTGTTATGCCCGCCAAGCATGCCAAGTGCGTACGAAGCACGTGCCCTGCGCATGTTATGCGTGCCTGGAGGACCCTGATAGATTCTACGTTATTTTACGCATCAAATGGACTTAAAGGGCTGTTCTGCTACTTATATCCTTCTTCTTATATATAGATTCTAGTTCTTTGCGTTTAATAAGTCAATCTCTGACCCCCTACTGTTCTATTGCCCTTGCACTCCCTTGAAATCCTAACATTTACCCTATTATGTAGAGATCAACTTGTTATTCTACGCTGGAGCAGAATGGATCAACCTCTCTATTCCTGGTGTGTAGCTAACTGGAAATCTAAGATGCAAAAGTTCGGACGAATAGAGCTCTGGGCGCCAAGGCCCCACAACGCACTCTGCGTAATGGGAGTCAGTGAGGGGTACATCAATTAAGTGTGGTTCGAAACCCACAAGCGCTGCCCTTTTGGCGGAGTGGTTGATGTATCCCTTTTCTATGGGTTCACATAATTTGTATGACGTAAAAGACACTCTAAGACTCCAACGCTTGCTAAATCTATCGATTGCTCAGAGTACCAGTAGCTAAAACTACCGATGGCCGGACGTACCACCTTAATGTAACGTTGTTATTAATCTGTGCAGCACACTCCTAATTAGCAACAGTACGAGCGCCGGTATCCTCACACACCCAAATCTTTAAGCCGCCAGTTTCAGCTCGTCATCCTTCTACGAAACTAATTGCAACTAACAGTAACACAGAAACAAGTTGAACAGTCAGAATCAAGCAATATTATTTACACGACGCTTATTTCGATGTCTTTCAAACTCTTCTATCTCTAAAATAGAGCCAGCAACATTGATATATTGTAAGACCCGAAACGCTGAGTAATCCTGTTGCATGTCAGTTGGCCACGTTACCAACCCGGAGACATTCGATTGAGGCTGAATGTGGCTTCCGCTGGTAAACGAAGTCCCTTGTTCATCACATCCCACCATCAATCGCTAATCCCAGAGAGCTGATCCTACAGGTTTCAACTGCTGGACTAAATCTCAGCTCCGCGCCCATACTTGGAAATCCAACTCAAAGTGGGTCCATACCCAGCTCTGCTCTGGACTTCTTCGTTTGGTTATGGGTGTGTAAACACATAAGCTCACTGGCGTACCGGAGAAGTACCCATCAGCTAGTCCAAGCCATCCATGGGATTTTGGCATATTCGGAAGACAGCCTCCAAGCCTTCCCAACTCGTCATTCGTCATGTCCATTGATAAGCTTGCATGTATGAATGCTAAGTCTAACGTCCTGGCAAATATTATAATTAGCATCGTGCAAAGGAGTCTGGATCGTCGATTTCTTCAATCCACAATGGCGAAAGGACGTGGACCACGATATTGATAGATGCGCCTGGTCACCCGCTGTTGGAAAGCGTAAGTGCTGACAGGGCGTCGTCGTTCCTGACAAGACCTTGGAAGGGACGACGGGCTTTGGTCCGGCTCGGGTCGGTACATGAAGAGGGCGCCAATATGCAGAGCTTGCTGCCTGTGGACCTTCGGACCCGGGTTGCAGCGGCTCTTCTCGCGCATGGCTCGCCTCCAATAGCATCGCTGGTCGAATATCTCGCCTACTCATTCTTTTGTATGCAGGGCCCATTTCACACTAATTGAGCAAAGCCAAGAATAGCCACAAGGTATCACTGATGTCGTCTGAAGACGCCTAACTGCCACAATTCAAGTGACCCGAAATTCATATCTACTACAAGGCGCTGATGCAGGGGATAAAACGATCCAAGGCAGAGCAAAAGAGGTCTTCAAGATCGTCTGATCTGGTTTCGCCCTTGTATAGAGAGTCTTGAGTACTAGCTCGATTTACAACATGTCTTTCTGGTGCGATGGCTCGGTCGTCGGAAATCCGGGCTCGACGTAGTATTGGGTCCTGTCCTGAACAGGATATCCAACCTTAAGATCAGTGTGACTCAGAAATGAGTCGTCAGAGTCAGCACTGCCTCGTGATGCCTTCCAACGAGCTCAGCTACCCAACGCCACCAGAAGTTCTTGCAGCTGTTCCTTCCCACAGTCAAACTCATTCAGTGCAGTGCTCCTTGACGACCCGGGCAATGCCATGTCGGCGCAGACAAGTTCCGTGCCAAGCTGGCCAAACTGGGAATTCCCGTCGAGGGTACTTCATTTGTATATGGTGGGGCTCGACAAATGTCCCAACTCTTCAGCACGAGATTAAGGCCTACAATGGTTACCAATACGATGGGACTGCTCACAATGAGAGCCCACCCTGTACTTGGACAACTTTCTTTCACTTGAGGCTGAGGGCTTCTGCTAGGCTGAGGCACCAACACCGGACCGAGCCCTCCCAACTCTTCTGATATTTTGGTCAGATGCTCAGGTGGGAACAGTGTTTCAGTTATCTAAGGCGACGCCTTACAGGCTGTGCGGTGAAAGGACTTTCTCACACTGGGAGCGTGACTCCAAAAACACTGGGATCGAAACTACCTTTGCTGTTCTATGTCTTTCAGGCTCGTATTACTCCATTTGTGGCACTGCCTTTCCTTCTTTGGCAACAACGTGCCTGCCGCTATGAGCCTTTCATCACAACTGTTGCTTTGCACAGATATGGATGTGGGCTGATTCTGTATCATTGACCGCTCTAGTCCTTTCATCAACGAAGTGTTGTTGCATTCGCAACCCGTTTCGTAATAGACAAAACGTTTATTCCTCCTATTTGTTGCGTCCCCGGAACGCCCCGGAGTGAGGGCTGAGCTCACGTTGCTCGTGTCCAAGCAGCTCTCAACTCGTATCGCCTCGTCGAAATAAGTCGCTTCTCATTTTGAGTTTTCTAGTGTTATCCAATCTTATCTGGTGCGAGAGACAGTCATTAACCGAATAAAACTTCCCATGCCTCTTCTACTGTCTCTGCGAGCGTATATAAGGTTTCCATCTCCCAATGTTGAAGATGAGCAGCTACCCTCTTCAATCGTACAAAAACGCTCCAACGGCATTGCTGCTTTTCCTTGGATCAATCGCCTTGTCAGCTCTTATTCAGACCTCTTTGGCAACCTCTTAGCTCGTCTCTGTTACAAGCACAATTCATCATGCGCTTCCACGGGGCAATATCTGCGCTTCTTCTCGTTGCATCCCACTATACTTGTGCATGCCCTACACAAATCGATGAGCGTGAGGCAGCTGCCCACCTATCTCCTATACTCAAAGGCCGCGACGTTACCATCAACACGTACGACTATGTCCCAACTAACGGACCCCTGACTTGGCACAAGACTCCTGGCAACGGTTTGTGCAAGTCTGGGACTCGCCAATCCCCTATCCTCCTAGGCAACGAAATCCACCAGACCGGCGTGGGCGCCGTCCAATTCAGTGCGCCTAACGCGGCAGGCAAGCTCGAGCACAAAGGGACGGGTATTGAAGTCAAAGAAGTGAAGGGAACCCTGAAATACGCCGCGCGCACCTACGAACTAGACAATTTTCATTTCCACACGCCGAGCGAGCATCGCATCCACAAAGAGCATTACCCTGTCGAAATGCATATGGTGCACAGAGACACGAATGGCAATAATACCCTTGTGCTCGGCTTCGTCATCCAGCTCTCTACTAAACAGTACAGTAGCCTGCCCCATGTGGCACTCGCAAAAGTGGGCCAGATTTCTCCAGGGCAGCACGTAATGACCACTACGCTTCAATTCGATGAGATTGCCTACTATACAAGCCACCAGAGATTCTACAGTTACGGTGGTAGCCTGACCACCCCACCTTGTACCCAAGACATCCAATGGCTTGTCGGCACCGAGCCTCTGCATATGGATGTGGGCACCTACAATGCGCTCAAACACGCCGTCAAGTACAACTCACGTATTATACAGAACTCGCCAGGGAGTACAAACGTGATTCAACTCGCTTGCTAGAGTGTGCGGGGAGAGCGAGAGGAGGAAGCGAGATATGCCGGTATGCTTGTCGTCAAAGAGTTCGGGAAAGTTTTCTGCTAGTCTTCTCCGGTGTTTTCTCTGTTCTGTCTGAGTGTCGCTTATTTCCGACCTAACCAACTACATTGTCCAGATTTCTGGGGACCTTTATGCTCCAGTATCATAATTTTTAATTGTCAGAAAACGCTCCTCGATTTGTCAGCCGTTAGTCAATGGTGTCCTTTCATTGGATCCATTGTCTCCTACCTTGCACCTACTGGTACTTCTACATATGAAATAGCCAACTATGTTCGGGTTGATACTACCTCTTGACCATTTCTTCCTGAGGTTGAAGACGGAGCCGGACGCTGTCGAATAGCGCACGCCATTAATAACACTAGTAATAACAATATAAGGGATGTTCCTAGCTAAGCTTTAGCCATCCGCTCTTTTTAACCATCTTTGCTCTGGTATGAGGCATCAGTATTGTTAACGTAGATTAGTACTAGCTAGTTTTTGGTACGATAGCCCGGCGTCCCCTAAGGCGCCAGTAAATCTTTGACCCCTTAGTGATGATAATGATTAGCACTGGCCTAGGAGCCAAACAGACTATACTCCTTTAGTAAGATGTATCTTCGTCAATTTTGTGTCACTCACCAAATTTCTAGCTTGGAGCCAACAGTATTTATGCCTCCTACCGTACGTAGTATGCCCCACCGCCTAGTGATAATACGCTAGCTCGAGAAAGGCTAGCTTCTATTTATCTTAGTTAGCGTATATTGAAAACTTTTGAAGCACCACTCCGTATCGATTGCTGAAAGTACCACTAGCTAAAACTACCACCAGCCGAATGTACCACCAGCTGAATGTACCGCCAGCCGAACCAGTTGGCATGACGTCTCCACCGCCCCTAGGCCCGGATCGTCTTACTTTGCACCGGTATGTACTCATCTCCTTTCCTTGCATGCGTCTCCCTTCAACCTAACTGTCCCTTTACCTACTTCTTTCCTTAGTCAAAATCAAATTCAAGCTCCTTCAGTCCTGTCAAAACCCCAGATTCTTCCTGGCAAGCCGGATGTTGCACCTACTGGAACGAAGCCTTCGCTGGCTGATCCCACATTGAATGGGTATGTGCTCACCTTCTTTCCTTTACTGCTAGTACCTTTAACCATATCGTTCCCTTACTTACTTCTTTCCTTTCTTTAATCCACGCAGAACAAAAGCCTCATTCCCGCACGAAGCCTCGGCGGCACCTGGCACCTGGGACACCGTGTCAGTTGACATGGTGTCTTGTGCCGGTAATGCCCCTGGGCCGGACGAAGACAGGGATTCAGATGACGATATCGAGTTACTGGAAGATATTACCATGGAATATTATTTGAACCTGACGGAGACGCTTTGCCCAGAGATGTTAGCTGGAAAGGCTTGTAGGGAGCCCACATCTTGTTCTGCACCGTTTAAATTATGCCCAAAGCTTCCAGGTTGGGGGAGTAAGTTTGTTGATCTCTATATGAAGACCTGACTAACCACTGTCACAAGTGCGAACATACTACTTTCTATCACGACGATGTTATTCATGTCCGTCCAACTTGCAAGTCTATATTTAAGGGAGTCCGTTGCGACCGGAGAGGGAAGGGGGAGGAGTGCAGCTACGGCCATGATCACAAGCACTTGAGAGGACTCATCGAGGCTTGGAGGAGAGCAAGGGCAGACGCACGTACGCGTTCGAGCAAGCAATGAAGTATTCGCCTCGTAATGGGGCAACAAATGTTTCGAGTGGGCAGAGGAAACGACGAGCCAGAGCTGCTGCTAGGGCAGCAGCGTCACAGCCACCACCAGCAGCAAGTTCTTAGAGAATGAATGACCGGATGAGAATCTGTCTTTGTACATGGGACTAGGGTTTAACTCATGCACTGCCGTTATGAATGAGCCGTCAGTCAGCTCTACCTCGTGATGCCTTCCACCCCACCTAAACGATCTCATCTCCCCACCGCTCCATACCAACACAGACCGAGTACCGCACCGATGACGATAGCGAGCGGTGGTGGTACTTTGAACCATGCACTTTCAGCATAGGTAACCGTGGCGACCACAACCCACCAAGGGTTGAGAGCGAGACTTCGACCACTGTTCACTTCAGGAGTCAAATAACCAATCTCCCACAGCCTATATACCGCAGTGAACACCAACCCAACCGCAGTCGCGTTAACCCCTCGGAGCACATTCAGTACCCCTGGATTTGTTCGCATCACTCGCCAGAACCCTTGCACAGCCACGGCCAGTGCCAACCCAGGGAAGAAGATTCCAACGAAGGCGATTAGAGAACCGATAACCGTGGGATATTGGCTCCGCTGCAAGGTGAGAGCTCCAAGATACACCGCGAAATTGAAGTTCGGACCCGGAAGCGCCTGGATAATTGCCAATCCCAAGAGAAAGTCACGGCCAGAGACCCATCCTGGATCCACAACGTAGGAACGAAGTAGCGGAATAACGACCGGTCCTCCTCCGAAGATAATGGTACCTGCAAGGTACATGTTTGCAAAGAGCGAAAAGCTAAGTGGTAACGGACGTAGCAGACCACGGACGAGAAGTACCGCGATGAAGGAAGCTAACAGAACATCAGCTCTGCGGAAGTCAGTGCACGAGAGGAATACTTACCGAAGAAGGCAATGATAATAGGAACTCCCAACCGGATCCGTATTGTATGGTCTTTTTGGACAGGCGCTTCCGACAGTTCGTGGGCTGAACTCCCATGCGGGGCTGACTGCCTAGATGAAATAGCATTGTTCCTCCGATGGGCCACGTTTGGTAAGGAAGAAGTGTCCTCCAGCGGAACAGCATTATCATTCGCTGTATCCTCACTAAACTCATCTTGAGAACGCCGGAGGCGACGACGTGCTTTATACTTTACAATCTGCGGCTTCAAGTGGCCATCCCATAGAAAGGTAGCAAGACCTCCAATGATCATGAGGACCGGAAAGTAAAAAAGCGCATTGTGACACACCCCTGCACATGCTCCAAAGATGACGAGGATACGTGTGATCTTGTCTTTGATTGCTTTTTCGGCAAGCTGGACTGCCGCCAGGGCGATGATTCCTACGGTTGAAGCGTTGAGCCCAGAAAGCAGTGCATATACAGGAGAGGGAAGGATTTCGCTCATCCGCTGCACTCCAAGAGACAGGCCGTACATTGCGAGAGCTCCTGGGAAGCTGTGCCCATATTCATCAGTTTTACATCTTGAGTTGAAGGGTCCTATTCGAGACTCAATGTACTTAGGGTTGGGCATACCTCCAAAGGATGAAGACAAACAGCGCTGGAATGAATCCAGCATGCAACAACGTGATACAAAAGATCATCTTCGTGCTCGCTGGTCCCGGCAGTCCTTGGCAGACAGCGAACAGTTCCTGATACTGGCAACTCCATTTAGTCACGTGCATCGCCGAGCATTGGGTAGATGTTACCGTTTGTTCATCGATCCATTTGTTGCCGCCTTTCCCCTCCACAAAACGACCGTATATGATTTGAAAGTGAACCGGCGGTCCACCGAAGGCAGTAAGCCCGAGATCCCATGTGCGCAGAAATACCTCGAGAAGCCTGGTTGACAAGGATTTGTTCAGTTGCGTTGGATCCAGTTCCCTCCGCTTGCGACTGATGAGCGAACTTAGGGCTCTCAACGGTCGACGAATGTTGAATGCTGCGGCCATGAACAGACACGCGGTGCTTGGGAGGTCTCGGTGTGTAAGCAGTTTCAATCTATGGGGACTCTACGTAGTAACTTACCTCAGTTCCTCAGACGTGATTGTGACTAAGCTACTTACTAACTCAGTGTGCGCCACAATGTCTGCTTAGCCAACGACTAGCCCATCTCAAGCATAGCGTGTGTGGCTATGCATACTAAGCCCATCTGGGAATCCAAGGCAAACTCTGACGTCTCGATTTACCTCATCCAGTATTCCCTGTCTCACTGAATGTGCTCTCTTCCTTATAGGGAATAGCGTTGCCGCAACCTAGCGTCCTAGTTTACATTGTAAGAACATCAAAATTTCAAGATAAACTTGAAGCCAGACTGACTGACCTTCCTCCATCACTTTGGTACTTGGTGAGTCAGCGCCTGAATTACACAGCTGAATGACTACCTTGATTGGGAAGTTCAGCTCCTAAGAGGCTCTTGGCACCCTCAATACAAGTGATCGACCTTGGAGTCGTATAATCAAATAAGTCTGTTCTGTTCTGTCAGACAAAAGCTAGTTTACGGTCCTCTGAAGGCCGCGGTCCTTTTGGTCCAACATGTTCTTACCCACAACGTTTAAGATTTACGTATTCAATATACAGAATGGGTTACTAGGGCACAAGAAAATGATACTGTATTCAACTTCGTTGATGAAACTGACTGTCATTTTGAGGGGCATCCTAGGAAGAAGCCAAAGATTACTAAGTCAAAGGACGCAGATTCGAATCTCTAGCACGTTATGACTCTGCTGAGCAGTTTCAATTGATGGTATGAAGTGCAATCAGACCGTGGAAAGATGAGATAAGGTTCCACTCTTGAATATGGGAGCCAGAAGCGATAATCTTGGTATTCATAAGAAGGCGTGGGACTCTCTTGGAGATATGGAGATGTTAAGAGCTCCTTGGATGCCTAATTCTCCTGGTTTGAATCAATTTGAGTTAATTTTGAGAGTAATTTCCTCCTCTGAGAGTGTAAAGGAGCTGGCCAAGGGTAGAAAAACGTTACGAAGTGCACTCCGAGGACATAAGACGGTGTGCTAAACACTATACTGACGGCTATCGTGACAAAATGACCCGAGTTCTGAGGCGGCGACAACTTCAGAGAATAGCTGGATTGGTTGGCCAGTGGAATCCCCTGCCTTCTCCACTCGAACCATCTATCTTACACCTGGTTAGAAATTGGCGGTAGTTAGAACGCACTTGCTGGCGGCACCGAGTAGGTGCGGAGTACGTAGTAGGTACACGCCAGATTTGCAACGGATACCTATCCGCAACAAAAACTGCTTGGTGTTTTGAGTCCCAGAGCATATTTCTGTTATTCAAAACCTTGCTGGCGTTACTTTCGGAGATAGGATTGATTCAGATAGCTCAGATAGACGTTTGGGAAATGAATATTACTTGATTCTGGCTGTTCGACTCATCTCTGTGTTGGTTTCGATGGCAGCGAGCTTAAATTGGGCTTCAAAATTTTGAGAGGGACAGAGATATCGGCCCTAGCTAACCGTTGCGGGTGGGGAACCGTTGCGGGTGGGTATCCGTTGCACATATGGTCCGGAGCTGGGTGCCGAAAATAGTGGGACTTCCGTCCCACCCTCAAAACAACCCCCTTTTTTCTATCTTCTATTATTCAACCAATTGTTATTCAAATCAGCTGAAAAATGGCCAGAATTCGCAAAACTAGTCGAAAAAACTGTCAACAGCCTGATTCGTCAATTTCGATACCCACAGAGCCTCCACGTGAGCCAAATACTATAGTCGATACTCCACGTCGTACGCGACTTCTTTGCGCCGCGCAGGCTACAGCTGGCAAATTACCCCGAAAAAAGCTATTCGAATCACTTGGTATACCAAAAAAAACAGGCTATCGAATCCTCAAATCACAATCTACGCGCCGTGGCAATAACGTTCATAATCGTGGTCGAAAACGCGTTTTGGAACCCCATCAATGTGAGGCTATTGAGACGGTTGAAGATAGCTCATTTCGCGCTGCATCTGCCTCTTATTATGCCATAGCAAGCTCTATTGGCCTAGCTTAAGGATCTGAACACGCAATTCAAAGAAATATGGCTCAGTTTAGAGTGGGCACCTATAGGGCACAACAGAAAAAATACATTCATTCCAAAAATGTCAAGATACGCGAAATATAGGGATTTGAACGTCGGTATTGGGATTTAGAGAAATTCAAGCAGTACAAATACAGTGACGAATGTCATTTTGCATGTGGCCTACAACGTCAAGCTATGGTACATCGTCGACGCGGCAGAGAAACACGAAATGCTCCTTCAAAGATTCAATTTCGATTGAAACGGCGTAATCAAATTTGGCATGTATTTGCGTACATTGGATGGAATTACAAGAGTCCCTTACACTTCTACACAGGCGCAGGAAGAGGTGGACGGCTTACTCAAGCTGATTATCTCGTTTTTTTAGAAGAAGTTATTGCTCCTAATTGGGATAAGGATTGGATACTTCTAGAGGATAACGATAATGCTCATGGCACTCGTGGCAAGGCTGACAACAAAATCAAAAAGGCCAAAGCTCGTTTAGGGATCCAATGGGAAGCTAATTGCCCAGAATCGCCTGATTTGAACCCTATAGAGAGCATCTGGAGGTTGTTGAAGCAGAGGCTAAAGAATCGAGGCCTTATTACTGATCCAGAGGAGCTGCGGCGAGCAATTGAGGAGGAGTGGGATAAAATCACTCTGGAGGAGATCAATAAGGCAATTGCTACGATGCCCAAAAGAGTAGCTGCCGTAAATGAGCGAAATGGTCTTTCTATACCATTTTGAAGATAGAAGTAATAGAGTGGAGTGGGACGGAAGTCCCACTATTTTCGGCACCCAGCTCCGGTCCGCTCACGTTTGTCGCCTGAATTGTACTCGAGAAGCCACTCCTCATTATATCAAGTCACAGTTCAGCCTGGCGGACGTTTAGTCTAGGTGGCCCCAGTCTTGCTTTGAGATCGCAAGCTATCTCCATTCGAGTTGAAGAGTTCTTATGAAGCGCCAGTGTACTGCTTAGTTACTGACTATTTCTTAGCAGGAAAGCCATATTGATAAAACTTTTTCAAACAATGCATCCTTGGGGCAACTTGCGGAGACCGTCTTTGTTGCTAAAGGCGCTCTGTGCTTCGCGCCATCTACGTGTGGGGCTTGAGGAAGTGGCTGATGGAGTGTGGCTTCGAGATCCTTCAGCATGTTTGGCTTTCGTCCTTTTGTTGCTGCCTGCTGCGCCCCAATGAGCAAGGCAGACTCTCTCAAACTATGCTCGCACCTCAGCTGCCAGGCCGATGAAATCCTCGGTAAGACAGCGATGATACCAAATGCAAATGGATACAGAAGCACGGGTGGAAATTTCGAAGGAGTGTGTCTAAGGATTTGGAGCTGCGAGTAGTTCCTGCAGAAAGCGATAACCGAGGATCCCTGGCCCTAACTTAGTAGATGCAGGTAACTCGACGACGGTAAACATCCTTCCCAGCCTGACCTTCTACAAAAATCACCAGCAGGAGTTACGATTGCGTCGACTTGCGTAGCCTCTCTCCAGTCAACCTGGGCGCAGCAATTGGACAGCTCCACCGTCAACCACACCTCTGGTGGGGTCTTTTTGGTGAAAGCCCCGTCGGCCCAGAATATGACTCCCTTAGGCCCTCCATGTTCGTTGCCTGGTGCCTACGACTTGCACCTCAACGCCAGGTCCTTTCAAGTACACAATTTAAGACATTTGCGACTGCGATGACTCTTCACCCCTTAGCGCAGGCTGCCTGTCGATGTTTGCCTGCTCCGTGGGCAATGGAGGCGTTGCGCATTACTCCTGACTCCAGGCACCAGGGCACCAATTCTCTGCGCCAGAATGTTTCGATATATAAAGAGCACTTGCTCACCCTTTCGATCTATCTTCTTCAAAGACCTTCAATCTGGACCACTGTTATACAAGCCTTTTACATCTACATTCCTCGGCCCCAATCTGTTTCCGTCCCTACTCGCTGCCGCGCCTTGACACAGCCACTCCTGTCATTACTTACTCTTACGTGGTTGCATCGAAGACTCTTCACAAAAGCAGGCTAGCTGCTGTTCACCTCTCTAATTCAGCCAGCTTTTAAACCTACCACTGGTCGAACCAATCACGAACTCGTGTGGAAAGAGTTTCAATTGAAGACACCATTACGACAGCACAACTGCAGTACTACCGAGCCAACTAAAAGGACTGCAATCACACGGCACAATGCCCAAATACTATGAATCGTCATCGTCGTCCTCCAGCCGCTCTGGTGGCGAGAAGATTTACTGTGAGCCTCGTCGTGGTACGTCTCATCATCAATGGTCAAGCAAAGTCAAAGATGCTGTTACTAACTCCAAGTTTTCAGAGCGCGAAGCCTCAACTCGACAATCAACGAAGAAGAGAGAAGTCGAGGTTCACAACCACAACAAGCCAAGCACGGAACCCCGGCGTCCGAATAACACTGCAGACAACAGGTGGAGATGAAGTCATATATAGGGATTGAGCTATGAATGCCATGTAGCTGGTTCCTGTGCTGAGCGATAGAGATAATGGCTCTACGGGTGGGCGCATCGGGAGTTGAGCATAAAGCAGAGAACACTTCGTGAAGCGGAACAAGTTTTGGTTGTATGGATCACTTTCACGGTGTACTGGCGCAGGCGGGGTGAGAATTGGGATCCGGCTACTTTTCCCTTCTGTTGAGCTGCCCGTTTTATATCAAGAGGATACCACATACATCAGGGACGCAAGTCATTATACAATATACTTTAGCGTAGATAGGTACGCAAGTCTCTTTGCAGTGACTCATTCCAGCTCCTTGCAATATAGAGCAAACATGAGTGCATTCACCTAAGCCCTAAGTGAACATGCGACTGGTTTTGGGCGGTAGTTGGTTCATGTCCCCGGAAGCACTTGTACTCATGACCTCATCCCCACTGTAATGTCGTTGTCAGCAGTACACCTTTAACCAGTATCAAAGACGGGCTTTACATCCACAAAAGTTCTGCTGACTCACCAAGGTGCTTACCACTGACAAGTTTTGCAGACCAAAGTGTGTGTTGCTCGTCCTGCTTTTATTCCCGTCACGTTGTCACGTTATCACATTGCCACGTTGCCGCCAGGTGGTCAATGAAAAGCTGAGATCTGCTTAGATCGACCAGCAGCTCCAATCCCTCAAGCATCCGGAGCTTTTCTCCATGGGATGATGGAAAGGTGGACCACATTCGGCTGTGATTTCCTTAGTAAGTGTCATATGCAACCTACCATCCTGGCCGCCTAAAAAGGCAATTGCCAGAATCCCATGGCATCTTGGCCTCTTTGCGGGAGATGGCAAATCATTCCCTTTCTTTCCTGGCATGTCCAAGTCGCTCACGACGTCAGATGTACCTCAGTGGTCATAAGGCCTTAGCCAACTAATTGAATTGCGGGTGTGAGTATGCGGGCAACCCTCAACAGATTTCGGAAGCCTCCTCTCAGTCTTGAGCATTTTTTGCAGCGCCAGCGTGTCCTATCATTGTGGCGAGAGATTGTACGAGCAATCAATAAAATCCCTCCCTCCAACACACGCAATGAGATGCGCCAATATGCTCGACGAAGTTTTGAACGCCATCGCCTTGTGACCGACCTGACCCAAATTCGCTACCTTGTGTCGACAGCAAAGGCAGAATTCGAGGGTATGCAGCGCTACATCGACGAACTTGCTTCCTGACGATCAACATGACTCCTGACCTACCGACACTGCAGGATTCGGGTCGAATATCCTTCTTTTCATTACCCTTGGAGATTCGCAATCTCGTCTACGAAAAGCTCCTTGTCTCCCCAATTCCATTACCACCCACTCCGCCTCAAAGCGAACAGCATATATGGACAGCCATCCTTCGAGCCAACCGGCGCATCTACAATGAAGCCATTGATTTTCTCTATGGACGCAACTGCCTCGCCATACACCTCCGCTCAAATCTCAATCAAAGCGCCTACGATCCCTTCCTCTCAAGTCTCAGCGTACAGAATGCCATGAAGATCAAGGAAGTGGAGATTGTTCTTTGGGGCCGTTACAACGAAGAGGACGGCGACACGGTGTCATTTGGAACGGAGAACTTTGGCATCGCCCTCCAAAATCTGGTCTATGCCCCCAAACTTGTGGTTTGCATCGATATCGACACGCAGCATGATGGGGACGAAGTGGAGCTTGGAAATGGTGGGAGGATATTTTGCGCTTTCGACTGGGTCATGGCAACGTTTGTTGATGAGTGGTTCTTTAATAAGACATATTTTGATCTCTTCAGAGCCGTGGCAAGGTTTCACATGAGCCGTATGGTCCCCATCAGCCAGACTAAGACGTGCGAGTGTCGATGGTTCAAGGAGTCGAGAGCAAACGCGGCCTTGAAGCAGCATGAACGTACGCTCTTATGGGATTTAGAGGACAGATATGGACTTACACATGAGGATGACGAGGAGAGGCCGTGTGCAAGTCAAGAGGAAGGAACTGGTATTTTGGAGGAGGATCAAGACATACAAGATGGCATAGACGATGAAGGGTTGGAGAACAACGGAAACGCAGCAAGCGAGGGTGACGAGGAGGATGGCGAAGACGCTGAATCAAGCGAAGAGAATGACACCGACGTGGGAGATGATACTAATAATGAGGATTATAGCAGAACTTCGGGTTGATTCAAACCTGCTGCGTCTCGTTGCTAGAGTTGGACCATGTTATTCAAAGACTAAGTACAGAGCCTAGAGCAATAATGTATATTACGAATGTTAATATTGTCTTAGGCGGCTGTGAGCTTTCATTCCGCTCCCTTTCAGTTTTGTAAAGGTCTCACTAGCTCATGGCCCAGCAATATTGTTATCACCTTCTCCTCCATGCCTCTCTGATAAACCACGTGCCGCTCCCCCATCCCGAAATCTGGACTTGTTCGAGTACAGTCTTGTTCTGAAAAGCCTTCTCAATGGCCTGCTTCATACTTTGCTTTCCCTGCTTAGCTCCCTCTTCTACCTGCTCTGCAACCGCCTTGGCCCCCTGTAAACTCTCCTTCCCATGCCCGGTTCCCTCCCTCACACTCTCCTTCATTTGATTGGCACCGTTCTTCACCGCTTCCACCACACCCTCACCTCCCTCCACCGCCTTCTTCTCCCTCTTCCCCTTTCCCGCACCCAACCTTAACATAGCTCCCTCCTCCGCCTCCTTCGCCCTCGCGGCCACTCCCTCAAACCTACTCCTCCATTCCCTATCCTCCCGATCCCTCTCCTCCAATTCCCTCAACCATTTCTCCCGCTTCTCTGCCGCCTTCTTCTCCACCAGCACCTTCTCCAGCTCCTTCCGCTTCATCCGATCATCCTTCCAGTATATACTTCCGCCCACCATTGCGAGTAACGTGAACCCCTGGGCGTAGATGCGCGCGCGGAACATGCGGTTCGTTCGGTGGTGGTCCCCGACTTGGCTGGACCTGATGGCCTGGTAAAGGGCGTAGCATGTTGCGGCGACGCCGAGAGGAATCAGGGGTTCTTCGCGTATGCGCCGGGCTAGCTTTGCCATACGTTTTTCTTCAAAGAATTCGCTATTGCGCAAGTCGGGTTAGTCTGATGGAAGTTGAGCTGCAGAGGGGGGTAGTCAACTCTTACGGATTGGAGTCGAACGAGGAAGGGAGGGCTGCGGACGGAGGGCCGGGAGGAGGGGCGGCTGTTGAATCTGCCATGGTGATGGAGGTTGTATGGGTAGGGTAGGTCAGTCTTGCTCACGCGAGAGACAGCTGTGTCTAACGGGTGATTGCAAAAGACACAGGACGTAATCTATCGTGATCCGTGTTGCAAGGTCGGATCTGACATAGAACCCTGCGACGGGCCTGCGTAAAACACTCTTGTCCGTGGATAACCGTTCAATTGGTCTGCCATCAGAGCCACATCATCTCTTATTCTCTCCTCAATTTGTACTATTCTTCGCCCTACCGTCCGCCGCAGAACGCCAAGCCCTTAGGTGCTACTCGACTATTTACTAGTTACTACTAGTAGTACTGTAGTCCGCTAGTACGGAGCAGAGAAATATTTCGGGCTTTGGTGCAGAGAGCTCTTCACGTTCCAATAGGAGCTGCTGCACTGAAAGCAAACATCGCGTAAGCTGTACCCCGTCGATGACACCAGCTATGGCGGAAGAGCCACTGGTCAATGGGCTGCATACACCTCAAACTCCAAAACCACACGGCCTTTCCATGACAGAATATGCTTCAAATCCTTCACCGCCCTCCGAAAGAGTTCATAAACGAGCCGAGGTTCTCTCTCAGATTCCTGCCGAGTATCTTCTGCCAAATGGCTGGCCGGACTACCTGCGACTCATACTTACTTCTCGTGTGTACGATGTAATTGAGGAGACGAAGATGTCTTATGCTGTCAATCTTTCTAACCGGCTTGAGTCGAGAGTATTGCTGAAGCGAGAGGACCTGCTACCGGTGTTTTCGTTCAAGTTGCGTGGTGCATATAACAAGATGGCACATTTACCTCCTGATGCTCGATGGAAGGGTGTCATTGCCTGTTCTGCTGGGAATCATGCCCAAGGAGTTGCTTACTCGGCAAGACACCTCAAGATTCCGGCAACAATCGTGATGCCCAGCGGTACCCCGGCAATCAAGCACAAGAATGTCAGTAGATTAGGCGGAGCTGTAGTGCTACATGGCGCCGATTTCGATGCAGCAAAACAAGAATGCCGTCGGCTCGAAAAGCTCCATGGTCTTACTGACATTCCACCGTTTGATGATCCCTATGTGATTGCTGGTCAGGGCACCATTGGATTGGAGATTTTACGCCAAGCATCATTGCAGAACCTTGAAGCCATATTCTGCTGTGTGGGCGGAGGAGGTCTGATAGCTGGGATTGGAGTTTACGTGAAGAGAATCGCTCCTCATGTTAAAATTGTTGGTGTTGAAGCCAATGATGCCTCCGCTATGGCTCAATCGCTGATCAAGAGGAAGCGGGTTCTACTTCCTGAAGTGGGGCTCTTCGCCGATGGTGCTGCGGTAAAAACGGTTGGGGAGGAGACTTTCCGCCTATGTATGGAAGTGGTAGATGAAGTCATTCTCGTCAGCACAGACGAAACCTGTGCAGCTATCAAAGATGTCTTTGAGGACACCAGATCCATTGTCGAGCCAGCTGGTGCACTCGCCTTGGCTGGCCTAAAGAAATATGTTGCTGCTCATCCATCGCCAGATCCGAAACGAGAGCTGGTAGCAATTGCTAGTGGAGCGAACATGAATTTCGATCGGCTTCGGTTCGTCGCCGACCGTGCTGCGCTTGGTGAACAGAAAGAGGCTCTGTTGTTGGTAGAGATACCAGAACGTCCTGGATCATTTGCGCAATTAGTTGAAGCAATTTTACCTCAAGCAGTCACAGAGTTCAGTTACAGATACTCACAGACAAGTCCGGAAACTGCACACATCATGATGAGCGTATCTGTTACAGCAGCTTCGTCACGGGAAGCAGAATTATCATCACTGTCTACGAGATTGGCTTCCGAAGGTATGACGATGACGGATATTTCCACGGATGAGCTGGCCAAAACACATATCCGGTACCTGGTTGGTGGACGAACCAATGTCGCGGATGAGAAATTATACATGTTCGAATTTCCAGAAAGACCTGGCGCTCTGGCCAAATTCCTGACGACATTGAAGCCTGGTCAGAACATCAGTCTCTTTCACTACAGGAATTATGGTGGCGATGTTGGTCGAGTATTGGCTGGCATCCAGTGTCCAGAGACTGAGAAGGCAGAGCTGGAGGATTTCCTAAAGAAGTTAGGATATCCCTGCAGAGAGTGCAGCGATAGTGCGATATATAAAATCTTCCTTAAGGACCAACAGAGGTGCTCCTGATTGGAAACACTTCAATCAGGCAAGGTAATTTCTGGTCTGCAACAAATACGCACAAAAGCATGAGGCTGACGGCCTTGGCACATACTGGTGGGGGCGGAGCGTGGATCCCAAACACAGCCGGGGGGGGGGGGGGGGGCGGCCTATTTGGCATTAGATTAAAATGTACGACTTGAGGCAGCTCACTTCCGTTGCGGTTGCAAACCTATCTCCAGCTTTATTGGGATGAGCTCGACATGATGACTCGCAAGCAGAGACAACTTTACATTCCATTGCCGTCCAATGCTGCGAAATGCTTGTCTATTTTACATTCTTGATTTAGCTCTCTGAACTGGCAAGGCATTACCAGTATGGAACTCGCAGCTGCAATTGGCGCCTTTACCAGTCTTGCCGTCAACGCTGCGCAGATCTATAGCAAACTATCTACTCTGGCATATCAGTTTCGTTTCGCTTCTTTTCAAATCTTGCGAGTAGCTCAGGATGTATCCGGAGTTGAAGCCGCCCTTCACCAGCTTAGCGAGCTACTCAAGGATGAAGACCTTCCAAGATACGTCGAGCCTGAAAACAAATCACGGTACCTGATACAAAACCTGACTTCAACTTGTCGAAGCCTTTTCGAGTCAATCGAGAAAAGCCTGAGAGATGCTTCTAAGCAGATCAAAGCAAAGGGACTGTCTCCAGGAGTCGAGATCACATTAACCCATGGGGAGCAGGCACTCTGGCCCTTCCACCACGACAAAGTTGAATCGTTGATGAAAGAGCTCAATGCTATCAAAACCACGCTGATGTTGGTTTCACAAATGACGACGCTTTCACTTGTGAAGAGATTAGCAACAGGGTTTGTACGGCCTACAAGTGACATGCCCTGTCTAAACCTTTCTGTACAGCTCGCACCCCAGGTTGAAAGACAATCTCCACCACGTTGACGAGGGCGATAAAGAGCTGCTTTATAGAGCTATTTACTCTTCCCTACAGGATCCACAAATCAAGCGCATATTACATAGTATGGACGCACAACTACGGATCGGCGGTAGCATCAGTGATGAGGCAGATTTTGTCCAAGGCGCTGGCCCCAGTGTCTTGCCACCCGCCTCACCTGACCGCGCACTTGGTCAAAACGCTTCAACTTTTCCAGTAAGTCACTTATTCGATTCTATCATATTGTAAAACGTCTCATCACATGTCTATTTCTAGGCAGGTGTAATCTCGGTCAAGTCATCTCAGGAGACTTCGCCACCAGCAAAGAACGCAGCATGGGGTGATTCGATGCCTGAGAATGGTATCTCAAGATCGCGGGCTTCAAGCGTCCAAGAAGGTTGCTCCCCAGAGGATCCCAAAAGCCCAGTGATTCAGAATGCTACGACAGGCAACAACAGCACTGCCAAATTCTCCTCGGCAGAAGACGTCGCTCGGAACAAGCGGGGACTAAAGGAGGATATATCCGATTGTGTGCCTCATGTTCCTGATAGTGCAGTACATCGACACTCTAATACATTGTTGCGTATCATGCAACAGCGGCCTTCCAATATATATGGAGTACTCCAGAACAGCCCTTCCGGCAGGCCAGAGTGGAGTCAAAATTCTCGCAGTAGACCTGCCAGCAAGTTTCACAAGATGGAGGCACAATCGGTTTTCTGGAAGGTTGCAAACGGATACAGTAAGCAGAAAGACAGATACGAGGTCATTTCAGGCGTCAATAGGATAGCCTATCTGTTCATGCCACAGCTACACCAAGATCCACAAAATACCAGCGTCACGTATAAAGTTACAGAAATAGAGCTCTCGCAATCCGAAATTGCTCATGCTCTATCTTACTGGGGCGCGTGCAAATCCGGGGCACGACATTTCGATACCTGGGAACCGTCTCAAAAGCAAGCCTTGGACCAAATTGAGACCGAACGTGGCAAGCTCTTCCCTGCACACTTCATCATTGAGTCCATCCAGTACACAAATCCACGAATCTTCTCATCCACAACGGCTCTCCTTAAATCACACGACATTCTAGTCGTTGTGGAGGAGCTTTGTCTCAAACCTGGTCAAGAAAGAAAAGCAGGCCTTGGGGGGATGGGGCGACATCGCACGAAAATGGCCTTTCCTATACCACATTTCAAATCAAGATCACCAAGAGCCAAAAAATCACCTGCGGAGCACCCAGCAATGGGGTTTGAACATTTTCCCAAGCCCGTACCCTCGGACGCTTCTTATCTAGTGATGATTTGCGGAACTACCCCTCAAGGGGACCAATGATCGAAAACCCAATAAGAAATAACAGGGCATGGTCCACAGTCTGGGTCAGACCACCAGAATTGTACGACAGCAATCGGCACAGAACCACTGTAGCTACGGATAACTCTCCAGAAGATTTTGTGGACAGAATGATTAGAGAGTTTGGCGTTCCACTATTTCACGGGGTTCCTTGATCATGTTATAACAAACGTCGGGTTCTGGAGGGAAAATATGGGTTTGTGCGTATCAAAAGGAACAGATGGTTATGTCAGTTCCGGGAGTGTCGATTGTGGTGGGTCAACTCAGGTCGAGCTTCGACGTGCGAAGCTCACCCCTGGTATTGATCTCTAGACACGGTCCTCCGGTCCCACGGCAGCAAACCAAATAAGCCATTAAAGGTCTGCAAGACGCCAGTCCTTTTATGCCAGAACGCTGCTTGTCATTTTCCCGTCTTTTCATCAACGGGTGAGCCTGCCTTCAAGATACGATTAAACCCTCGCATAATTACCCATCTGAGCTGCATAGTCTGGGACTCCACAGAAACCTCCGCATCACCAGGGCCCAGATTTTCCAAGATGTCCTCTTCTTCCCATCGCAGCACTTCTCTATTCCCCCTGGGAGAAATGGAAGAAGGATGCAACCTATATACTCTCTCTCTCTTCCGCTTTACCCAATTGCAGCTTCTACTGCGTCACGAAACGCCAATGTTTTTTTTCCCTGGCAGGAGTTGATCCAGTTTTCTATTCCACCAAACCTGGCATACGAGCCCACCGTGAGAAAAGGCAGGAGGGTCACCATGAGCTTCGGATGGATAACAGCTAAGGTGTGGCTCGGTAAAATACATTGGTATACAAGTGCAAGCACGACTTGATCCTGGAAGAACTTGGCTTCTCCGAACAGCCTAATCGTATCTCCACGGCCAGCGGCCCAGTGAGGTACTATTGGCGGTACTACCGTATTACTAGCTTTAGGCGTATACAATCTACTTGTAAGCCTCCATTTTGCTTTCTATACACTTCCCGCTTTCTACTTCGCTTTTCACCTCGCTGGTTCGCATTCCCTTTTATTTCCCATCCCCATAGTAGTACGTAGTACTCCGTGTCACAACCAACATCAACCAGTCCCTGCCCTTGCTCTGACTATATTT